AAATATCCACATAGGGAACTGACTTCATAATATATACACTGTAGGTTAAAACCAACGACAAATTTTAGGATTTGTTTTTAATTGGATTTAATCTGGGGGATGTTTAAAGCTTGGCTACTTTGACTAGAAACAAGGGTTAAACACGGAAAAATGTATAAACAGCAGTGACGTGAATACAATTCCTTCTTCAGCAACTAGCCAACAAAGCAGGAATAGTTTAGTACAAACAACAGAGAAAGACCCAAAACAAGAGCACTTGAGAGCATGTGTAGAGTTCCTTTAGGCCTCTAGCTGGAAAAAAAAAAAGCCAATCTTTTGAGCAATTAAAACCAGAGAGTTTGATTTTGGATTGATTTCATTGAGAAAGGAAGACAAACTGAACTCCCGGCAGATCGGTTGTGTTGCACTTTTAGCCACCCAAAACCCATGCTGCACTTTTTGTACCCAAATTGTGACACTTAATTTGTCACTCCTTCTTAGCAGCTGCCCACTGCTTGGGTGTGGAAAAGGAAGGTCCGAGGGCCACGGAAGCTTTGCGCTTTGTCAACGTGACTTAAGCAAGACAAGAGCATGGTCAAATGTAATATTTTAGGCTTGTTTGTGTGTGTGAGTGAGTGAGTGAGTGTGTGTGTGTTTTCAACTGTATTAGCTAAGAACATTCCTCAGTTTTTGGATCACTGAATAATTGTGAAAGAAGTTGAAACTGATTTTTCTACCAGCATGGGCTGGAGACCACCATTTCAACTGATGTTCCTCAACCATCCCTTCAGCTGGGGTGCCTCAATTTTGTCAACTCTAAGCCAGGTGGACTTCAACTCCCAGAATCCCCCAGCCAGCATGTTGGCTGGAGAATTCTGGGCATTGAAGTCCACCTGGCGTGAAGGTGACAAGGTTGAGGAACGTGCTCAACTAATCTCAACTCCAAACAAGGTTGTACTGGTGAATCAAATTCTGCCTTGAACAACTTCCACCATCCACCTACTCTAGCTCAACACTTCCAAGTAGGGGAAGCTATTTTGAGACCTTTTCTGGAACAAAACCATCCAGCCTGCTGCTATCTGCAAAGCTGAGAAGATAGAAAGGACTTGAAGGGGAACCCAAGATGGAATAAAACTTCCTTCAAATCTCACTTCTGGGTCAGAGAGAAACCGAAAGAAAACTTTGAGTCCTTGAAGACAGGCCTCAGAACTGAGTTGAAGATCTTCAGAAGCCCAGGTCAACCACCCCCATCCCCAGAGATTACAAGCCCATCTTCCTGGCCCAGATGTCTCCATCCACCTCCTCACCTCTGACAGAATCACGATTGCCAAGCCTTCCCCTAAACCTGTTTCTGGAGATCCATTTTAGGAGATGCTACAACCCTCCTCGGTGGTCTCATGGACTGACCTTGATCAGCGCCAGCCTCCAAAATTCCTCTCCCCAATTTGGAGAGGAGAACCACCCACCCGAAAGAAGCTTCCTGGAGGAGAAGCGAGACGTCTTCGGAGAAAAACAAAGGAAGTCCAGTTGCCTCCTGAAAAAGCACATTTGGGACAACCAGGATCTGGATGGCTGAGAATCTCCATAGACATTTCGCTACGCCAGAGCTGAAGAAGCTTCTTGGATCAGAAGCGAAACATCTTCAAAGAAAAACAAGACAGTCCAGTTGCCTCCTGGAAAAGCATCTTTGGGACAACCAGGAGCTGGAGGACAGAATCTCCATGGACGTTCAGCCGTGCACTTTGGGATGAAGCCCCTTCAAATGGTACGGGAGTCTGAACGGATTTCCCCCAAAACATTGCAGGCTACAGGCACCATTTGCGCTTCAGTTTGAGATGCAGACAACCCAGACTCTTCCCAACAGCCTGCGCTCGTCTTCAAGAGTGAAAGGACCCAGGGCAGAACACATCCTGCATCCACGAAGGCTCCACACACATTCACAACACTCAGGGGACCCTGAAGACACAGGTAAACCTCCAAGTGGCCTCAACGGCTCTTAAAAGAAGGCAAATGACCAACTGTCTGCAAGGAGTATAAATCCTTCCATTCTCCACTATCCTAACAGAGCTGAAGAAGCTTCTTGGAGGAGAAAGAGAAACGTCTTCAAAGAAAAACAAGAAAGTCCAGTCCAAAGCACCTTTGGGGCAACCACCATCTGGATGACTGAGAATCTCCCTAGACACCCACCCAACACCCCCCCCCCAATTTTTAGCATCTCCCTTTTCCAACAGAGACTCAAGCGAGGACGGTACTTACTTGTGGCCGTGGCTGCAGGGCCAGGGATGAGAAGCAGCATGGCGAAGCACCACAGGGCCATCTCGACGCGATCCAAACAGCCCGTCCCTTCTCTTTGTCCTCCTTTAGCCCGTATCCAGAGGCAAAGGGCTGGAAAAGCTGGAGCCTGCCGGCCTGAGTCGTCGTGCAGTCGGACGAGGGAGAAGCAGACGGTTCAGTTCGGCTCTTCTCCACTCCAGCCTCAGTCCCTGGTCAGGAAGACCAGAGGGTGATGGAGCCCAGCGAGACGGAGGAGACAAAGCAAGCAGGCCGAAGTTCCACAGGTTCGGACGCAGCCAGACAGAACCTCCTTCGTCCTGCTAAGCTCCCGAGTGCCGAAATGTCCAGGCTGGGCTCAAGCTCAGCTCTAATGATACGCCGGAGCAGGAAATTGACTCCTTCTTGGGAAAGCCTGCCAGATTTTTTGCTGCCAAAGCAGAGAGAAAGGAAATGCAATTCTTTTCCCTTTTTTTTTTTTTAGCTCTCTCTCTCTTTTTTTTTTTTTTAAAGGGGAAAAAAAAAAAGCAGCTTCAAAGGATGCCAAAAAGAGGAAAAATTCCTGGGCTGCTGTTGGTCACGCTTGACAGTGAAAAATTGATGGGGGGGGGGAAAAAAGAAAAGACGTGATTTTAAATAGGGGAACAGCTCAGCTTCAACTTTTGGAGGTCAGCTTTTAGGAACAAACTTTATCCTGTTTTCGGCCGTTTAAAACTTATTTTGATGGGGGGGGGGTGTCTCCCGGGCAGGAAAGTGTTTAAAAAAATCTTTTTTTTTTTTAAATGCAAGAATTCTTTGCGCCCTCAGGCTGCCCGCCTTTCATAAATTCATGCAGTTTGCTTCCTAATTTTTCTTTTCTTTTTTTTTTTCTGTTTGGCTGCTGAGATGAATGTGAACGTTTACTAAAAAAATAAATAAAATAAAGATGTAGTCATTTTGCACGGGGGAACCGAAGTCAAAGCTGAAGCGAGGTAGCACCAAATGCTTTCAGTCTTTGCTCTGAAGAGGATTCTTTCTCCGCCCACCCACCCCCCCCATTCTCACAATCTCCAGTCCTGAATTTCACGAGGTCTAGCCGCTTCATTTTGGGTCAGCTCTCGTTTTACAGTGTGAAGTTTCTCTAGAGCCTTTTTTTGGCTGGTGTGTTTGGCTTTTAGAGTATTCATTCCCTAGGGGACACCCTCTCGCCCCCCTTCATCCCCCATTCTCACCATCGCTCCTCCTGAACTTCATGAGGTCTAGCTGCTTCATTCGGTGCCAGTCACTATTTTACAGCATGAACGTTCTAAGATTTTTTTTTGGAGGGGGGTTATGTTACAGTATTAATTCATTAGCAGACTCCTATTTAGTTTCAAAGCTGGGCTGAAGAGAGAATTGGGGAGACCAGAAGAAAAGAGTCTTCCAAATGTTGCCGATGGCTCTTTAAAATGAACAGGATTTTAATGTTTTATTTTAAAATGGATTTAAAACAGGATTATGGAGATTAGGAGCTTTCTGACAGAAAGCAGTCTCCTTCAAGGAAATAATATATTTGAGTTTGCTGGCGCTGTTCAAACAGGAAACGGTCACTCTCTGTAGACGATCCAACATTCCTTTGGCCTCTGTTTGGAAAATTCCACCCGGCTGGACTAGATGACCTCTGGGTTCCCTCCCAATGATGCTAAAAATACGCTGGAACATCTTCCCAGTCTCTCCTCTGCAGGTGGCCCTTGGCTAATGACCGCCCCTGAGCCCAAATTTTCCGTTGCTAAGCGAGGCAGTGGCTAAGTCAGTTTTGCCCCATTTTACGACCTTTCTTGCGACCGTTGTTAAGGGAATCGTTGCAATTAATCACACGGTCGTTAAGTGAATCTGGCTTTATCCCCCCCTCTGACTTTGCTGGTCAGAAGGTCCCCAAAGAAGATCACATGACCCCCCGGAGACGCCACGACCGTCATAAATACGAATCATTTGCCACAAGCGTCTGAATCTTGATCCCACGTGCCTGGGGATGCTACAACGGTCACAAGCGTGAAAAAACGGCCGTAAGTCCCTTTTTCCAACGACGTCGCAACTTTGAACGGTCGCTAAATGAACTGTTGCAAGTTGAGGATTGCCTGTCTGGTCAGAACGTTGGGGGGAAAATTGTTTTTTCCATGGAAATCTCCTTTTTCCTTCTGCCACCATTAAAAAGGGAAGAATCACGTTCCGTTTGCCGTCCATTTGGGAGCAAAAAATGGAAAAACAGGCGGCCAAATTCCTTTGCATTTTTTCCCCCCGTCCCTTTCTGGAGCCCGGCAAACAACCCTGAAAAACCCAAACGCTTTTGGACCGTCAACTCTTCTTGCCCCCCCCCCCCCCGAGAGAATTTCCTGGATACCTCCTTGTTTTTTTCCCCAGAAAAACATGCAGACAAAAGTCCCCCCCCCCGGTATTTGCAAAGTTCTTGAGGAGAACACCGGGGATTTCTCTGACGGGACGGAGGTTTGCAAAACTCCCGTTTCCTCTCCCTTTCCTCCCCAGCTCAGCCGGCTGCCCGCGGAGAGGAAGAGCGGCACGGAGGGTGGAAGGAGATGGCGCTGAAGGATGCCAGGAGGGCAGACTGGGAGAAAGGTAGACTGCTTTTATACCAGGGGCTCTAAGGAGTCAGAGCAAGTCCTGGGTTGGTTCAGTTGGACGTGATTCTCTGTTGCAATGGTTCTCATCCTTAGCAAATTTAATCTCAATCTCTCTCTCTCTCTCTCTCTCTCTCTCTTTTCTCATATATATTGATAAGTCATCCATCCATCCATCCATCCATCTCTTTCTCTCTTTCTCTATCTATCTATCTATATCATCTATCTATTGTCTATCATCTATCTCTCTATTATGTATCATCTCTCTTTCTCATCTATCTCTAATCTCTAATATATCCATATCATCTATCATCTTCTATCTATCTATCTATCTATCTATCTATCTATCTATCTATCTATCTATCTATCTATCTATCTATCATCTATCTATCCATCTCTCTCTCTCTCTCCCCACTGTCTGTATATCTTCTATCATCTATCATCTCTTTCTGTATATTATCTACCATTTCTCTCTTTCATCTATCTCTAATCTAATCATATCGTCTGTCATCTTATAGCTATTTCTTACCATCCATCCATCCATCCATCCATCCATCCATCCATCCATCTAGCTATATCTATCTACTCACCCACCCATCCACCTCTCTCTCTCTCCCTCCCTCCCTCCCTCCCTCTCTTATCTATCTATCTATCTATCTATCTATCTATCTATCTATCTATCTATCTATCTATCTATCTATCTATCTATCTATCTCTCACAGACATCTCTCTACCTCAGTGGCTGGGGAATTCTTACAGCTTAAAGTTGCCAGCGTTGACGATTGCAAGGTAGTCCTCCACTTACGGCCACAACTGAACCCAAAATTTCTGTCGCTAAGCGAGGCAGTTTTTAAGCAAGTTCCCCCCCACTTTACGACCTTTCCTGCCACAATTGTTAAGTGAAACACTGCAATGGTTAAGCTGGTGACATGTCGCCAAGTGAACCCGGCTTCCCCATTTCACTTCGCTTGGCAGAAGGTCTCAAAAGAGGATCATGTGACCCCACCCTGGGGGACCCTGCGAGCGTCGTAAATACGAGACAGTAGCCAAGCGTCTGAATTTTGATCACTTGACCATGGGGAGGGGGTGCTACAACGGCCGTTAAGTGTGAAAAACTGTCCTAAGTCCCTTTTTTTACTGCCGTTGTAACTTCGAAGCGTCACTAAATGAACTGTAGTAAGTCGGGGAACGGGTGAAAAAGTTGCATTTAGCGCCGGGAAAACTTGGAAGGCTGGAAAAAAAGGACTTTGGGACTTCAACTCTCGGTTTTGGCCTCTCTTCAACGGGCTGCTTCTCCCTGGCCTGGCCCAGGAGATACCTTGGCTCAGACAAAGAGGCATCCTTGTGGAATGGGGCAGGGCTGTGTGTGGGGAGGGGGGAAGGATGCACGCGTGTGAGGAAGGGGGGGTCACTTCCCCCTGCCCCGACATTCCAGCCACGTGCCGCGTCCCACGGCGGCCGTCCAGATGTCGGCAGGGAGGAATCTCTAAGTCACAGCCGGCCTGTCCGTGTTCCTGTTTATCGCCGGGGCTCCTTGGAATGATTTGATGACTGGGACATCTCAGCCTGTTGTTACAGTCGGTTTCCTTCCCCAGTCGCTGTCCTTGTGGCTGACCTCTTGGAGGAGGTGTCTGGTGGGGGAGGTCAGACTGGATGCCCTGCTTCCCGGGCAGTTGGGCAGCCCCCCCACCCCACCGGCACCTTACATGCAGGGACCTCGTCATGCCCTAGAGCAGGGGTCTTCCATCTTGGCCCTTTGATGGCTTGTGGGCTTCAACTCCCAGAATTCCTCGGCCAGGCGTGCCTGGCTGAAGAATTCTGGGAGTTGAAATCCACAAGCAGGGGTCTTCCAACTTGGCCCTTTGATGACTTGTGGGCTTCAACTCCCACGCCTGGCTGAGGAATTCTGGGAGTTGAAATCCACAAGTCATCAAAAAACCACATTTGAAGACCCCTGGACTAGAGTGAGCCAGCTAACAACCTTGGTCATAAATTAAATTATCTGTGTGACAAGCTTGGGTAGAGCCAGCAATGTTTTGATAGTCTCTCTCTTTCCTCTTTCTCTCTCTCATCTCTGTTCTTTCTCTGTCTCTCTTTCATCATCATCTCTAAAGAAAAGAATAAATAGGGGGGACATGAGAGCAGTGTTGCAGTATTTCAGGGGCTGCCACAAGGCAGAGGGGGTCACGTTATTCTCCAAGGCACCAGAGGGAAGGACAAGAAACAATGGTTGGAAACTGATCAAGGAGAGAAGCAACCTAGAATTAAGGAGAAACTTCCCGACAGTTAGAACAATTAATCAGTGGAACAGCTTGCCACCAGAAATCGTAGGTGCTCCATCACTGGAGATTTTTGATAAGAGGCTAGACAGTCACTTGTCTGAGTTGATGTAGGTTCTCCTGCTTGAGCAGGGAGCTGGACTACAAGACCTCCAAGGTCCCTTCCAGCTCTATTCTATTCTTTCTCTGTTTTCTATCTAATATATCTATCTATCTATCCATCCATATCTATCTCTGTCTCTATATTTTTCATTTCTCTTTTCTCTCACTCATCTCCTTTTATCTCTCTCCATCCATATCTATATCTTTCATTTCTTCATCTTTCTCATCTCTCTCTCTCTATCCATCTATCATCTTTCCATCTCTCTCTCTCTCTCTCTCCCTATCCATTCATCTATCTATCTATCTATCTATCTATCTATCTATCTATCTATCTATCTATCTATCTATCTTACAATCATTCATTCACTGATTGTTTGAAGTTAGGTCTTTTGTTGTTTATATATATTGTGTATATGTATGTATGTATGTGTGTGTGTGTGTGTGTGTGTGTGTGTGTGTGTATATATATATATATATATATATATATATATATATATATATATATATATAAGTTTTACAAACAACAAAAGGCCTAGCTTCAAACAGTCCCTAAATATGTGTTGAAGCTACCCCACCTATTCTTTTTTTTTTTTAAAAAAAAAAAACCTTCCAATTTTGAAATAACGTACGCTATCAACGTGAGACTTTTTTTTTAAAACGCTCTTTAATAACAATCTGATCAATACATTCAGACCGTAGGCCAGGTCTTTTAAGACTTTGAGAGGGAGGGGTTTGTTGCCTCCCCTTCCCACCTCTTATAAATATTTGGACCAAATTAAAAAAGAAAAGAAACAGGACAACCAGCAGAGAAATGTTTAGTGGGCCTTCGTAACGTTGAGGAGACCCTAACAAAAATCTGGAGAGATGCAATTTTGAAGGGTGAAAAATGAGACAACATGTTATTACAGATAAGGAAGCAACATCCTGCCCCCCCCCCCAAAACCTCCTCTTTGGTTCCTTCACTCCCCTTGTTTCTTTTTTTCTCGCTCTCCCTAAAGCAGACCCTAAAAGACAAAAGGAGTTCAAAGCAAAAGGCAACCTGTGATTAGCAAATATTTAGTTGCTAAGGAAATTCTGAGCGCAAGGATACACAAAGCTGGGACTTGGTGTGTGTTTGTGCATGTTTGCCTGTGTGTGTGTGTAAGACTAGGGGAAAAAAAAATAGCCTGATCTTCTGAGGCTTTGCATCCCCTTTCCCCGCGCTCTCTCCAGGGAGAAAATTTTGCACGCTGGCTGGATTTCTTAATTTTAAAGTTGCAAGCTGGAATTTTTCTTCCCGGAGTGGTTGAATTGGTTTATAACCGCACAGGGGAGCTTAGAACTTGGAAGAAATCTTTTGTCTTTTTTTTCCTTCCAAGGAGATCGCCTCCAGAGATCTAGTCTGTCTAGGTTTGGGGAGCGTCTCCCCGAAAGAGTAGAGGAAATTGGCATATGAAGAGGTACCGTATATGTGCCCTTTTCTCTTTCTTTCGTGGAGAAAAAGCCGGGGGGATTTTTTTTTTGCAGCTCTTTTGAGGCCTTAGCAAGAAACGCAGGAAGGACTAACGAATTTGTCATTTGTAAACTTGGCCAGGTAAATCCTGCCTGCGTGTAGAAATGCAGCCTCTAAAAGGATCTTACTTCCTGCCAGGCTAACAGATCTAAAGGATCTTAACTTCTGAATTTTAACTTCTGCAGATCGAAAGGTGGTTTCAGAGCCTCAAAAACTCCTCCCAATTTGTTCCTGTCCAGATGGAAAGCACTCTAGGGACTTCAGACTACAAGACCCATCGCTCTCTAGCCAGCCTCCCCCCTCCCAGATCTGGGAGTGTTTGGGAGACACGGATGGAGGAGGACGGGATCTGGAAGGGTTACAGATTGTCCTCAACCCACCTTGGAATCTGCAGAGGGCTTCTCCATTCCTGGAAAGAAGATGGAGAAGACACGTTTATTCCCCCACGATCGAGGGTGAAAAACTTTTTTTTTTTTTTTTTTTTGTTAAAGCAAAGAATAAAAACATCTCATCTCACGAAAGCCAGTTTTACTTTGCGAGAGGAGGTTTAAGGAAGCCAAGCGCATTGTCCTTGCAATTTCCTCCACGGGCCTCTGTCCACGAAAACAGGATGAAGCCACTTCCTCCCCCGGCGGTCTTTGGAGATGAAAAGGGAGGCAGAGCAGAGGGGAGAGGAAGGGGCGCATCTACACAGGTCTAGGTCTTGGAAGAAGGGTGGGGGAGGATGAAAAGATGGGAGAGCTCCTCCGGGAGTTTACTTGAGGACATCCAGATGGGTGCAGACCTGCTTGAAGACCTCATCTACCGTGCCTTCCGCGTTGACCTGAAGACGAGAGAAAGCCAGAGGGCTCAGCAAGGAGAAATCCTGGAGATGCCTTCTTCTGAGACAATATCAAAGCAACGCTGTCCACCCCACCACAGAGGCCAAGGGATCGCCCTTCTTGAAGGAATCCTAGCCAGGTTGAATGTTGAAGAGATGTCCACCAGCTTAGGTGGCTTTCAAAGAGAGACAGTTTGGAGAATGGGAGGACCACGAGAATACCCGTTTGATCTAGTTTGGATTCTATCTTCTCCCTGGCCAACTTGGTGCCCGGGTTCGTACACCTTGCTAAGCCATCATGTGGATTCCAAGGGGAAGCCAAGCTTGGTGCCTTCAAACCATGCTCTGGGCTTGGCTGTTGAGCACACACTCAACACTTCTTCATCCCATAAGCAATGTTTGAACATCTCATGGTTTAGGATGGTGGGTAAACCCCAAAGCACCCCATCTAGGTCTGAGGATAAGACCCCCCACCCCCAAGTCTGTTTGGCTGCAGAGGATTCATCTTCCAATGTTGGTCCTACAAAAGGTCAACCCTTCAAATCTTGGAAATTGCTTCCTCCCCACCCAAGCTCCATTTCCCTTCTGCTTCTCTCTGAAATCCTCCCAATGTTTACGTTGACCTCTTCCCTCCCCTGGCAGCTAGTTAGTCAGCGCCTTGCTATGCTGAGCAGGATAAGACCTGGAGAGAAGTTCCTGAGAATAATGAATGACCCATCCTCGCAACTCAGAACTGGGTGTCCTTTCTTTGCCTGCGAAAGCTGGATCAGTTCAAAATAATAATAATAATAATAATAATACAAAGACCTACAAATAGAAATAGAAAGACTGTGGCAAAAACAAGCAAGGGTAGTACCAATAGTCATAGGCTCCTTGGGTGCAATCCCAAAACAACTGGAGCACCACTTGAACACCATTGGCATTGACAAATTCGCTATTAGTCAATTGCAAAAGGCGGCCTTACTAGGAACTGCTTCCATCCTGCGACGATATCTGTAATACCATCAAACATCCACATCTGCCTATCCCAGGTCCTGGGTAAGGACTCGATAGGTAGACAAAATGCCAAATCCAGTCTGAACATCTGGCTGACTGTGCGATGATCCATAATAATAATAAAAAAGTTGGAAGGGACCTTGGAGGTCATCGAGTCCAACCCTCTACTCAGGCAGGAAACCCTACACCATTTCAGACAAATGGCTGTCCAGTCTCATCTTAAAAACTTCCAGTATTGGAGCATTCACAGCTTCTGGAGGCAGGTTGTTCCACTGGTTAATTTTCTAACTGTCAGGGAGTTTCTTCTTATTTCCAGGTTGCTTCTCTCCTTGATTAGTTTCCATCCGTTGCTTCTTGTCCTGCCTTCAGGTGCTTTGGAGAATAGCTTGACTCCCTCTTCTTTGGGGCAACCCCTGAGATTTTGGAACCTTGCTATCCTGTCCCCTCTCGTCCTTCTCTTCATTAAACTAGACAGACCCAATTCCTGCAAGCGTTCCTTATATGTTTTAGCCTCCAGTCCCCTAATCATCTTTGTTGCTCTTCTCTGTACTCTTTCTAGAGTCTCAACATCTTTTTTACATCGTGGTGACCAAAACTAGACGCAGTATTCAAAGTGTGGCCTCACCAAAGGTTTGTAAAGTGGTATTAACACTTCACATGATCTTGATTCTATCCCTCTGTTAATGCAGCCTAGCACTGTGTTGGCTTTTTTGGCAGCTGCATCACACGGCTGGCTCCTATTTAAGGGATTGTCCACTAGGACTCTGAGATCCCTCTCACAGTTACTACTATTCAGCAAGGTACCACCTGTACTACACCTGTGCATTTTTCTTGCCTAAATGTAGAACCTGACTTTTTTCACCACTGAATTTCATTTTATTAGATAGCGCCCAGCGTTCCAGTCTGTCCAGATCCTCCTGTATCCTAAGCCTGTCTTCTGGAGTGTTGGCTATTCCTGCCAGCTTGGTGTCATCTGCAAATTTGATGAGTTCCCCATCTATCCCCTCATCCAAACCAGGAAGGAAGGAAGGAAGGAAGGAAGGAAGGAAGGAAGGAAGGAAGGAAGGAAGGAAGGAAGGAAGGTGGAAGGGTGGAAGGAGAAGGTAGAAGGGAGGGAGGGATGAAGGAAGGAAGAAAGGTGGAAGGGTGGAAGGAAGGGGCAAATGGCTCAGCCAATTTCATGTGGCTGAAATGACTCTCTCTGGTCCAAAATAAATCTCCCCAAAACAGCATTACCAATTTCAAACGTAGGGTAAATTTGTATGAGAGATTTCAATCCATCATCCTGACTCACCTTGCGGACAATTCCCTTCTTCTCGTAATAGGCGATGACCGGCTCAGTGGCCTTATAATAGGTATCCAAACGCTTCTTGATGGTCTCCTCGTTGTCATCCACGCGCCCGCTGGTTTCTCCTCGTTTCAGCAGCCGTTTCACCATGGTGTCCTTCCCAGCGTCCACGTACAGGAGCAGGGTGGGGGCAGCAATCTGCTCAGGAAAGGTCAAAAGAGGAATCAAGTTGAGGAGGAGAGGAAGAGGAAGAAGAGGAGGAGAAAGAGGAGGACAAGGTTAAGGAGAAGACAGATGAAAAGAAGGAGGAGGAGGAGGCGATAGATGAAAAGTAGATAGGTGAAAAGCGGAAGGTGGAGGAGAATACAGATGAGAAAGGAGGAAGAGAAGGTGAAGAAGATAGATGACAAGAAGATGGAGGAGGAGGAAGAGGCGGAGGAGGAGAAATAGAATGAGAAAGAGGAGAAGGAGAAGAAGATAGATGAAAAGAGATAGAGGAGGAGGAGATAGATGAAAAGTAGGTAGATGAAAAGGGGAAGGAGGAGAAGAATACAGATGAGAAAGGAGGAGGAAGAGAAGGTGAAGAAGATAGATAAAAAGAAGATGGAGGAGGAGAAATAGAATGAGAAAGAGGAGGAGAAGAAGATAGATGAAAAGAGATAGAGGAGGAGGAGGAGGAGGAAGATGAGAAGGAGAAGGGGAGGATAGATGAGAAAGTGAAGGAGGAGAAGGAAAAAGGAGGACAAGGTTAAGGAGAAGATGAAAAGATGGAGGAGGAGCAGCAGGAGATAGATGAAAAGGAGATAGGTGAAAAGGAGAAGGAGAAGACCAAGTTTGCAATGATTCGGTCATCCACACAAGTCCATCTTCACGTGTTGCAAATTTCACCAGGCGCTTTCCGTTAAAGGATTGATAATGATGGGATGGCAAAACCAACCAACCAACCAAACAATTCAGCAAAACTTACAAGAGTTAGCAAAACAACAGCCGGGCCTAAATCAGTTGCTAAAACAAAACAAAACAAAAAAAACAACGGATCCATATTCTTGGCCAAGCAGAAGACGGTGAGAAAAGATTGCACTGCCCTCTTGCGGCTTATGGTGCTCTTAACAGGGACAGCACTGAAGGAGATCCTCCAATCATATTCATAATAATTCAGTAACAACGTCTGTCATGTGCAAAATCAAAAGCTACCTGGGGGAAAAAACCCCCTAAAACAATGGAGAAACATTACTTAACTCTGAAATCTTTTTCCTCTGGAGATGCCAGACATCAAACGAAGGACTTAGGATCATGCAAACTCACCAATTTGCGCATTATGCTCAAACATGCTTTGCAAACCCAGGTAATAATTCAGCCCCTGGTTCTTTACCTTCTTCTCAAATTCCACGCCTTGATTCACCTCCCGGGGGTAACCGTCAATCAAGTAGCCCTTGGACTTGTCTGCTTTGGCCAACATGGCGTCTCTCAACATGTCAAGGACCGTGTCCTGCGGACGAAGCGATGCAGTAAAGAGTATTTTGCAAAGTTTGGGGGGGAAAAAATCCAGAACTCTGGATTCACAGAATGGTGAAAGGATCTTGGATTTTGTTGGGTTCCCCCACTAATGGGATATTTTTAACTAAATAACTAACTAACTAACTAACTAACTAACTAACTAACTAACTAACTAACTAACTAAACAAGCTGGAGTTGAGGAGAAGTTTCCTGACAGTGAGGACAATCAACCAGCGGAACAGCTTGCCACCAGAAGTTGTGGATGCTCCATCACTGGACATCTTTAAGATAAGACTGGACAGCCACCTAACTGAAAGGGAATAGGATCTCCTGCTTGAGCAGGAAGTTGCACTAGAAGACCTTCAGGGTCCCTTCCAGCCAAATTGCGTTGGGATTTAAGAACAGGAGATGAAGGAACCCAACAGCGTTGAAGAGTTCCAAGGCTGAGGAGCATCAGAAGATCTTCTAACTCACCAGAGGGACCAACTCTCCTTTCTCCATGATGGCTGAAAGCTTCTTCCCCCTGTCTGACCCAGAACTGACTTCCTCCCGCAGCAGGTCACCGGTGGACAAGTGAGTGTAGCCGTATTTTTGGACAATTTTCTCGCATTGTGTTCCCTTTCCAGATCCCGGTCCTCCTGCAGGGGACACAGAGCAATTGGACATGGAATGAGGAAAGAAAAATAATTTTGTCTAGATGGTAGCTTTCTTCCCAGGAAGAGCTGAGACCTTCCTTTAGTTTAGGTCTGACTTTATTGCAGCAGCACCCTATTTTGGGGGGACAACGCCCCCACCAAGCCACGCTGAACGGTGTAAGAAACGAACATTGTGCTTGCTGCCTTCAGCCAATAACAGTTGAGACATTTTAAAAAAACATAATCCTCTAAATGCAAGGAACATATAAATATGAACACAGAAGATGGAATCAACTGGAAGTTATTTTTTTCTGACCCGGAAAAATAAAAGCAATATATTCTTAAAAGACCCCGGCATGCAGAGCCAAATCTGGAGGGAGGGATCCTTCTCTTGCTCTGCACCCAAAATAGGTTTTATTCTATGTTGAGTTGGGGAACTGTTGAGTTGATTGTCAAGAGCAACCCATCCCACCTCAGAACCCAGTTGAAAAGCCCTTAAAAGTCTTTTTTTTGGGGGGGGGAACCCAAAGAAATATTTTGTGATGCCTTAAGACTTACCCACCACAAAGATGATTTTGTGATTTTTCAATTTTTCTGCAAGAAAAAAAAAGGGAAGTAAAACCTGTTATGGTTTGGCGGAGAAGTCAGTTCTTGGTTGCTCGCACAAGACCCCCATCTTGGTTTGTAAACTCATCTACCTATCCATTTAACTTATCTAGCTAAACTTCTCTATCTGCCTATCTATATCTGTCTGTCTGTCTATCTATCTATCTATCTATCCATCCATCCATTCAGCTGATCTACTCCTGTCCATCTATCTATCCATCCAACTCTATTTATCTACCTATCTACCCATTCAACTTTATCTACTCAATTTGTCTGTCAGCTTATTTGTTTGTCTATCTATATCTATCATCTATCTAATCTGTCCGTCTACCTGTCTGTCTGTCTGTCTGTCTCTCTCTCTCTCTCTCTATCTATCTATCTACCTATCATCAGTCTATATCATCTATCGTTATCTATCTATCTATCTATCTATCTATCTATCTATCTATCTATCTATCTATCTACCTATCATCAGTCTATCTCTATCATGTTATCTATCTATCTATCTATCTATCTATCTATCTATTATCTGTCTGTCTGTCTGTTTTTCTGTCTGTCTATCTATCTATCTATCTATCTATCTATCTATCTATCTATCTATCTATCTATCTATCTATCTATCTCTACCTATCTACCTACCTATCTAAACTATCATCAATCCATCTCTTATCATCCATCTATCGTCTGTCTTCTATCTGCCTGTCTGTCTATATCATCTGTCTGTGTGTCTGTATCGCTGCAAAAGACGTGAACCCCCACTTATATAAATTGATACAAGACTCAATAGCAAGGTTATTTCACAACACCTGTCTCAGGCACTGTAGGAAACAGCACCCCCCAAGTTTCATTTCCCAATTTCTGTGGGCTGCAGATATTGGAACACAAAACAGAGGGGTGCGTTCATTTTGCTACAGTTCCTTTGGAAGAATGCTTTTTAGGAGCATGGAAACCTTTCTAAACCTGACTGAAAATGTTAAAGACCACCAAGCAGGAGAGCTAAAAATAAAACCACCTGTTTCGGGTTTCATGGACAACCTGTAGTGAGAACTCTCCTTTGATTACAGCTTTCTAGAATTACATCCTAGCAGGACTGGGGAAGTGAGCAGGAAGGAAATTATGAAGTCTCCAGAATCTAGTCGGAATGTCTGAATTGAAAGTTTTTGTATATTTTTTCCCCCTTGCTTTTGGCACCCAATGAAAGGAGTTCCAGAGGAAACACAGCCTATAGGACAGCGGTGGCGAACCTATGGGATGGGTGCCAGAGGCGGCACTCAGAGCCCTCTCTGTGGGCACGCGCGCCGTCGCCCCAGTCCTAGGCCTTCAGCTGGGTTTTATAAAACCTTTTCGCTTTAGGCCTCCGCCGCCGGGTGCAAAAAAAAAAAGGTTCAGTCAATTTCAATTTCTCGCGGGGAAAAAAAAGATCTTGCAAAGTTGAAATTGATGGATTGAACTTTTTAGTCCCACCCAGTCTGCCATTACCACCACAGCCACGCCCACCCAATTGGCCACACCCAGCCAATGGGCCACACCCACCCGGCACTCGATGATGCATAAGTGGGTTTTGGGTTGCAGTTTGGGCACTCGGTCTCTAAAAGGTTCGCCATCACTGCTATAGGAGCTATAACTCAACTTTTGAATGCCAACGTATCAGTCCCAATTATATCTTGGGTATTAAGTGACGGAGAAATGTCACCCTCCAGGTCAAACTGAGTTCTGCGGACAGAGAGCACAGCTTGGTATAAAGCAGTTATTTTATACCAAGCACAGCTTGGTATAAAACAATTATCTGGTGTGTTACAAAACTCTCTAGTCAACTTGAAAAGTTGCACCATTGGCTAAAACTCACCCACATGGGACACCAGTGCCCTGGAATGATGCTAATGCCAAACAAATGTACTTGTAATGTTTGATATGGAGATTTTATGGAGATTCTCAATCATCCAGGTCATGGTTATCCCAAAGGTGCTTTTTCAGTTGGTTTGATACTGTTCTCTTGAGGAATGGATGAGAGGATAAAATGGACACTAAATTTTCACTTTTGGGGGAAAAAAATTGGGCGGGGGGAATGTTGGAACATCCTAAAGAGGTATTGGTGAGGTGAGGATCAACAGAGATTTGTCTGACGTTAACTATTCAAGTTGGCTTGAGGAATGAAAGAAGGAAGGAAGGAAGGAGGGAAAGGGAAGGAAGGAAGGTGAGAGATAGAGAGAAAAGAGAGGAAGGAAGGGAGGGAGGGATGGAATAGAAGGAAAGAAAGAAAGTGAGAAAGGAAGGAAAGAAGGAAAGAAAGAAAGGGAGGGAGGGAAAGGGAAGGAAGGAAGAAGTGAGAGACAGAGAGAGAAAAGAGGAAGGGAGGAGGGGAGGGAATGGAAGGAAGGAAGGAAAGAAAGAGAGAAAGGAAGGAAGGAAAGAAAGAGAGACAAAGAAAGAAAGAAAGAAAGAAAGAAAGAAAGAAAGAAAGAAAGAAAGAAAGAAAGAAAGAGAAAAAGAAAGAAAGAAAAGTTACTGACCTGCTGCCATTCTGAAGGGTTCTGGGGTGACAACTCCCTCTGTCTGGAAGAAAACAGAAGGTCTGATTAGACTAAAAGATCACAACTCTTGAACGGCGTCATCCCAACAGCTCAGCAAATGCCTTGACGGCTCCAATCTCTTTCCAAAACCAGACAGGAGAAGAACCCAGGCCAAAAAACATGTCCTGACGACTTCTCCCAACGTCTTGTCGCCTTGTCTTTAAATCCTTCCCATCTCCTTTTTTGTTTTTTTGGTTAAATGTTCCTAATGGCCAACTCAAATAAAACCTTCAATCCTCTCTAACAGGATGCTGGAGGACGTAAAAACAAAACAATAATAAAAAAAAAGAAAACAGCTTTACCTCAATCTATTCTGGAACACCCAAACCAATCTGGGCTTTGACACTTTGGCGACTAATTCTTTTTTTTTTTTTTTTCCCCTCTTCCTTTTTTTCAGCCGGGAGATCTGAGGAGGTGCGAGCTCTGAAGGCAGATTTGACCGAGTCCTTTTTCCAAACCACCCCGGTAGATTCAGCCAGGCAACTGCCCAACGGAGGAAACCAGAGCCCCAAGGATGGCTGTCAAGGTGTAACCCTGGAGGCAGCCTCTGACTCAGAGCTACGTGAAGGGATGCATCACCTGGGAAAGGGGTTTCCACGGCAACCGCTTCCTGCCTCGGATGTGCCGGCAGGCCTTAGGAAGAGAACCTCAGCATCACAGGGCAAAGGAAAGAAGGACCAGCTTTCCTGGGGGGGGGGGGTAAACTGAAGCGATGCAATTCCTCAGGTATGCCTGCTGGGTCTCAGACAGGGAGGTTTTTGGGTGGGTAAAGCAGGAGATGAGAAGACCAGAGGCGAAATTTCCTGACAGTTAGAACAATTAACCAGTGGAACTGCTTGCCTCCAGAAGTTGTGAATGCTCCAACACTGGAGGTTTTTAAGAAGAGACTGGACAGTCACTTGTCTGAGATGGGATAGGGTTTCCTGCTTGAGCAGGAGGCTGGACTAGAAGACCTCCAAGGTCCCTTCCATCATCAACATCTTCCTCCTCCTCCTCCTCCTCCTCCTCCTCCTCCTCCTCCTCCTCCTCCTCCTCCTCTTCTTCTTCTTCTTCTTCTTCTTCTTCTTCTTCTTCTTCTTCTTCTTCTTCTTCTTCTTCTTCTTCTTCTTCTTCTTCTTCTCCTTCTCCTCCTCCTCCTCCTCCTCCTCCTCCTCCTTCTTCTCCTTCTCCTTCTCCTTCTTCTTCTTCTCCTCCTCCTCCTCCTCCTCCTCCTCCTCCTCCTCTTCTTCTTCTTCATCATTGGGGTACACAGAAGGAGCCTCCTCGAAGATTGTGGAGCAATATTTCAAACCACAATCGGGCGTACCCTGGGCAACGGCAGTCTTGTTTGCCGGCTAATCCTTCTCACACTCGTCCATCAGATGTGATTTTTATTTTCTCACCTTTTTGGGTGCCAGTCAGGACTACATTGCAAATGGCTTTGATAATAATAATAATAAAGTTGGAAGGGACCTTGGAGGTCATCAAGTCCAACCGCCTGCTCAGGCAGATAACCTTATACCATTTCGGACTGGACAGTCATTTGTCTGAAATGGTATAGGGTTTCCTGCCTGAGCAGGATGTTGGACTAGATGACCTCCAAGGTCCCTTCCATCATCATCATCATCTTCTTCTTCTTCTTCTTCTTCTCCTCCTCCTCATTATTATATCATCATCATCATTATTATTATTATTATTATTATTATGCTTCAGTTCTCCAGATGTTTCTTTTGCTGCCTGCCCTCCATCAAAATATCGTTGGATTTGCTTTCTGGGCTCAAGCATTCGGCTGCTTCTTCAGCCTGGTGTCTAGGTCAGCCTTGGGTGGGGAAAGTGGAGTAAAACGCTCATTATTCCCAGGCATTGTGGTGACTGGACCAGGTAATAATTGTCTAGGGAAGATTGGACCATGCAATATCCAATGTAATGTAACGTCACCACATTACAAAAAAGATGTTGAGTCTTTGGGAAAAGTGCAGAGAAGAGCAACTAAGATGATCCAAGGCCTGGAGACTAAAACATACGAAGAACGGCTGCAGGATTTGGGAATGGGCAGTCTAGAGAAAAGAAGAAATAGGGGAGACATGATAGCAGTGTTCCAGTATTTGAGGGGCTGCCACAAGGAAGAAGGGGTCAAATTATTCTCCAAAGCGCCTGAGGGAAGAACAAGAAACGATAGATGGAAACTGATCAAAGACAGAAGCAACCTGGAATTAAGGAGAAACTTCCTAACAGTGAGGACAATTAACCAGTGGAAAAAGATGTTGCATTCAGAAATCATGGGCGCTCCATCACTGGAGGTTTTTAAGAACAGACTGGATACTTCTTGAAATGGTACAACATAACCCTCACATTGTTCTGCACTATATAATATGGGGATCTGACTTATTTTATCTTTCTTCCTTTGGGAAGTTGTAATTGTGAAGATGACCACTGCGAAGTGGATGAATAGACCCCACCCCCAAGAACTGCTGAAAGACCAAGCTTGGAAGAACTATCTAAGAATCAACAAGGACTCCATAGCGGATCAATCCATCCATCCAGATGGAAGGCTAATTTCAAGGCAAAACACGGGTAGGTTTTCCCCAAATCGTTAGCTTTACAACTATTGGGGGGATTTCATTTCAGTTCTGTGAAAAGCAGACTGAGTTTTTCAGGGAAAAACAACTCACCGAGAAATGGATCTCTTATTCCATTTCTTCTCCAACTCTTACAAATGAAGAATGAGCTGCGCTGCTGACCCAAACAGTTCTTTGAGTCAAATCAAATCGCTGCTCCCGTCTGAGCTGTCAGTGAAATCCTGGCATCCCGGCTTGCAATCCTGGCTTGCTACCTGATCCTATGGGCCTCAGTTTCTCCACCGCAAAAGGTCAACAGCTGAAGTCCGCCTTGCGGGCTTCTCCAAAGCGTGAATCGGATCACGATTGCATGTCGGCCGCATCTTTGGGTGGCGTCGAATTTCATGGCTGAACAGCAGCTTATCTTGATATTGGGCTAGTCCACCCCACCCCCACATCCCACCCCCCCAAAAAAAACCCTGCCAATGTAATTTCAGGAAGACACCGAGAGAGGAGGGTCTCCCAGAATAGATGCTGGCACGGTTTGAAGGGAGAAGCAACCAGGTCTAGTTACACATCTCTCTCTCTCTCTCTTTTTTTTTTTACACCTAATAAGGTTAACTCCTTTGAGGTTTTACAAAATGCAACTCAGCAGCCGTAAATCTGGCTGGAGAAGATGAGTTAGTTGCTAGAGCAAAGTTTTCACATTTCTTCCTCAGGTTTAAAGTGGATCTTGGAGGGGGAAGGGGGTGTTGAAGCATGTCAGGAGTTTGAATTCTCCCTTTCTGCAAAACGCCAAATCAAAAGAGATGGTATAGGTCTAAGATGGCATAGGTTCTCCTGCTTGAGCAGGGGGCTGGACTAGAAGACCTCCAAGCACCTGTCCAACTTCTCTTCTCTTCTCTTTTCTCTTCTCTATTTTATTTCTATTCTATTCTATTCTATTCCATATTCCTATTCTATTCTATTCTATTCTATTCTATTCTATTCTATTCTATTCTATTCTATTCTGTATTTTATTTCTATTCTATTCTATTCTATTCTATTCTATTCTATTCTATTCTATTCTATTTCTATTCTATTCTATTCTAAAAAGGCCACACATTCACCAAAAACACACCCCCTTGAAAGCACCAGGACAGGAAAAACCTGCCTAAAATTGCTGTCTTAATATCCCAGACAGGGAGAGGCTGTCTTGAAATGCTAGCTTTCTGCAAGCAAGGAACTGGCAAGGCAAGGAAGCAGCCAGTTAAATTTCTTCCTTCTTTCCCTGCCTTTTCAATGGGCCACCCCCTCCCTCCCTCCAAGGATGGTTCAAAGGCCTCTCTAAACGCCCCCAAATAAAGAGAAGCTTATAAACCGGGCACGGACAAAAAAAAAAAAAATACCAAGTTATCTTCCCTGTCAGTTGAAAAGTATGTTAGACATCCTGCAGCAGAGGTCAGGAAACACGAGGTGGAGAATGATGCCTGGTATCTGGAGTTACACCTTCATCCTTAACCTCAGGGCGATGTGGTGATTATGATGGGCTAACCCCATCATCACAATGAGGTGATGCAGCACTGAATGACAGCTGTGTGGGCTGTTAAAAGCAACACAAAGTCCCAGAACGTCCTCCGTGGAGAAATCTAGAACCTCGGTGGGTTTTCTAACTGCAAAGAACAAGGGCTATGTCTCTGTGTGTTTGTGTGTTGTGTGGTCTCTCCAGGCAGTGCAGTTAAGACCCCCCCCCCCAGGATAACCAATGGGGATATTCTGAATTTTAGCATCCTTACATACTTGGATGCATCCCAGGTTCACATTTAGCCACAAACGCTTCCCAGACAGCTATTTCATTCTCTTGTCATCCCAGCCTACCTTACAGGAGGGTTGTGGAGTGAGGGGAGGAAAGGGGAGGCGAGACTGCTATGCACATGCTAAAATTGCTGTTTAGATCCTTGAGGAAGGCCGGATTAAATCAGCGTACGGGGAGGCTGTCCTGAGATGCTAGCTTTCTGCAGGTGAGAATCTGGCTGGGTAAAAAAAGCAGCTAACCCTTTTTTTCCTTGCCTTTTAAATGGGGCAGCCCACCAGGATGGTTCAAAAGTCTTTAGATCTTGGAAAAAGAGAATTTTACTTCCAAGAAAGAATGAAAGAAAGGTGAGGGGGAAAAAAAAAAAACAGGATCTGCTCTCCATCTTGCTTAAGCCAGCATCCAGATTTCCTCCAGATCCTGTAGTTCTCCACACTTTGCACCCCAAATGATCCTTTTTATCACCTCCAAATCTGGCTGGGGATTTTTTTTTCTTCAATTTACACCCGAGGTCGTTTATTAGGAAGTGTTTTGGTGCGATGTTAAAATTGGGGCCGGAAGTTATCAGCCTTTCTCTCCGTTCCTTCTGGATCAAAGCAAAAAAAAGTAAACTCCTGCTGTTTAACCAGGGCAGTGTTGGATTTGGGGGTGGGGGTGGGCAGGAGAAAGACAGAGAACCCCCCCTTGAAAAACATATTTAAAAGCCCCCCCCCCAAAGCTTTGGAGAAACAGAAACCAAAATTGAAGAGGTTAGTCAAGGTTATTGCAACCCAAAAGCTGGTGCAGAGACACACATACACACAATCGCCTCTGGGTCAAAAGCACAGCCTGTTGGTTTTGCTACGTCTAGCCACAACATTTGTGCCCGAGCTTACTTTGTTGCAAATCCCTTTAAAAATAATAATATTACAATTGTCGATAAGAAAGACAAAAAAGTCTGGCTAGTGGACATGGCAGTGCCTGGAGACAGCAGAATAGACGAGAAAGAACTGGAGAAGATAACAAAATACATACAAATAGAAATAGAAAGACTGTGGCAAAAACAAGCAAGGGTGGTACCAATAGTCATAGGCGCCTTGGGTGCAATCCCAAAACAACTGGAGCACCACTTGGACACCATCATCGGCATTGACAAATTCGCTATTAGTCAATTGCAAAAGGCGGCCTTACTAGGAACTGCTTCCATCCTGCGACGATATCTGTAATACCATCAAATAATCCACATCTGCCTATCCCAGGTCCTGGGTAAGGACTCGATAGGTAGACAAAATGCCAAATCCAGTCTGAACATCTGGCTGACTGTGCGATGATCCATAATAATAATAATAAACAACTGTTGCACACCCCTACCCAGAGCTTTTTCTTGGTTCTCTAACTATCGGAGAAATGTGTTTATCTTCCTAAGGATCCATGCTGAATGAGATCAAGAAGAAAACCAAGGCATCCGTTTTTCCTTCCCCAAAGGATGTCCTGCCTTCATCAAAATAAAATTAATCCTGGAAAACAGCTCAGGCTTACCTCTCAGTGCTGGAGGGGGAAGGCAGACAAAGGCGGCCACAGAGAGACGGCTGTGTGCTTCCACCACCGGCCAGCCTGCATGGTTATTTTTACCTCCCTATATAGAGACGGTTGGAGGCATGATGGGAGAAGGAGGGAGCATTGTGGGCAGCCACCACGGGTGCCCACAGACGGGAGCTGAATAGCAATGAGGGCAGATGTCTGGGAAGGCTGATTTGTTGGAGATGAAAAAAAGGGGGAAAGAGAAGGAGAAGAACACAGTGGAAAAAGAAGGAGAAAGAGAGAGAGAAGGAGAGAGACAGAAGGGGGAGAGACAGAAAGGGAGAAGGAGGGAGGGAGAGAGAAGGAGAGAGAGACAGAAGGAGGGAGAGGGAGAGAAGGAGGGAGAGGAAAAGAGACAGAGAGGAGGGGAGAGAGAGAAGGAGGGAGAGGGAGTGAAGGAGGGAGAGAGAGAAAGAGAGGAGGGGGAGAGAGAAGAAAAGAGAGAGACAGAAGGAGGGAGAAAGAGAGAAAGAGAGGAGGGAGGGAGAAGGAAGGAGAGAGACAGAGCAGGAGGAAGAGAGAGAGAGAAGAAAAAAATGGACAGGCTGACCAAGGAGATGTCCTTTCCACTTTGAGCCCTGGCTGAACCCACCAGTAGCTCTGACCCTGTCCACCAGCCGCTCAATTCTTCTGCTTCTTGGCCTGTCCTGTGTTTTCTTTCCATTCCTGTTTGCTTAACAGGCAGGTTAATTGCCTGCCATCCATCAATGTCGGTCATTGACCCCTGGCTGCTGTCCCCAACCTTCTCCCACCAGGAACTCCCACCCGGTCAGTTTCAGCTCCTGCTCTGATGAAGACCCAGGTTCAGGAAAACAACAATTCAGGAAGCCAGGCCAAGAACCAGGTCTGGACTGTATCAAGAGGGTGTGACCTCACCTGTTCCTTTCTCTGCTCTTCCTTTGGAGAGTCCTGGCACGGGCTGAAGAAACTCTGCAGTGGCAAATCTAGACAAACACACACACCCCCCCAAAGCCAAAGAAAACAAGATAATTATATATCTGGAAGATTTATGAGAAAAAAAACAACACACTTCTGGTGGGGAAAAAAAACCAGGATTGCAAGAACAGTCAAAAGTTAAAGGGAGGTTTAAAATGTGTGTGCCAACAGCCTGCAATCCTCTTATTCTAGCCCCGAAAGGATTCCAGATGTGCGTCAGGAAATGGGAAGAAGTTGAGCAGAAGTTGGTGGAGACCCTTGCTAAGCTGTGAACTCCAAATAGGCCTTGAGAATAATCTTGGGGGACAGAAGGAACGGCCTCAGCCCAGCCAAAGATCATAAAAAGGAGGTCTTAGCCCACAGAAGGTGGGGGAGATGGCGAAGATCTCCCTAGTTCCCAACCTCAAAGGGTTGACACAACCGTTGCTTGTATTTCTGGTTGAACACGAGCTATGAAACCATTTTGAGGTTCAAACGAGACTCATCCTTCTCTAGGTTCCCTAGAACAGGAATCTCCAAACTTCTGGTTGAACACAAGCTATGAACCCATTTTGAGGTTCAAACGAGACTCATCCTTCTCTAGGTTCCCTAGAGCAGGAATCTCCAAACTTGGCAATTTTGAGACTTGTGGACTTCAACTTTCCTGCTGGCTGAGGAATTCTGGGAATTGAAGTCCACAAGTCTTAAAAGTTGCCAAGTGTGGCGAACCCTGTCTAGAAGATGGACTATGCCCTCAACAGAGGACTCTGGTCCCTGCTTTTAATTCCAGCAGCTTCTATAGCTTTGGGTCACTCCAGGAAACATCTCTGAAGGCGATCAAGATGTTCTCTGTAGTCTTCCCTCCTCCTCCTACATTTTTCTGAGCTGGAGTAAGATGGCGTGGGAGCGTTTCTTTGGTCCCTTAATACAAGCAGATTCTTTCTCACCCAGAATTCTTTTTCTCTCTGGCTGCAGCCGTTGCTGAATGCAGGAACTGATGGCAGCAAATATTTCATCTTCTTCTCCATCCGCATCGAACTGTAAAGGAGAAGAAAGATAGTCTCAGTCTTGGTCCAATCCTCTGCTCCGTTCTTCTCCCTACTATGTGTGCAAAAAGTCTTTACTTTTGGACTTCAGTTTCAAGTGTCTAACGTCCCTTCAGAGAAGGGATGGAAGAGATAACAAGTGGACACTTGTAGACATATCTCTGTATTGCTTCTCCAAAGGGTGATAACCGCAAAGAAATATTGTTATGAAATTCCAACGTCATCAAGTTCCTCAGTAATATGAAAAAAGCGGGCTTAAAAAGCAGATGTCACTTTGAACTGGAGCCAAATTGGTTCTATGAGGCAGCAACCACGGTCCTTGAGATACCAAAAGGGCTTTGAGTGGTATGGCTGACCGTCAAAGAGACGTGTGTGACAAAGTCTGTGGAGATTTCTCAGTCGTCCAGGTCCACAATTGTCCCAAAGGTGCTTTTTCAAAAGGCAACTGGACTTTCTTGGTTTTCCCCTGAAGACGTTTCGCTTCTCATCCCAGAAGCTTCTTCAGCTCTGACAAGTCAAAACTTCTTCAAGGAAAAACCAAAGAAGTCCAGTTGCCTTTTGAAAAAGCACCTTTGGGACAACCGTGGACCTGGACGGCTGAGAATCTCCAAAGACATTGTCATACACCTCTCTTTGGAAGTCAACCCAGCACCTTTGCGATGGTGTGGGACAAAGAAACCTGGCAAAATATGGACCACCCTCTTCGGGGTGATGGATGACTCTAACGTCAAGCTAGGAGTCTTGTTTGATCAGCTGAAGGAACGTTCTTCCCTAGTAACCTAGCAAGCATGACTTCTTCTGCTTAGGTCACCCAGGAAACCAGCTTCATGCAGAGCTTCTGGCCCATGCCCTAAGCAACCGAGGTTCTCAGGAGATGGGTCATTGAGCAAGGCACTGAAAAGCAAACCTAGACATCTTCTGGGATTCCCGCCCTTGCGATCCTCACCCGGACCAAGGTTCCTTTCTCCTGGTAGTACTTCCCAATGAGCTGAGCATTCTGCTTGAAGGTCTCCAGCCTGCGCTCAATGGCATGAGGGTTATCATCCAAGCGTCCTTGTTCCTGAGCCCTTCCTTTTAGTCGCTGTCGGAGCTGTTGACTCGAGCATGCCAGGAAGATCACAACATCTGGAGAACCAACCTAAGAAAGGCAAAGGATGGAGGATAGGATTGTGAGAAGCCAACCTTGGATTGGTCTCATCCCACCTTGCTTGCTTTTGGTCCAAAGGCCTTCATTCTTTTTTCAGAATAGAATAGAGCTGGAAGGGACCTTGGAGGTCTTCTAGTAGTCCGGCCCCCTGCTGAAGCAGGTGAACCTATACCATTTCAAATAAGTGACTGTCTAGTCTCCTCTTAAAAGCCTCCAGTGATGGAGGACCCACAACTGTTCCACTGGTTAATTGTCCTCACAGTTAGGAAGTTTCTCCTTAGTTCCAGGTTGCTTCTCTCTTTGATCAGTTTCCAACCATTGTTTCTTGTCTTGCCTTCAGGTGCTTTGGAGAATAAGTTGACCCCCTCTTCTTCTTTGTGGCAGCCCCTCAAATGCTGGAATACTGCTATCAGGTCCCCCCTACTCCTTCTTTTCTCTAAACTAGCCAAACCCAAATCCCGCAGCCGTTCTTCCTATGTTTTAGTCTCCAGGCCTTGGATCATCTTACTTGCTCTTCTCTGGACTTTTCCCCTCTACATTTACTTTTTCTCTGAAAAAGCCAGCCTCACCTGTTGGCCTCTCTACCATCAGGTGAAAGATGTAGGGAAAAGGTTGTGGAAGGCCAGGTGGAGAGAAGAACTGAGGTCTCCAAGAAGGACACCAACCTACCATCTCTCAGGGACGAATGTTGGCAGCGTCATCTCACCTGCTCCTCGCACAGGAAGGCCTGGCCAATGTCTCGCGGGAACCCATCCACCACAAAACCTTTGGCCTTTGGGTGCTTGATGAACTGCTGCTTCAGCTCTTCAAAGGTCGTCTCCTGAAAAGCACAAGAGATATCTCAAGAGGGATGGCAGTGTGGTGTCTTGTAGACCCAACGGTCTACGATGGTCAACGGTCGTATCATGGGGCAAACTTCATTTAATAAGTGTCCTGCTTAGCAAGGGGAATGTTGAGCTCGGTTGTGGCCATAAGGTGAGGGCTATGTGTGTGTGTGAGTCAGGGGGCTAACGGCAGCTTCAAGACACGTCTCACTCACCGACGGGGCTAACTCTCCGTCGGCAATAATCTTGCCAATGAGCTCCCACTTCTTGTCGCTGGCGACACGACGGAGTGTCTGAGCGCGCAGAATTTCTCCGACGGAGACGGCGACGAAGCCAAAGTGAGCGGCCATCCTCCGGCTTTGCGTCCCTTTCCCGCTCCCGGGACCCCCTGCGAGGGAGAAAAGTGGGGATCAGTTTGGCAGGAAGCAGGATCGAAGGGGCACCCGAGCGTCGGGACCAGATTTAATCAAAGAGGCCGATCTAGATAAGGCATCCCGAAGACAAGACGGGATTCGAAACATCTCTCCTAATAATCCTGCAAATTTTCAATCTTAGCTGCAAAAAAAAAGATGGGGAATTTTTTGTACATTGACAATTTTTTACGTTGAGAAAGGAGATTCTTTCTAGAGCTGTATATATAGAGAGAGGATAAGTAAACTTTCCTTCTTCAGATGTTGTTCTAATTGATCACGATGGACTAAAAGATCTCTAAGGTCCCTTCCAACTTGTGATTCTATGATTTATCTTCTCCTTCTTCTCCTCCCCTTCCCCTCCATCTTCTCTTTCTTCTCCTCCATCTCCATCTTCTCCTCCTCCCTCTGATCCTCTTCCTCCCCTCCCCTCCATCTTCTCCTTCCCTTTCTTCTCCGTCTCCTCCATCTCCATCTTCTCCTCCTCCCTCTTGTCCTTTTCCTCCCCTTCATCTTCTCTTTCTTCTCCTTCTCCATCTCCTCCTCCTCCTCCTCCTCCATCTCTTCCTCCTCCCTCTTCTCCTCCTCCTTCCCTCCATCTTCTCCTTCTCCTTCTTCTCCTTCTTTCTCCTTTGCCTCCTTCTCCATTTCCTCCTCCTCCTCCTCATCTCCACAAACCTCACTCTCTTTTAGCAGTGATGATGTTACCTAGTAGGGTAGTGAAACATTTGCAAGAAGACCATCAAGTGCCTAGCACCCCACAGTCCTTCTTCTCCTCCCTCCCCATCTCCAAGGTCCCTTCTGCCTCTATGATTCTATGACCTTCTCTTTTCCCCCCTCTGATGTGTCCCTCAACTCCCAAATGAGGCTCTGATGCTCCTGCAAGAAACACAGACGTATCCTAGAGAGTTGGGCCTCTGATACCTCACAGGATCCTAAGACTGGAAGAGACCTCAAAGGTCTTCTAGTCTGACCCTCCAGGGATCTGCTTCCCGCCCAGATCTTTCTTCTGACCGAACCTCTCACCTATCACAAAAACGATCTTAGGACGGGGCCGTTCAGGGTCAAACACGTCGTATTCCTGGATTAGCCCAGTGGATTCGGTCATGTCGGAATCGCTCTCGATGGAGAACTGGCTCTGCACACAGGATACGTCCTGGTAGGAGCCGAAGGGGGCTGAGGGGGAAGCTGCAAGCGAGAAGAAAGAAGTCACAGCCTAGGTGGGGGAGTGGAAATTCATCGGAGAGGACAAGGCAAGGCAACGGAACAAGGCGGTGCTCAACTTACGACACAATGGGGATCAGACGTTCCGTTGCTAAGCAAGCGGTTAAGTGAATTTTGCCTCCCCCCTTTTACAACCTTAGTTATAGTTGTTCAATTAGTCACCCGGTTGTTAAACGAATCCAACTTCCCTGTTGACTTTGCTTGTCAGGCCACCATCATAAATATGAATCTCTTGCCCAGCCTCCGAATGTCAGTCACGTGACCACGGGGACGCGGCAACGGTCATACGTGTGAATAACGGTCATGCGTCGCTTTTTGCAGTGCCGCTGTGACTTCAGTCCCTAAGCGAGTTGTTGTAAATTGAGGACTGCCTGTAGGGTCGGGATGCTGTGCAAGGACTGGTCGCAAGTCCCTTTTTCCAGTTTTGAGGGGTCACTAAAGGAACGGTGACTAAATCCAGGACTAAGTGCATTAAGGGATGTGCAAGCAAAACTCTCTGATAAACATGAAGCTTTTCTTCCCAGGATCCCAAAGGATCCTGTTCCCCATCCAGGAGCCGGAGACCCCATGCACCTCAAAGAGAAGGACGCCTGGTGGAGACAGTTCTCTCCCAGGACTCCAAAGGACCCTTTTCCCCATCCAGCTGAGACCCCATGCAACTCAAAGAGAAGGACGCCTGGTGGAGACATAGTTCTGCTCCCAGGATCCCAAAGGACCCTTTTCCCCATCCAGGAGCCGGAGACCCCATGAAACTCAGAGAAGGACGCCTGGTGGAGGCATAGTTCTTCTCCCAGGAACCCAAAGGACCTCTTTCCCCATCCAGCTGGAGACCCCATGCCTCTCAGAGGGAAGGACGCCTGGTGGAGACATAGTTCTGCTCCCAGGAACCTATCCAGGAGCTGGAGATATAGAGGATGCCTGGTCTCTTAACACAAAGACCTTGAAACCCACCACCTGTAGAACGGTCATCCACCTGAATGGAAGAGGGCCTTCTTGTTTAAGCCCCCAGCAGTAGGTTGAACATCTTCTTGACTGAGGAACGTGTCCCACTGCAGCTTCTCTGGACCACCCATCGCCCGGACCTTCGTCAAGCATCCTTCAAGGTAGCTGATGGGGTCTTCTGGCTGGTAATACATCAGTCCTGTCAACATGCTCTGGAGGAGGGAGAGGAGGAGGAGGAGGAGAAGGAGAAGAAGAAGAAGAAGAAGAAGAAGAAGAAGAAGAAGAAGAAGAAGAAGAAGAAGAAGAAGAAGAAGAAGAAGAAGAAGAAGAAGAAGAAGAAGGGGAGAAGGAGGAGGGGAGGAAGAGGAGGAGAAGAAGAAAGAGGAGGAGGAGAAACAGTAAGATGCTGCAAAGTCATAAATACAAAGCATCTGAATTTTGATCATTTGACCGTGCGAATGCTGCAATGGCCGTAAGTGTGAATAACAGTCGTCACTTTTCTCGGTGCTGTTGTAACCTCGGTCGCTAAATAAAACTGTTGTTAAGCAGAGGATTATCTGTAACTTAGAAGGAGAAGTGTTCCTGGCTAGGACTCCTGGACTTTCCCCAAGAGTGACAGTTGAACTTGCCAATCCAATCAGGCAGCATAAATTTCCCGATGATTTCGTTTGTCAGAGGAGGGAAGCTTCCTGCTGGTGGAAGCTTCCCAGAAGAATTTACTTTGGGCTTGAGCTTGCAAGTCTTATACCCCACGTGCAGGGAAAGCACATTTTCCATTCATCCCTCTCCAGATCCAACAAGCCTTCTGTGCGTGCTCAGAAGCACTCCTTCCTCTAAAGACACTTCAACGGGTGCTCCTGTTTTATTTTGAAGTGTCTCCAATGAATTCAGGGCTGCTAACTGAGGAATATCTTAGCGTCTGCAAGGAAGGATGTGTGAACTGAGATTTGAAATGCAAATTTTAGCGCAGTGTTCTTCAACGTCAACAACTGTAAGACCACTGGACTTCAACTCCCAGAATTCCCCCAGCTCCCCAACTATGGAATTCTGGGAGTTGAAGTCCACAGGTCTTAAAGTCGCTGCCATTGAAAAACTCTCCCACCCTTTTTAAAAAGTTCTCGGAAGGGATGCCTTGTAAAACCAGCTTTCAGAATTAGCCATGGAGACATTTGCTGTGTTGTGATGCTGCTATGTACAAACACACCCTCATTGTTTAGATTTCTTGGCAGAATGGTTGGAGGAGAAAGAGATCTGCTGATCCGTACAAGGCAATCATAACTGAATTTAGCAAGCCGGCTCTTTTCTAACATTCCCGAATGCCTCGGGGTTAGCATCACTGATGAATTATGGGAAAATCCAATGGGAAGGGTCTCTGGCCTTAATATACCCTTAGGTGGTTGCCCTTATTGATTGCATAGCACAGCACAGCATAGAATGTAGAATATAGAATAGAATAGAATAGAATAGAATAGAATAAAGATAGAGAATGGAATAGAATAAGGATAGAGAATAGAATAGAATAGAATAGAATAGAATAGAATAGAATAGAATAGAATAGAATAGAATATGGATAGAATACGGATAGAGAATGGAATAGAATAAGGATAGAGAATAGAATAGAATAGAATAAGAATAGAATAGAATAGAATAAGGATAGAGAAGAGAAGAGAATAAGGATAGACAATAGAATAAGGATAGAGAATGGAATAGAATAGAATAGAATAGAATAGAATAGAATAGAATAGAATAGAATAGAATAGAATAGAGCTGGAAGGGACCTTGGAGGTCTTCTAGTCCAGCCCCCTGCTCAAGTAGGAGAACTTATACATTTCAGATAAGTGACTGTCCAGTCTCTTCTTAAAAACCTCCAGTGATGGAGCGCCCACAATTTCTGAAGGCAAGCTGTTCTAGTGGTTCATGGTCCTCGCTGTTAATTTAATTCTATTTTTTTTTTTTTTCCTCCCTGAAGTTTAATGCAAGTCTATCTGGGAGTTTCCCCTCACTTTAACTCTACAATAATCCTGTGAGGTAGGCTGGGATGTAAAAAGTGCCAAATATGAATTATTTGGAAAAATAATAAAGGAGGGACAACATAAACTAAAAAGTTGGGATAGCTGAATAGAGAGCACCCCTATGTAGGAATAGTATATCTGTAAATATTAGCCATAGATGGAATGTATTTTTAACCCACCAGAAGGCTGTTGCTTTCAAGCCTGGATTGTAAATTGCAGTGGGCCTATTTTACTACAGTTCTATGCAATGCAATTTTTCCCCTCATTTTTGTTTTTCTTGTTCTTTGAATTGTTTATAAACCACCCTGTCTTGAAATATGGGACAATAAAGCAATAAAGAAACAAAATCAGGGCACTGAGCAAAAACATCCACTTTTTTGTCCTGATTCAATCTGCCTTATTATTTTCTTGATGCAAGGAAAGCCCTCTCTCCCTTAAAAATGGAGCATCCTTAGGAAGAGGCAGTCTATCTTTCCATAGGATGTCGCCAGAGCGACCGCAGGCGGTCTATTTCAAATTTTGGAATTATTAGGGGATGGAGAGCCAGCTATGCATTCTACCGGCCGCTAAAAATCACAGCTAGCTACCTGCCTTCCTCTTGGGTGCTACTCAGAAAGATTTTTTTAAAAAAGGAGGGTTCAAGGAAAACTAATATAGCCCCTCATGGCAGCTGGAGGTTCTCTAGAGAAAAAAAGGGGGGAGGAGTAGAGCAAAGTAGAGCAAAGAACTAAGGAGAAACTTCCTGACAGTGAGAACAATTCACCAGTGGAACAATCTGCCCCCAGAAGCAGTGAATGCGCCAATATTGGAAGTCTTTAAGAAGAGACTGGACAGCCATTTGTCCGAAATGGTATAGGGTTTCCTGCCTGAGCAGGGGGTTGGACTAGATGACCTCCAAGGTCCCTTCCAACTTTATTATTATTATTATTATTATTATTATTATTATTATTATTATTATTATTATTATTATTATTCATGAAGAACAGGCATTCACATCTCCCTAGTTTAGCAGGTCTGCTTTGCCAATTTTTCCATGCCGGCTGACAGTTTGACTCATTTTTGGGCATTCATTTCATCCATAGCATCAGCATCCAGCCTGGTTTGCAAATAATGGGGGGGAAGCCCCATCCCAAAGAGGACCCCCCCCAGAGGCCTTAATGCAATGGGGGAACTCCAGTCTTTGCCCCCCCCCAGGTTTGGGGTCGCGCCAGAGGCGTGACTGTCCCCCATTCCAGTCTCCCTTCTCCAGCCAAGACGCGCAGCTTTATGCTCCCTTTCCATGGTGGAAAACCACCCAGGGTCAGCCTGGATTGGTAGCCAAACGTCTCCGGAGCCATCTGGACAACCTCCCAGAGCCTCTCAAGTGTGTGTGTGTGCTTGTGTGAGTGTGTGATTGTGCCCAATCTCCCCTCCCGTCGTAGCAGCGCTGCCCTCTCCGGTTCACTGATTAGGAATTTGCACCCAGACGCCCGTGAAGCCTTGCCCGTTCCCGAAGAAGACTCCGTTCGCCCGAAATGCCAGCCCGGAGCGCGCTCTGCTTATGCTCAGAAACCCACTCCCTCCTTTTCTGGGGATCCTGGCGAGGCTAGCTCCCCCCGCGCGATCCTCTTGGCGCCCTGCGCAAAGTTTGGACGTTCCCAAAGCGGCACCTTTGCGCTCTGAAGAGATGGCAGGCTGCGCCCGGGGCGCTTTGTGCATGCTCAGAGGCGCCCCCGGCGCCCGGGAGGAGGGGGCTGGCCCCGCGGAAGAGCCGCCCCAGGACCTACCTCGAAGAGCCGCGGGATCTCCCGGCTGGAGATGTAGTCGCCCGCCTCGGCTGAGTCGCTCATCGCCCTGCTGGGACGCTCGCCCTGCTCTTCCCTTCCCTTCCCTTCCTTTTTCCCTTCCCTTCCTTTCCTCTCCTCCTCCAGCCCAGTTCTGGGTGCCGTTCTCGGCTCGGGGCGGGGTTCGGGGGCGGGAGGTCGAGACGAGAACTGCCCATGTGTGGCTGGGTGGAAAGAGTATCTCTGAGCCTGTGCAGAGGGGCTGCCCAAAGCTGGCAGGAGCTGTTTTTAAGGTTCTTTAAAACTGCCTCTAATTCTCTCTCTCTTCTTTGACTCTTTCTCTCTCTCTCTCTCTCCCTTTCTTTTTCTTTTCTCTGTGTCTATTTACTTTTTCTTTCTTCTTTCTTCCTTTCATCTTTTTTTCTTTCTCCCTCTCTTTTCTTTCTATCTTTTTCTTCCTTTCTTCTTCCTCTTTTCTTCTTTCTTTTTCCTTCCTTTCTTTCTTACTTTCATCTTTCTCTCTCTCCTCTTCTCTCTTCTTTCTCTCTCCCCTCTCTTCTTTTTCTTTTTTTCTTTCCTTTCTTCCATTCCTCTTCCTCTTCTCTCTGTCTCTCTCTCTCATGTGTATGAGCTTCAGCCTTTCTTCCTGCCTTCCTTTCATCTTTCTCTCTCCCTTCTTTCTCTTCTTTCTTTTTCTTCATTATATTCTCGTTTCTGTTTGAATGTTAAGTGTAATTCTTTGTTCCCTTTCCTTCCTTCCTTCCTTCCTTCCTTCCTTCCTTCCTTCCTTCCTTCCTTCCTCCCTGCCTGCCTGCCTCCCTCCCCTTCTTTTTGTTTTCTTCTTTCTTTTTTCCCTTTCCCCCTGCTGTTTTCATTCTTTTTGTCCCCTTCTAAGTTTAGTCTGCATTAGTTCGTACTACGGCCATCAAACTTCTGAAGTATATAAAAATCCACCTTTAAGAAGAAAAAAAAAAAAGGAAAGACCTTTTTAGTCAAGTCAACGTTTATTAAAAGTGTCTTCTTTAAGATTCGTCAAACACGTCAAAGCAACTTTTAACAGTAAAGAATGTCGCAGGCCAGTAAACGTTCAACCGTCTCAGAATGCATGAAAAGGCAACAGTGCAAAATCCAAACGAAAACATCCTCACCGCCATCGCTTTGGTACCAAACTTTTGAAGAAGGGGCTCCAGAAAGGACGTGTGTGTGTGTGTGTGTGTGTGTGTGTGTCATCTTTTAACCTGGCTGTTCCAGCTGGGGACAGTGGGCATCGCAACCCAACAGGTAGAAATCAATGAATTGAGAAAGATGAATGGAGGGCCAAGTTTTGCAGCAGAGAAACAGAAGTGCAAAGAGCAATTCTTTTATTGAATTCTGCAAATTGAGATTGTCGGAGTCATTTTGGGGAGCTGGCAGATCAGACGCCAGGACTGTGTTGCCAGGCTGAATAAGCTGCCCAAATTGCCTGGGTGCTGGGGGACTGGCCACCCACCGTGGGGCAGAAAAGTAAGATCAGCAGAATTGGGCACAGGTGGCTACACAGCTAAGGGAGTTCTTTGCTTGCCCAGCAGTATGTAGGGAAGTCCTTCAGAAACTTTTTTTTTGGGGGGGGGGTTCTTTTCCTGAACCCCAGATAGATTGGATGACCGGGGGAAGGCTGTTTGCTGCCTTCCCTGCTCTTCAATTTAAATTAATTTTTTTTTTTTTTTTGGTCATAAGGAAAGGGGGGAAAAAAAAATAGCGCCCCGATGCTTTGCTCTCCCGGATGCTCCAAGATTACAACTCCCATCCTTCCCAGCCACGGGAGGGGAGGTTTTGCCCAGTGGCCCCCCTCTAAAATAAATAAATAAATAAATAACACCTTTGGAAGGACCGAACAGGTCAAGCGGCGAGGGGTCAAGGGCAGCTAAGCAGATGGCGGGGCCTCACCAAGTCTCCTCGTCCCTGATCCTGAGCGACTTGGCTAAGGATAATGGGAGTCGGAGTCTGCAGTTCAGGAGGGCTCCCCCCCGCCTTCCAGGATCAAGTCTCTGAAGTTGAACAAGGCAGCGAAAAGGAACCAGGGAGAGAGAAAACAAATCCCTCTCGGAGAACTTACCAACCGCTAAGCGTCCAACTAGAAGCAACTTGGATGGGCTGCCATCCAGCTGTGAGCTCGTCGGACTCCTAATTTCCCACAATGCCCCGAGGCGCTCCTCTGTGGCATGATGGGAAATAACACAGCGCTCCAGGAACCAGAGAGAGCTCTTGGAGAGCTTACACCGAGCTCCACCAGTGCTAGAAGAACCTTACAAGGGGGTTGAGATGGGCGTCCATCCAACTGTGGGACCATCAGACTTCTCATTTCCCACCATGCCCCAGGGCGCTCCTCTGTGGCATGATGGGAAACTTAAAAACCTCCAGGCTCTGCTAGCCAGGCCCAGCTAGGGTGGGGCGCCTGCAAGATCCCGGCTTTGGCACTTGTGTGGTCTCCTTGTGGTCCTACTCCCACTCGGGGTGTGAGAAAGTGATGTTGTACAGACTAGCCCATCTGGCGAAGACCCGTTTCTCGGTGATAAAGCGGTGGTGGTTCCCTTTGTGGCTGCGTTCGTTGCGGATGTACGTCGTGCATTCGTCCGGCCCCTTCGGTTCGTAGTAGTGGTAGGGCAACCGGTGGGGAGGGGTCTTCATGCTGGGGGGAGAAAGGCCAGGTGAGGTCGAGAAAGGGGATCCCCTCCTCCCCAGCCTTGGAAGCCAGGCGCAGGGCAACTTACGTGCAGTAGCTGGGGGGCACCATCCCATAAACGTGGAGTTTGTCGCACAATTCGACGGCGATAACCATGGTGAACCAGCCGGTGCTCAGCCACGAGCGTGACGTCTGCCTGGGGAAGGGCAGAGGAAACCGGAGAAGGGAAGAAAATATTTTGGACACTTCCTTTTGGGCGTTGAAAGGGCGGAAGGACAAAAGGAAGAGGCTTCTGTTTGCCTTTCGCCAAGGCGCAGTGTGGCTAGACCAGTGTGGCAGTTTGAGGATGGGTGGACTACACCTCCCAGAATTCCCCAGCGCTGGCTTAGAGACCATCTGTCAAGTGTCCAGTTGGCGAATCCAGAAAAAGAAACTCATTCTGTCACTCTGCCACTCAACTTCTCCCTCTCTCTCTCACTCTCTCTTTCCCCCTCTCTCTAATCTATCATCTATCTATGTCTATCATCTATGTATCGCTATCTGTCCATCCATCCATATTTATCTATCTATCTATCTATCTATCTATCTATCTATCTATCTATCTATCTATCTATCTATCATCTGTCTGTCTATCTATCTACCTATCTATCTATTATCTATCTATCTATCTATCTATCTATCTATCTATCTATCTCTCTCGAATACAGGAATTAAACACGGTTCTAATTCGGCTAATTGATTTTGTAGGAGTCTCACTAAGTTTTAGCTTGCTAATTTTTCTGAGAACTCTTTTGACCGAGGCAGAAACATTGCAAAAGAAAAAAAAAACCTCATTCTTAACTTCTTGAATTAAGTTCGGTCTGCTTGGGGCTGATAGGTTTTCTGAACCCCTAAAAAGCTTCTCTCTCCACGACTGTCTTGAGGCTAGGAGTTCCGCTGGATCTCGGCTCGGGGATGTGAAAAACCTTCCATCTTACAGACTCACCTGTCCTTGCCCGTCTCTTTTTGGAACAGGTCGTCAAACTGCTGCATGCGCTTCGGAGAAGCCACGAAGGCGGTCATGTTGGGGAAACTGAGGCTGACGCGCTCGATGAGCTTGATGATGCTCTTCTGCATCTTGAGGGGGGGACCCCAGAAAATTAAGACGTTCTCGGGGGTCTTGTTGATGAACTCCTGCGGCCTCTTCAGGACTCGGAAGGCGCTGGAGTGAGCGATGACGCGGAAGGTGGTCTTGTTCCCCACGTCCTCCCAGAAGCCCGTGGTGGGCGCGTCGTTCATGCGAATGGTGCATTCGGTCTGGTCAATGTCTCTGCCCAGCTTGCTGCCCAGGAGGTGACTGGAACTGGTGATGAGGACGCACTGATTGCAGTGACGGTCTAAGGGCTGGGGCAGAAAGTAACCCGGTTGGAGCAAAGAGAGAAGGTGGTTTGGCTTCGACAGTCCAGGGAGAAGGAGTAGAAAAAGAAGAGAGAGCAAAAGAAGAGAGAGGAGAAGGAGAGGAAAACGGAGGAGGAGAGGAAGAAGGAGTGGGAGGGAGAATCGGGGAAGGAGAAAAAAGGAGGAGGTAAAGGAGAAAGAGAAGACAGAGAAGGAGAAAGAGGAGGAGGGGTGGAAAGGTAGAAGAGAAAATGAGGAGAAGGAATGGTAGAAAGAGGAGGAAGAGGAGATAGACAATGAGAATGAGAAGAAGAAAGAAGGAGTCATGAAAAGAAGGAGAAGAAGGAGGAGATAAGGAGGAAAAGATGGAAGAAGAAGGAGAAAGACTTGTCAAAAGGAAGGAGGAGATAAAGAGAAGAAGATGGAGAAGGAGACGATGGAGGAGAAGGAGTTGTCCAAAGGCAGAAGGAGGAAGAGATAAAGAGGAGGAGGAGGAGGAGATGGAAGAAGAAGAAGGAGAAAGAATTGTCAAAAGGAAGGAGGAGATAGAGAAGAAGATGGAGAAGGAGACGATGGAGGAGAAGGAGTTGTCAAAAGGCAGAAGGAGGAAGAGATAAAGAGAAGGAGGAGGAGAAGATGGAAGAAGAAGGAGAAAGAATTGTCAAAAGGGAGGAGGAGATAAAGAGAAGAAGATGGAGGAGAAGGAGGTCAAAAGGCAGAAGGAGGAAGAGATAAAGAGAAGGAGAAGGAGGAGGAGGAGGAGAAGATGGGAGAAGAAGAAGGAGAAAGAGTGGTCAAAAGGAAGGAGGAGATAAAGAGAAGAAGATGGAGAAGGAGAAGATGGAGGAGAAGGAGAAGTAATTTGGCCCCTTTGACCCCTTCAAAATTCAGATTCGGGAAGCCCCTTCCTCAAAATTACCCCGTTAATAGAACACCACAACCCTTGGCTTGTTGAAATCCAGAACCCGGGTAAATTTGTCGAGGTCGTTGAGACAGCTTGGGCAGAAAATCCCTCTGACTTGGGGGGACCTCCTGGCCCCAAGGGGAGACCCCAGCCCACCCCAGCCCAGCCTCTCCCCCTACCTTCCCTCCAGAGACAGGCAGGTATTCGCCTTTCACCCCCCACGTCTTGAGGCTGGAGGGCAGCGGGGTCTTGTTCTGGGGAGGGGCGTAACGGAGGCCTTCCCCGCGGCTGTTGGAATTGTAAATGATCAGCAGCATGAACAAGGCGAAGAGAATCACCAGGACGACGGCGTGGGGGCTCTGCAGGGGGCGGAGACAGAAGCGGGAAAAGGGGACCACCAGGTGATCAGGAGGTCAGCCATTTTCATTTGGACGTGTGCAAAGATGGACGCATTTCGCTTTAGGCAGCCTCTCCTGTCTCACCTTGGCCCTCCAGCTTTCTTCTTTTTAGCCTGAATTTTGCAAACGCGGCCGTTTTGGCTTATAAATAAACTTTCTCCCTGTTGTTACAGAGCCACATTTGAATGGGTTTTATATATATATATATATATATATATATATATATATATATATATATATATATAAAAAACAAACAGGAGGAAAGTTACATCTTCGCCATGTTGTTTCTTTCAAGGAGGGTTAAAAAAACAGGAGGCCGAAATTCGCTCGACATTGAACAGGCCTTTCAGCATGGCTGGGGGGGGGGGGGAAACAACCCTACAGAGAGGGGCTTTCTAACCCCCCCCCCAGTCTGTCCATTTCCTGGACTACAAGGCCCATAAAAAGCCAGAATTAGCCCTTCTTCACTGCCTGGACCAGGCCTGAAAACTTTGCAAAGAGATTGCACGCAGCAGGGGAGTTAGATTTTGCAAGAAAATGGACCTGTTTTATCCCGGGCAGATGGAAATTCCCCCCCCTCTTTATATCCTGAAGAGGGGGGGGGGGTCTCCTGCTAGAAATCTCACCTTCCAAGAAAAGATGATGGGGGATAGAGTCCTTTGCCCCAATTTCGCCCTGCCAATGCACTTCAAATTCATGGCTGTCCTCTCTCTCTCTTTTTTTTGCATTTTGCTCTTTACTCCTTCTCCCTCCCTACTTTTCTCTGTCCCTCCCCTTCCTGTCCCCCCCCTCTCTCTCTCCAAAGAAGCTGGACTACAAGTCCCATCAGCTCCAGCCATGGGTGGGGTGGGGAGGATGAGCTATTAGGAATCTCCTGGGCCAGATTCAGGAGGGGCGGAAAAAAAGGAGTGATCCTTTTCTTCTCCTTCCGACCGGCAAAGTCAATGGAAGAAGATGGATTCACTTGACGACCAAATTATTCAATTAACAACGAATTAAGAGGTTAAGCAGTGATTTTTGCCCCCCCCCCTGGCAAAAAAAAAATGGCAGTAAAACAATTCCAGCCCAAATTGTTGGTCGTCAACATCAGATGTTGCATTTTGCAAACTACGGGCGACGTAAAAAAAAAAAAAAAGGATCCGGCCCCAATTTGCACCACTGTCCCATTTAAACCCAGACATCCAGGAACGGGGCGGTAGGGTCTGAAGGCGTTCCTGCCAAAAGTGCCTACCTTGTGGTTTTTCATTGTGGTAGCCGCAGTTTAGGGTGGAAACTCAGTCACTCCAGCCCGACCACCTGGATTAAAAGTGAAAGACACAAAGTCACTTCAGGAGCGCCAAACTTCAATTACATAACCTTAATCATCCTTTCCGGAAAATATTATTTCTTGGGCCTTGAGTGTCTCCGCTTGAAAATGGCAGAAAAAGAACGAACAGCGCTTCAGTCAGTCGGAACTAACCATGCAAAGCACGGATTCAAAGCTTCGACACCAAGTTATGATTTAAAACTCAGGAGAATCCCAAATACTTTAACCCAAAGTACTTAAAATATTGGCATCTCCACCCAGAAACAGGCATTTTGCTTCTGGCTTTCTGAGATCCAAATGGAAGCAGAGGTTGCTTTGTTTGAGCGCTGCTCCCTGGCAGCGAATGGAGAAATACACTAATTTTCCATGAAAGGAAGGAGGGAGGGAGGGAAATATGGGAAAAACACAACGCTAGCAAAAAGGAGAAAGTCCAAGGGGCAGAATAAAGTACATGCAATAGATTAACTTTGTTATCTCAGTTTCTCTAGGTAATCTCTGTCTCCTTTAGGCAATCTCTGTTGAACAAGAAATAAGAGTATGTGGTTAGAAATCAATAAAAGAAATAATCTTTCTCTTTGGATTTAAGTCACAAAAGGGAGAAAGGAGCATACTGAACCATTTATCCTCAAAGGCCAAACTGGTGTTTTCGGCTTCGTGCTTCTAGGAGCAAATGTCAAAAGGACATTTGCTCCTAGACGCACGAAGCTGAAACACCAGCCTGAAGATGACGAATGAGACTTCGTCGAAACGTCGCCAAGACACTTCCAATTTGATGCGGGAGAAAAAACCCTAGCGAGACCACACCTGGAATACTGCAGCCCAGTTTGGTCACCATACTACAAAAAAGATGTTGAGAGTCTGGAAAAAAAATCAGAGAAGAGCAACTAAGATGATCAAAGGCTTGGAGGCTAAAACATACGAAGAACGGCTGTGGGACTTGGGTTTGTCTGGTCTAAAGAAAAGAAGAAATAGAGGAGACATGATAGCAATATTCCATTATTTGAGGGGCGGCCACAAAGAAGAGGGGGTCAAATTATCCTCCAACGTACCAGAGGGAAGGAGAAGAAATAATGGTTGGAAACTGATCAAGGAGAAAAGCAACCTGGAATTAAGGAGAAACTTCCTGACAGTGAGGACAATTAACCAGTGGAACAGCTTGCTACCAGAAATCGTGGGTGCTTCATCCCTGGAGGTTTTTAAGAAGAGGCTAGACTTTCACCTGTCTGAAATGGTATAGTTCTCCTGCTTGATCAGGGGGCTGGACTAGAAGACCTCCAAGGTCCCTTCCAGCTCTATTCTATTCTATTTAAAAGGAAAAATAATCTGGAGGAAGGTGGGGGCAACCCCTCCACCTTCATTTACCGTGGGAGGATGTCTTCTTTGAACGAAAATGGGGGCACAGCGAGGAGGGCCTTTTCCTTCGTGTCGACGGCGCCATTTCTGTCTTCCGGAATGGTCTTCCATGCGTCTGGATTGTTTTTCTCTGAGTCTCACATCACTGCTGGAGTCCAGAGAGAGAATGGGCAAGCAGAGCTGTGGAATAACCACGAGGCAGGTCAGGATGAGTGCTAGGCTTATGCTCAAGCAAAAGGAAAGACAGAAAAAGAAAATGAAAATGAAAAAGGAAAGAAGGAAGGAAGGAAGGAAGGAAGGAAGGAAGGAAGGAAGGAAGGAAGGAAGGAAGGAAGGAAGGAAGGAAGGAAGGAAGGAAGGAAATAAGTAACAGTAACAGAAATCATATAACAAAGTTGGTGGTCTTCAAATCCAATCCCCTGCTGAAATAAGAGACCCTATACTCTTTGGGACAAGAAAGAAGGAAGGAAGGAAGGAAGGAAGGAAGGAAGGAAGGAAGGAAGGAAGGAAGGAAGGAAGGAAGAAAGAAAAAGAGAGAGAAAAAGAGAGAGAAAGAAAGAAAAAGTGAGAAGGAGAAGGAAGGAAAGAAGAAAGGAAATAATAGAAATAGAAATAATAGAAATGTAAATAACAGTTTTCAAAGGAGTGGAGGAGTTTAAAGGAGAAAGACCAAGCTGGCATTTTGGAGGCAAGTTGTTCCATTGATTAATAGAATAAGTTGGAAGGGACCTTGGAGGTCTTCTAGTCCAACCCCTTGCTCACGCAGGAGCAAAGGCATTTGTAGCCCACACTCGTAAAAATGCAGTTTTCACAAACAGTATTCTTTAAAAAGTTGTCCTGGTGCAGAGAGAGAAAGCTGGCTGCTGTTTAGAGGTTTCCAGAATAGCGGAATTATTTTGGGGGTGGGATGGAGGTTGGCCAAACTACACGATGCTTGTCAATTCCACATTTCAAACGCCAAAGAGAATGTCGTGTTTTGCCTCTTCTCAACATCCAACAAAAGGGGTCTGTTCCCATCCCATCAACCCACAATTTTGATTTCATTTCTTTTTTTTTTTAACCAGAAGTGAGCCAGCTTCGTAATTTCTGCTTGGAAATAAAATAAAACCACCACTGTCTGCCCCCCCCAAAAAAGTTTGGGGAGCCCCTGGCAGTTTCCCAAAGGTAAGGCTGTAGTTAATTAAGGATAATGGGCATTGTAGTCCCCTTTCCCATCACATTTTTCTTCTAACCCCTTTGTCTGATTTATTCAGGTGATGCGAGCCAAGTCTAAGTGCTGCTTTTAATTCAGTTTTCATTTCCAGAAAGCTAATGACTCAGAAGGGCTTGATGCCACTTTTAAAGGAATATCTTTCTGATTGGCAACTATTCATATTTTTCAAAAAGGAAGAGGAGAAAGAACTGGCTAATATAATGTGCCTTTGGGCTCAAATCCAGAAAACTGCAGCAAGAAAAGGCAAGTCCCGAGTTTAAACAACACGCAGAATGTGAATTTGCTGCATACAAACCAGCCACGGTTCAACCGAACAATGATACGTTAGCAATCCATGGTTTATCTCTGCCCCCAGAAACTGTCCGAAACAACTGGAATACAAACAGATTTGCACAAAGGGGTGAGGGTTTATTGGTTTGACACTGATCCAAAGATATTGGTGACTGATGACAGCCAAGGATGGAAGGAGAGAACGTGGGGAAGTTGTGAGTAGACGAGGCCTAGGGATGTGTGTAAACACACACAGAGGGAGGATTCCCACATACAATTTGGGAAGTCCAGTTTGCAAGAAGGCAAGGCAAGGAAAAGAAAGAAAGAAAGAGAAAGAAAGAAAGAAAAAGAAAAAAGAGAAGAAGGAAGGAAGGAGAGAAAGAGAGAGACAGAGAGAAAAGGAAGGAAAGAAGGAAGGAAGAGAGAAGGTAAAAGGGAAGGAAGGAAGAAAGAAAAGGAAGAAAGAAATTGAAAGAATGAAAGAGAGAGTAAGAGAGAAAGAATGAGAGAAACAGAGAAAAGGAAGGAAGGTGGAAGGTAAATGGGAAGGAAGAAAGAAAGAAAAATTGAAAGAATGAAAGAGAAAGAGTAAGAACGAAAGAAAGAGACAGAGAGAAAAGGAAGGAAAGAAGAAAGGAAGGGGGAAGGTAAAAGGCAAGGAAGGAAGGAAAGTAAGAAAGAAGTGGAAAGAATGAAAGAGAAAGAAAGAGTAAGAGAGAAAGAAAGAGACAGAAAGAAAAGGAAGGAAAAAAAAAAGAAATAGAAATACCACAATCTTTTCTCCCGGGTCAGCTGAACTTTCACTGAACAAGACCCACATTGTCTGGTGGGTCAATCGACCCCTTGAAGCGGAAAATACTGGATTGAGCTCAAGAAGAACAAATTATCCTGGCCAAGCCTTCCCACATCCCCCACTTTCTCGCTGCCATCCAGCATCCATCTTAAGCCAAGCTGCTGCTTCTCGGAAGGGAGGGGGGGCCACCGGCCCTTAAGCAGCTCTTGTTTTTCACCCAGGCCGTCAAAAAACGCCCGAAAGAAAAGAGTTTTATCTCCGGATCTGGGCAAAGGGGAGACAGCTAGGGCTGTACCCCAATAACTGGGCACCGCCTCCCTTCCTCCTGCCAAGATGCTCCAAGGCATCCAATCCACCCAGCCTCCTTGCCTTGCCTTGACATATCCGTTCCCCCCTTTTTCTTCTGAATTATAAACATTGCAAAGGGGTGTTTTTTTTGCAAGGAGGGGCCTTTCTAAAGGCTTTTTCAGCTGCAAACATCGCCTCTTCTTCCAACATCCCTGCCCGCCACTCCCGAAACGGGGATCAACTAGCCTGATCTTTTTTTTTTTCCAAGGGGGGGGGGGAAATAACCACAAATCAGATCGGCCAGATGGATGCCAGGATCTGTTGGGGGCCCCCCAGCTTCCTCCAGTAGGGGTTTCCCCCTTCCTACCCCCCCCCCCAAATCCAGTCTGCTGGGGCAAGGCCCGGGAGGGGTTAACTTACCGCTGGTCCAGCCACCGGGTTTCCCAAGGAGTTAAAAGGACAAAGGCCAAGCTGGCATTTTGGGGTTCGGGAGGGTCTCCAAGCTAGCTCCAAATTCCGGGAAGCAGAGGTGGGGGTTGGGTCTCTCCTCTGTCCCCCCCCCCAAAAAAGCTGGACCCCGTTTTAAGGGCAGCGCCTCTTTGAGAAGGTTACAGAGCATCCAGCAAGAAAATCTGGAAGGCAGACGTTTGCTGGGTCCTAGCGTGTGTCTTTTTCTCTCTGCTTCCCTCTTTTCTCCTCCTCCTTCTCCTCCTCCTCCTCCTCCTCCTCCTCCTCCTCCTCCTCCGCCTGCTGTGCCCTGATCCAATTTCAGCAGCTTCCAAAAACAGAATGCCGAAGACTTTTCCTCCCAAAGGATGGCAGCTGACGGGGACATGGCAAGAAGATGGCCAGGCTGTTCCCAGGTTTTCAGTTTCTTTTTCGGCTTGGAGAAAAGGATTTTAGAAGAGAAGAGAAGAGAAGAGAAGAGAAGAGAAGAGAAGAGAAGAGAAGAGAAGAGAAGAGAAGAGAAGAGAAGAGATAACAGAACAGAATAGTTGGAAGGGACCTTGGAGGTCTTCTAGTCTAGCCCCCTGCTCAAGCAGGAGAATCTATACCATCTCAAGACAGGTGATTGTCTAGTCTCTTCTTAAAAATCTCCAGTGAGTGAGCGCCCACAATTTCTGGTGGCAAGCTGTTCCACTGGTTGATTGTCCTCACTGTCAGGAAGTTTCTCCTTAATTCCAGCTTGCTTCTCTCCTTGATCAGTTTCCAACCATTGCTTCTCATCCTTCCCTCTGGTGCTTTATTAATGTGACCCCCTCTTCCTTGTGGCAGCTCCTCAGATAATGGAATGTCTCCCCTATTTCTTTTTTCCCATTGACTAGCCAGACCCAAGTCCCACAGCCGTTCTTCGTATGTTTTAGTCTCCAGGCTTTGGATCCTCTTAGTTGCTCTTCTCTGATTTTTTTCCAGACTCTCAACATCTTTTTTGTGGTATGGTGACCAAAATTGGCTGCAGTATTCTAGGTGTGGTCTTACTAGGGCTTTATAAAGCGGTAATAGTACTTCTCGTGATCTTGATTCTGTGCTTCTGTTTATACAACCCAGGATTGTGTTAGCTTTTGGGGTTGCTGCTGCACACTGCTGACTCAAGTGATCGTCCTGGGTGTGGATTTATACCAAATCATGCGAAGCAGACAGGTCAAGACCTGTTTGCTGAAGTCACCCTAAGCCATGTGGATTTTTTTCACCCAGGAATTCTGAATCCGCCCTTTTTCCTGGGTCTGGCAGCCCATTCAGACGTGCAATTCAGCAAACTGGATGGGGTTGCCCAACATGCTAAATTCTAGGGGGGAAACCCACAATGCTACCCCCTTTTTGCTGACACTAAGCAAACTTAGCATTATGGGCCCCGCAGCCTGCAGATCTTAATTTATTGATAAAATTTATTTGCCACCCATCTCATATCCAACGACTCTGGGTGAAATTGATATCTTGAACTCGTCTGGCTATTATGTCGTGTGAACAGGACTCTACGCCTGCAAATTCTTGGTTCATTTCCCCCGAATTGTCAAATCTCCCTGCAGAGATAACCACCCACCCAAGGATTGAAAAAAAAAGGGGGGGTCTTTCAACATGCAATAACCGACCCATAAACTCACCAATATTCTAGTCCTCAGGGAGCTAATTCAAGCCGAAACCAACAGCCTATTGCATACGTGGCAGGTTTGCTTTTCTGGCTGAAAGACGGAAAGCCTTAGGCAGAAAACAGGTTATACGTAATCCTGGGGAGGTCCATCGTACCTTCAGATGGTAATTAAATGACTCATCGTAAGTCCAGTACTACTGAGTTATTAAAGCTACTAGATTATTAAAGCTACTAGATGTTCCTAAAGGTGAAACGTTGCATTTTCTGGGTCTTCTTAAATTTTCTTGCGAGGCAGGATAACAGTCCAATAGAACTGGAAGGGGCCTTGGAGGTCTTTTAGTCCAACCCCCTGCTCAGGCAGGAGACCCTACACCATTCCAGACAAGTGGAGGTCTAAACGCTGCTTAAAAACCTCCAGTGTTGGAGCACCCACAACTTCTGGTGGCAAGCTGTTCCACTGGTTAATTGTCAGGAAATTTATCCTTCGTTCTAGGTTGGTTCTGTCCTTGAACTAAGGAGTTAGAACAATTAATCTGTGGGACAGCTTGCCTCCAGAAGCAGAATGTCTTGCCTCTAGAACAGCGGTTCTCAACCTGTGGGTCTGGACCCCACTTGGGGTCGAACGACCATTTCACGTGGGTCGCCAAACAATGCAGTCCGTCATTTTTTCCCCCTTTTCCTTAGCTGTGCTACTCCCTTTTATTCTATTGGCTTTTGAAAGCCAATAGAATAGACTCTCTTGAATAGAGTCTAATTCTATTGGCTTTCAAAAGCCAATAGGAATTGTCCAGGCTGTCTCTGCCCTGCTGAGCCCGCCAAAAGTCCCATTCTGCAAACGGTGCTGCACCAGTTGAGTCGTCCTCGACTTACGACCGGTTGAGTAGTCCTCAACCTACGACCGGTTGGGGGTCGCGGCATTAAAAAGGTTGAGAACCACTGCTCTAGAAGCAGGAATGGCTGGTGGAAGAGTTTGGGAAATGTGTAAGAAAAAGCTCTTTTTCCTATTTCAAAAAAGGATTTGGTATCCCATCCCCCTCTGCTCTCCAAATTCAGTTGCCATAGTAGCCCGAGATCGCTTCCGGTAGATCTCTGCGCCGGTTAAAAGAGGCTTACCAAGGGATAATATTAAGATTTTTTTTTTAATTAAAAAAAAAAAAAAAGCAAAGGCATTTATAGCCCACACTTGTATAAATGCAGTTTTCACAAACAGTATTGTTTAAAAAATTGCCGTTTCCCAAATGTAAGGCTGTAGTTAATTAAGGATGATGGGCATTGTAGTCCCCTTTCCCATCACATTTTTCTTCTAATCCCTTTGTCTGATTTATTCAGGTGATGCGAGCCAAGTCTAAGTGCTGCTTTTAATTCAGTTTTCATTTCCAGAAAGCTAATGACTCAGAAGGGCTTGATGCCACTTTTAAAGGAATATCTTTCTGATTGGCAACTATTCATATTTTGCAAAAAGGAGGAGGAGGAAGAACTGGCTAATACAATGTGCCTTTGGGTCAAATCCAGATAACTGCAGCAAGAAAAGACAAGTTCCGTGTCTGAACAGCACTCAGAATGTGAAATTGCTGCATACAAACCAACGACGGTTCAACCGAACAATGATATACAAGCAATCCATGGTTTATCTCAGCCTCCAGAAACTGGAATACAAACAGATTTGCACAAAAGCCCCAGCAAACCTTTGGGTTGAGAGTTTACTAGTTTGGCACGGATCTGAAGATATTGGTGACTGATGACAGCCAAGGATGGAAGGAGGGAAACTGAGGAAGCCGTAAGTAGACAAGGCCTACGGAGGTGTATAAACACACACAGAGGGAGGATTCCCACATATGCATTGAGAAGTGGAGTTTGCAGAACTGAAGAAAGAAAGAAAGAAAGAAGAAAGAGAAAGAAAAAGAAAGAGAAAGAGAAAGAAAAAGGAAGGAAGGAAAGAAGAAAGAAAGAAAGAAAGAAAGAAAGAAAGAGGAAGAGGGAAGGGAGGAAGGGAAGGGAAAGAGGCAGAAGAATAAACCAAATTTATTGATATTGGTGACTGATGACAGCCAAGGATGGAAGGAGGGAAACTGAGGAAGCCGTAAGTAGACAAGGCCTACGGAGGTATGTAAGCACACACAGAGGAAGGATTCCCACATATACATTGAGAAATCCAGTTTGCAGAGCTGAAGAAAGAAAGAAAGAAAGAAAGAAAGAAAGAAAGAAAGAAAGAAAGAGAAAGAAAAAGAAAGAGAAAGAAAAAAAGAGAAAGAAAAAGAGAAAAAAAGAAAGAAAGAAAGAAAGAAATGAAGGGAAGGGAAGGGAAGGGAAGGGAAAGGGGGAAGGAAGGAAGGAAAGGAAGGAAGGGCAGGGAAGGGGTAAGGAAAGAAGGAAGGAGAAGGGGAAGGAAACAAGCAAGAGGCAGAAGAATAAACCAAATTTATTGAAAATTTATTTCTAAGCCACAGTTGAATCCCTCCTGAATCTGCCCTAACCCCCCCCCCCCACACACACACTCCAAATTCTCCTGTTGTTCCCTCCCCAGTTTTTGCTGCTGCTGCAGACTCTCTGCCACAGAGGACCAAACAAAGATTGGGAGCGGAAGAAGGGCAACATGGACCCATCTCCCTGTCCTTTAAAGAAGCCCCATCACAGCATCCCCATCATCCCGGGAATCTGGTTGCTGGGCAACCAGCGGGCATTTCCAAGGGTTACAGCATCCCGGGACACGTGACCGCCTTCCCATTCGGCTTCTGATGAGCAAAATCAACGGGGGAAGCCAGCTTCGCTTATGGACCGTGTGATTGGCTTACCAGCCAACCCTGGGGAGAATCACTTAACAACTGCCTTGCTTAGCAATGGACGTCCTGCTGCCGAATGTGGTCGTAATTTGAGGACTCAATCTCTGGGCTCAGGAGAGCCGGTAAAGAGGCCACTGGAAGGTGGATGTAATGATGGAAAGAAGCCACGTTAGGCCTAGCTAAGCTGTAAACAAGCTACTGTAGACTGGTTGAGTTAAAGTGATGCAACCATCCGAGTCGATTTTGGATTTTTGACATACCGGATTTCCTTCTGTGGTTCTGCCCAAGTATTGCAAACTTCACCAAGTTAAAAGAGAGCAGCAGAGTTTAAAATAGTGTGTGTGTGTGTGTGTCTGTCTGTCTCCTCTCTTTCTCTCCCCCTCTCTCTTTTTCTCTCTCTCTCTCTCTCCTCTTTCTCTCCCCCCCCTCACACACTCTCTCTGTCTCCTCTCTGTTCTGTCTCTCTTTCTCTCCCCCTCTTTCTCTCTCTCTCTCTCCTGTCTCTCTTTCTCTCCCCTCTGTCTCTCTTTCTCTCTCCTCTCTCTTTCTCCCTTTTTCCTTTCTTTCTTTTCTTTCTTTCTTTTCTCTCTCTCTCTCTCTCTCTCTCTGCTTTCGTGATGGTTGTGCCTTTAATTTTCAGGGAGGGCTTTTGCAACACAAAAACATCAAAATCTCCTTCTTCTCGATTCAACCCTCCAGAATCTGCCTGAAAGAGGAAACTGGTTTAAGAGCATCAAACCTCAGCTTTTGATGAGAGCATTTCTGTTTGCTGTGCAAGGATCGTAACACATCAGCAGGCACAGAGGAAATAATAAAAAAAAACCAGGAAGACTGTGCAGTCTCTGAGCGGAAGTTAAAAACTGGTAGCCAACAGAAGAAGGTGGAGAGATATTTTGATCACGCAGACTTTGTCCTTCCGTGCAAGTTTTTTGCAACGCCGTAATTACTCCGGCCTCCCCACGTGGCAAAGCTTCAGCCAGCCAGCCACAAATAGCCCCTTCTACCCATTGGACCACGACGGATGAGTAAAGATAATGTTCCTTTTCTTGGCCCAGCGAGAAAAAATGGCCTTCTCGGTGATGAAACGGTGCCCGCCACGGGCAGCTTGTTCGTGGACCTGGTACATCTGGCATTCGTCCAGCCGCCCCTTCTCAAAATAGTGGTAAGGCACCAGAGGCTGGTTCTTGTCTCTGCCAATCGAAGGAGTCAAGTTTAAACCACTATATATAGCCCGGCCTATTAAGAACTGACACGCAGCAATGATATTCCCTCAAAGTCAGCTTGAAATATCTGGCCATTATAAAACAAAAAAGACTGATTCAGGCCACAGAGAATAGAGTAGAGTAGAGTAGGGTAGGGTAGGGTAGGGTAGGGTAGGGTAGGGTAGGGTAGGGTAGGGTAGGGTAGGGTAGAGTAGAGTAGAATGGAATAGAAAATAGAATGGGATGGAATAGAATAGAGAATGATATAGAATAGAGAATGGAATGGAATAGAGAATGGAATGGAATAGAATGGAATAGAATAGAATGGAATAGAATAGAAAATAGAATAGAAAATAGAATAGAAAATAGAATGGGATGGAATAGAGAATGAAATAGAGTAGAGTAGGGTAGGGTAGGGTAGGGTAGAGTAGAATATAGAAAAGAAATATGGAATATGGAATATGGAATAGAATAAAGTATGGAATATGGAGAATAGAATAGAATAGAATAGAATAGAATAGAATAGAATAGAATAGAAAATGAATGGAATGGAATATGGAATAAGGAATAGAATAAAATATGGAATAGAGAAGAGAAGAGAAGAGAATAAACAGAGTTGGAAGGGATCTTATAGGTCATCTAGTCCAACCCCCCACCCCACCCAAGTAGGAGACCCTACACCATTTCTGATAGATGGCAGTCCTGAGTCTTCTTGAACGCTTCCAGTGACGAAGCTCCCACAACTTCTGAAGGCAACTCCTGTTCCATTGGTTGATTTCTTTTGTTATCGTTACCTGGGGAAGACCCCAAAGGTGCTTTTCCAAAAGACAACTGGACTTCCTTTGTTTTTCCTTGAAGACATTTCGCTTCTCCTCCAAGAAGCTTCTTCAGTTCAAGAAGCTCCTTGGATGAGAAGCTTCTCGGGTAAGAAGCGAAACGTTTTCCGGGAAAAACCAAGGACGTCCAGTTGCCTTTTGAAAAAGCACCTTTGGGACAACCATGATCTGGATGAGTGAGAATCTCTGTCGATATTTACCTGGGGAAAAGTTGATCCTTTTGATGTGGCCTCCCCGTATCTTTTTTGTCTTCTGGGAAATGGGCGTTTTGGGATCCATCTGTGGCATCAGTTTTTGGGAGAACATCTTCAAGATGACTTTGATCCCTTCCATCTTGGGAGGCTATGCTTTGAGGTCTTGGTGGCCAGGGTGGAAAGGTGGAGAACATCTCCACCCTGGCCACCAAGACCTCAAAGCGTAGCCTCCCAAGATGAAAGGGATCAAAATCATCTTGGAGATGTTCTCCACCTCTCCACCCTGGCCACCAAGACCTCAAAGCATTGTCTCCCAAGATGAAAGGGATCAAAATCATCTTGGAGATGTTCTCCACCTCTCCACCCTGGCCACTAAGACCTCAAAGCATTGTCTCCCAAGATGGAAGGGATCAAGATCATCTGGGAGATGTTCTCCGCTTCTCCACCCTGGCCACCAAGACCTCAAAGCGTAGCCTCCCAAGATGGAAGGGATCAAGAGAAGGATGGCCTCATCTGCTTTCCAGCCCAGGAAGGCCACCTCCAAATTACTTACTTGCAATGGTTCTCACTGACCATGCCGAAGACAAAAATCTGCTCGCACAACTCCATCGCCAAAACCATGGTGAACCAGCCGGTGCTGAGGAAGGAACCAGACTTCATCCTGCAGGTTGCAAAGAGAAGATGCTAAGATACGATGCAGGAGGAACCAAGGCGAAGCTCTGCCAGATGCTGGATGATGGGTTTGCCCAAGGAGCTACAGTAAGCCCCGGTTGTTTAATCGCATCCTGGGTTGTATAAACAGAGGCACAAAATCAAGATCACGCAAAGTATTAGTACCTCTTTATAAAATCCCTAGTAAGGCCACACCTGGAATACTGCAACCAATTTTGGTCTCCGTACTACAAAAAAGATGTTGAGGCTTTGGAAAAAAAACTCAGAGAAGAGCAACTAAGATGATCCAAGGCCTGGAGACCAAAACATACAAAGAACGGCTGCGGGACGTGGGTTTGGCTGGTCTAAAGAAAAGAAGAAATAGGGGAGACACTAGCAGTGTTCCAAAATCTGAGGGGCTGCCACAAGGAAGAGGGAATCAAGCTATTTTCCAAAGCACCTGAAGGCAGGATAAGACACAATGGGTGGAAACTAATCAAGGAGAGAAGCAACCTGGAACTAAGGAGAAACTTCCTAACAGTGGGAACAATTAACCAGTGGAACCGCTTGCCACCAGAAGGTCATTCATCACTGGAGGTTTTTAAGAAGAGACTGGACAGCCATTCGTCTGAAAAGATATAGGGTCTCCTGCTTGAGCAGGGGGCTGGACTAGAAGACCTCCAAGGTCCCTTCCAGCTCTATTCTGCAAACAGGGATCACATGACCCCAGGACACTGTGACTGTCATAAATATGAAGCAGTTCCCAAGCCTCTGAATTTCGATCCCATGATCGTGGGGATGCTGCAAAGGCCCTAGCTGTGAAAAATGGTGATAAGTCACTTTTTTTCTCTGCCGTTGTAACAGCCAGTCAACAAACAGTTGCGAGTCAAGGACTAGCTGAAGAAAACAACAGCGTTCTAAAAGTTCTAAAACAAGAATGTTTGCTGTCGCTGCGACTCAACATTATGAGCGCTTCAGTCCTCACGTGCTATCTTGAATTCCACCAGCCGCTCCACTTCTTCCAAGCTTTCCATGAGGTCACCAAGCACGGAAGCCGGGAGGTCCTTCTGCTCACCTATTTTTCCCTGTCTCCAGTTGGAAGAGCTCATCGCAGTGGGCCATCATCTGCTCGGTGAGCGTGTAGAGACGCAAGGCCGGGTACATCTCCTTGACCTTCGCCAGCATCCGATAGACCAAGCCGATCTTCTCCCGCCTCATCAGCCGGGGAGGACCCCAGATGATGTAGGTGGTGTCATAGGACTGCTTGAAGAAGTAGCTCTGGTTGCGTAGCAGCAAAGGGATGCTGGTGTGGGAGACCACCCGGAGGGTGCTACGCCTGCCCACATCTTCCTCGTAGCCCTGGGTGGGCGCCTGGTTCATACGCAGGACGCATTCCTTGGCGTCAATCTCTTTCCCTGAATGGGAGCCCAGCATCTGTCCAGAACTGGACACCACGGCACACTGGCGGCAGGGCACCTGAGCCAGGGGCTAACCAGAAGGGACAGAAAAAAATTAGAAGATGTGTGGAGAACAGGCCATAGCGTTGCTCTCTACACCAGGGGTCCCCAACCCCCGGTCTGTGGACCGGTAGCAGGCCACGGCATGCCAGCAACCGGTCCCCACAAACAAGCAAAGCCCCATCTGTGGGATGCAGGCAGCAGACAAAACCATGTACTCTCCGGTCCGTGGAAAAACCTTTCTCCACAGAATCAGTCCCTGGTACCCAAAAGGTTTGGGGACCCCTGCTCTAGGTTAAAATTGGGGAGTGGGATTCTTCAGCCAAGAGATTTCACCTCCCTCTACCAATTCCATTTTCTTTCCCACCTTTTCTCTGAACTGGCTTTGCGACGTAGTCAATTCCGAACGGTTATATAATGTTATAACCCGACTTCAAGATGTGTGGATTTCAACTCCCAGAATTCATGCTGGCTGGGGAAATCTGAGTTGAAGTCCATGCGTATTAAAAGTTGTCGAGGTGGAGGAACACCACTCTAAGCAATGAACTTCAAATTTCATAGGAAGGAAGGAAGGAAGGAAGGAAGGAAGGAAGGAAGGAAGGAAGGAAGGAAGGAAGGAGTTGGAGAGGGAACAAAGAATTGCTTTTAATACCAAAAAGAAAAGAAAGAATATAATGAAAAACAACAAAATATATAAAAATGGGATGGATGGATGGAAGGAAGGAAAGGAAGGAAGTGGAAGGAAGGAAGGAAAGGAAAAAAGGAAGGAAATGTGGCTGGGGAATTCTGGGAATTCTTAAAGTTGCCGAGATTGCAAAACCCCACCATAATCAATGAATATTACATTTCTTCTGGCTGAGTCTTGCTAGAAAAGCTCTACTGTGATTGGCTGATATGCCACACAAAAGCACTCCACCACACAACCTTTTCATGCCACCCATTTGTGTAGCTGAACTCTTCGGTCGCATTAATTCCTAGATAAGCGCTCCAGACTGTCAAAAAGTTTTTGTTACGTATATATGTAGCATTCTCACATTTTGAAGCACTCCCCTATATATCTCCTATCTCGCAAGGAGAAATCTAGCATCAAGGGGCCATTTAGAATGTATTTATTTAGGGGGTTTTCGGGTACCAAGGTTTTCCTGCCCCACGTCGCATCCATTTTTCCCAATCTTGAGATCGGACTCACCTTTCCATCCGGAACGCTGATGTAGCCCTCAAACCGGGCAGTTTTAAAACTCCGTTGCAACCTGCCCTCTTTTTCTTCTCGAGGCTGGCAGCTGAGCCAACACAGGGAGCTACAAAGATGTGGGCACATCAGTAAATAAAGGATGCAGCAGGCACACAACACAACTAGAGTGAAGAACAGGCGAGACTGCAAAAGAGAAGAAGGCTTGGCGATAACCAGCTGGATACCCAGACGCAGGCAGGATTCAGCCGAACAGAGATAACAAAACAGGGACCTTGGAGGTCTTCTAGTCCAACCCCCTGCTCAAGCAGGAAACCTTGTACCATTTCAGACAAATCACTGTCTAATCTCTTCTTTAAAATCTCTAGTGTTGGAGCATTCGCAACTTCTGGAGGCAAGTTGTTCCACTGATTAATTGTTCTAACCGTCAGGAAATTTCTCCTTAGTTCCAGGTTGCTTCTCTCCTTGATGAGTTTCCATCCGTTGCTTCTTGTCCTGCCTTCTGGTGCTTTGGAGAATAGCTTGACCCCCTCTTCTTTGGGGCAGCCCCTCAAATATTGGAAGACTGTTATCATGTCTCCCCTAGCCCTTCTCTTCATTAAACCTGACATACCCAATTCCTGCAACTGTTCTTTATATGTTTTAGCCCCCACTCCCTTGATTATCTTTGTTGCTCTTCTCTGCACTCTTGCCAGAGTCTCAACATCTTTTTTATATCGTGGTGACCAAAACTGGATGCAGTATTCCAAGTGTGGTCTTACCAAAGCATTGTAAAGTGGTATTAACACTTCATGTGATCTTAGAGAGATGGTCTAAGTTTGTCAATGCCCCCTCCCAACTAGGTAGACCAGAGCAGGAAATCAACTGTAGAGATCTGCAGATCTCTGGAGATTTGAGAGCCTTTGGATACTTACAAGCACCTGCATTCTTTAAGGAGTTTTCAGCCATGTATCTGGCTTGGAGTTCTGGGACAGGTGCCCTGTAAAGAGACAGACAGGTGAGCAATTCCAGAGACGGCTTCTGCACGCACACAGAGATTCTCAACCATCCAGGTGTTGCTTGTTCAAAAGACAAGCGGACTTTCCTGTTTTGTTTTTTAATAATAATAACAATAACAATAACAATAACAACAACAACAACAATAATAATAATAATAATAATAATAATAAAGTTGGAAGGGACCTTGGAGGTCATCTAGTCCAATCCCCTATTCAGGCAGGAAACCCTACACCATTTCGGACAAATGGCTGCCCAGTCTCTTCTTAAAGGCTTCCAGTGTTGGAGCATTTGCCACTTCTGGAGGCAGGTTGTTCCACTGGTTAATTGTTCTCGCTGTCAGGAATTTTCTCCTTAGTTCTAGGTTGCTTCTCTCCTTGGATAGTTTCTATCCGTTGCTTCTTGTCCTGTCTTCTGGTGCTTTGGAGAACAGCTTGACTCCCTCTTCTTTGGGGCAGCCCCTGAGATATTGGTGTTGTAATTAAGTGGCATCCAGAGAAACACAAAACTATTTCATCATTTCCTCCCCCTCCTTCTGACAACTGCGCTAGGTTAATATTAACAGAAGTGTGGATTAATAAAGTCGGTTGGCCAATCATCAAATGAAGACAGGGAACTCTCCCAGGTATGATCCATTCAGGGCTGGGAAACCGGCCACGTTTTCGCTGTGGTTAAACCCTGATTTTCAGGAACCCCCTTCCCCGTCAGAGCTGCCCCAGGGCAGAGCTCCTAGGACAGTAAAAGTGAAAGACTCCCTTTGGTTGAAGTGGAAAAGTCCACTTTTACTAAGAGAGGCTGGTTACAGTAGAGTCAGGCGGAATCTGAAGTTCCCCAATAATACTAACCCCTTGATTGCCCTAGCCCTTTCCCCACAGTCCGCCCATATGCAGCCAGTCTGAGATATTTGAGAAGCGCTGAGGTGTTTAGGCTGGTGAAGTTCCACTCTCAGTGTACAAGGCCTTGAAAATGTGGGCAGGGACCGGATTCCAAAACACTCTGTTGTTCCTCAACTGTTAATCTCTCTCTCCCCCCTCCCGATTTCCCACCCAGAGTATACAGTGTTATTATTCCCCCACCACCACCTTCCTTCCCCATCTGAGGGCAGAACGCCAGCGAGGCGCCAAGCCGAAGGTGGTGGATCTGACACTCACTTCCCAGAAGTGGTTGCTAGGAGTTATAGCTCTTCAATAGCTGGCAGGCCACAACTATTTTAAAATATTGGTTCACAACATTCTGTAAGAGAGGGGCCATGGGTTAGAGTCCCTCTGTTCAGGGGCCATGGCTTAGAGTCCCTCTGTTCAAGTCGATAGGAATAATTTTCTCTCCCCCCCCCAACAAAAAACAACAACAAATCAACCTAACAAGGAATTGAACCGCGTTAACCATCCGGAATCCAGGTCAGGGTCAGACTGGCAGAAGAGCGCAGAAGGACGCTCTGCACATGCCCCGGAGTCTTCTCCGAGGGAGAGGGCGGAGGGGGAAAGGGGTTCCCCTCCGCAGGATGGCAATGGGGAAAAGACAGACACATAAACACACACACACACACACACCTCAATCTGCGCCGATTTATTCCTAGCAAGCCGCCGGGGGCGAAGGCTGGGCAGGGCAGGCGAGGGCAAGCGGAGCCCGTGCCAAGGGAAGGCGGGCGCCAGGGGGACGCGCAAAGGAACCCCGGGGAGGGAAAGGACGCGGCGGGCAGCCTCTTGCCAGCCGTGCGCGCCCCGGTGGGGGGGGGACCCCGCGAGTGCCAAGGGCGCGCCCTGGGAAAAGGCGAGGCGCGCAAGGGGAGAGTCGGAGGGCGTCTCTCCTCCTTCCTGGACGATTCCCCGGGGGATTTCTCCCGGCTCCAGGCAGACGAGCCTCGCTCGCCAGCAGGTCACCTACCAGCTTGGCTAAGGGAATCGGCAGCATCGCGCGCGCCAGCGCCTCTCCAAACGCGCCGGGCTCTGGCGGCCCCGTTAATCTCCGCCTGGCAGAACCGCCACCCCTTTAAGAGCGCTGCAAAGCAGCGCGGGCTCCGCCTCCGACCCCCCCCCTACGTCCCACCCACAGCCCTCCATGATCCCCCCCCTCCCCCGCTTTCTCCTCCGCTGGAGAGGTCGGGCGGAAAACCGCGGCGCGCAAAAACGCGCCGGGCAATGGTTTGCGCAAGACGGCGAGGTTTCTTCTCTACGCTGCTCTTTTAGTCCGTGGAAGCGTCGTGGGAGGGTCGGTTAGGCTGTCAGGGCTGGGGTGTGTGTGAAGGGGGGGCCAGGATCCGTTTGGGGGGGGCAGTGGGTTGACCGCATGCCGCGCCTCGATGGAAAGCAAAGCGGAACGGTGGCAGCTCTCTTCCTGGTGCTGAAGCCAGGGGCCCAGTTCGCACAAGACGCTAAGCTGGGGATGGGGTTGATGGGCTGGCAGTTCAGGAGGTGTGCAAGTTCCAGATTACATACGTTCTTCCACCACCACCACCACCACCACCACCCCCCGCTGTAGAATTCCTCTTAATTTGTCTGCTTGTATTTTAGGGTTTCTGTTGTTTTATTTAGTAGCCTAGTATGACTTATGTTGTTTGCCTATTTATTACCCTACGACCATCACTGAGCGTTGTATTATGATTTATGATGAGTGTATTTTTATGTTGATTATGATCATGATTTATTACCTGTTGCTTGTATGTACACTGAAAGTTTATGCACTGGAGACAAATTCCTTGTGTGTCCAATCATACGTGCCCAATAAAGAATTCTTATTCTGTTCTGTTCTGTTCTACTCTACTCTACTCTACTCTATTCTCTACTTCTATTCTATTCTATTCTACTCTACTCTTCTCTATTCTCTACTTCTATTCTATTCTACTCTATTCTATTCTCTAATTCTATTCTATTCTATTCTATTCTACTCTAGTCTTTTCTATTCTCTATTTCTATTCTATTCTAATCTACTCTATTCTCTAATTCTATTCTATTCTACTCTATTCTACTTTATTCTACTCTACTCTACTCTACTCTACTCTACTCTACTTTATTCATTCCATTCCCTATCCTATCCTATCCTATCCTATCCTATCCTATCCTAATTCCATTCCATTCCCCCAATGATGGCTAACCTATCTTTCCAAGGGTGGTAAAACCCAAGAAAACCAGAGGAGGGCAGCAAAGAAATCCCTTTCTCATGTTGCTTTGCTGTCCTCTTTTGGCCCTCTGCGGCTTGGCACCCTAAACTACAATCCCTAGATTTTCAGGTGCCTTGGACTATAGATGAGCCTCAACAAATCCACGGCTGTCATTCCAGAGGCCAACCTGTTGAAAACAGGACATTCAGACCCATTTTATTTTGGAGATGTTTCTTCAAATGTCCTTTCGTGGCTGGTTTTTGCACCCTGACACCTTCACCTTAATGCAAAATATCTGTCCAGTTGCAGGGCACCTATCCCCACTTCCGTCATCAGCCCTAACACCCAAGACTTCTTGATTTAAGAGTCCTTCTCTTATAACCTGAGAAAACAGGTGAAGAAACAGCTCCTCCGTCACTTCCCTGCTTCCTTTTTTGTACACCATCTAAGCAGAAAGATAGAGCGACATTCTATCTATTCTATTTTCCACTTCTGCCATACAGAAGACCTGGAAGAGAAGCTTTCCTATATATGCTACTAGACTCACTTCTTCTTAGCTTGGGTCTCCAAGCCAATTTCTCTCCATGTTCAGGCCTCCATGAACTAGGTTTACCTTTCAGAATCCAAGGAAGGACGCTGGCAAAATTCTGTTTCCTGACAGGCCCTGCTCAAACTGAGCAGAGGAGTGGAGGAGTGAGACCACTGCTCCTTTTGGGGGGAGCCAAAGAAAAGAATGACCCCCGGAGAAGACTAAAATGGGGGAAGGGCCAAAGCGTCCCCCCCCCAAAGTCAGCTTGGTAAAGAGGCCCCATCCTTCAGCATCAAGACCACCCAACAGGCCCCTCTGGAGACAGATGGATACCCCTGGGCAAGAAGGTCACTAGGGAAGGGGACCCGGAAGGGCTGAATCCACCTTTTGAAAAACTTCCAAGGTGGTGTTTTCAAGAACCAGTCCAACCCTTTCTCGGGAAGCTCTTTATTCTTCTCAATCCAATTCTCCTCCCTTCTTTGCCCCTCATGGATTGGGACCGTAATCATTTGAGGAAGGAGCTCTTGATTAGCCCCAACACCTTTGTCTGGATTGGGTTGACCTACACCGCACCAAGATGGACGCATCAATCATTCTTTTTTTCTACAGAGTTGGAGGACACTGTTTGTTTGGGAGGAGATGGATGGTCCCCTCCCCCCGCCCCGTGCTATAGTCCCTTGAGTTTGAGGGATTCAGTGCCGCCGATTGCAATGTCCACGGGGTGGAGGTGTCCACCTAGTTTTTGCAAAGCCATAGCCTCAATGTCCTCAAGAACTTCCACGCTCCATGGAAAGCTGCCCACCGGTCCTTGCTGCTGGAGGGGCCTATTTCTAGGGAATTTCACTCAACTCCACCTCCTGATAGTCAAGAGGTCACCATCACAAGAAGTGACTTGTGTTGGAACTTGAACAGTGATCTGCAGGGACCGGGGGAACGTACGAGAAAAGACAGGGATACCACCTGACTTTCAACTGCAACTGGCTCAGCTCCTCCTTTCCAGTTCATATAACGTGATCTTCCACCCACTGACACAATCTCCGAGCGTAGTAAGAAGGTTCCACTGTGGAGAACTGGTGGCCTCTGTAGCGGAGGCTCTTCCACAAATTTTCCACCTTTTTGCGGAAACTGTAGACGGTGAAAAGGTCAACGATCCCTATGTAGTAGCGGTAATCCGGTCCGTCGATTGTGTGTAGAGGGTTTTTGCAGATGGGCAGGATCCGGCGATGCTGCGTGGCGAAGGAGTCATCAGACAAGTCAAAGAGGCTGGGGGCATAGAGGGCGCTGTCCACAATGTAGCTCACTTCGTCGTAGCTGTTCTGCATCAGGAACGGCGTCACCACGTTGCGCATGAAACCCTCACTTCGGATCAACTGCTCTGGAGGCTGGTCGGGTTTCAAGTAGGGAGACAAGTAATCTGGATACAACCGGTGGATCTGGTCACAGCTGGAGGAGCTGGAAGATGTATTGGAAGGAGATCTGCCGTCAGTCATCCCCGAGACAGCGCTGCGGCGAGGACAATCATAGCTCACTGACCTGGTGGCAGGAAAAAGGAAAGACAGGTATGTGTGTGTTCCGGGTGTGTTTGTGTACAAGCAGCCTTCCACTTACCTCCATCGGTTTAGTGACCGTTCAAAGTTACAACTGCACTGGAAAAATGGAAAGCAACCAAGCAAGCAACCATCCAACCATTAACCAAGCAAGCAACCAACCATCTATCCATCCATCCAACCAAACAACCAACCATCAACCAACCAAGCAAGCAACCATCCAACCAATCATCAAGCAAGAAAGCAACCATCCAACCATCAAACAACCAAGCAACCAAGCAAGCAACCAATCATCAACCAAGCAAGCAACCATCTATCCATCCATCCATCCAACCAACCAACCATCAACCAACCAACCATCAACCAAACATGCAACCATCTATCCATCCAACCAACCAACCATCAACCAACCAATCAACCAACCAACCATCAACCAACCAAGCAACCATCTATCCATCCATCCAACCAAGCAAGTAACCATCAAACCAATCATCAAGCGATCCAGAAAGCAACCAAGCAAGCAACCATCTATCCATCCATCCATCCATCCAACCGACTGACCAACCATCAACCAAGCAACCAACCAATGGTAGCAGTTATGTTCATGCCATCTGACCTTGCAAACCTCTGATGATGTTGAGGCTCATGGGACTACCTTGGTTTTGGTTTCAAATTATAAGCCAAGATTCAGAGTGTTACATATGGAGGTCCACCCACCCACCTACCCCCTTGGCAAAACTCTCACAATCTCGTCTTGGCTAATATATTTCCCAGCGTCTTGCTCAGGAGCCGATCATCTTCATGGAGAGGTTGAAGGCCCACCAGCAAACTGTAGTCAATCACGTGCAAAGCTTTGAGGAACTGGGTGTCCAACTTCACTTGCTGCACCAACCAGGTCTGGTCTTGGCCTGGGTGGAGGAGAAAAGGGGAGAGGCTTGATGGCCTCTGGAGTAAGAGGACCCAGAAAGCAAGGTTCCAGAATCCAGCTCTCCCACCTCCCCAAATGTTGGCACCCTCAGACCTTTTTAAAACAGGGGTACTGTATACAAAAATATTTTCAGCCTGAAATGTTCCAATCAGATTGCTCCGATCTTACCAGGACTATCCTAAAATTTGTCTGTTCTCTAACAAGGACGAATTGGAATGCCCGGCTGCCCATGCTCAGAAAAACAGCTGTTTCAAATGGGAAAGGGTTCCAGTTTTGAGCATGCTACATGCCACTGAATAATAAGGATACTATAAAACAGCTGGAAAGTCCTTGGGCTACTCTGTGTAATACTTTATCTTGAATTAAGTCAAGAGACGCGGCTGGATGCCCCCAAAGTTGGCACCAGCCAGATCACAGAACAACTCAAAGAAGTAGGGCAAGATCAGAAGATCGAGAAAGACCTGGCTCGTAGACTTGCCAAGAATCAGACACTACTTAATGAGTAACAACATCATCCAGTAAAAATAAATAAATAAATTCACATTTAGGATTTGTCTTGGCACGATATTCAATATTCAGAATTACAGCCTCAGGTTGTCCCAAAGATGCTTTTTCAGGAGGCAACTGGACGTTTCTCTTCTCATCCCAGAAGCTTCTTCAGCTCTACCTGGATGGTGGGGAAGGGAAGGATTTATACTCCTTGCAGACAGCTGGTCATTTGCCTCCTTTGAGAGAGTCGTTGAGGCCACTTGGAGGCGTACCTGTGTCCTCAGGGTCACCTGAGTGGTGCAAATGGATGTAGAGCCTTCTTGGCTTGCAGGATAAGTGGCCTCAAGTTCTCATTAAAAGAAGGCAGATGACCAGCTATCTGCAAGGAGTATGAATTCTTCCATTTGTCACCATCCAGTCAGAGCTTCTGGGATGAGAAGTGAAATGTCTTAAAAGAAAAACAAGAAGATCCAGTGGCCTCCTGGAAAAGCACCTTTGAGACAACCATGGCCTGGATGATGGAGAACCTCCATAGACATTTACGGTCTCAGACGTTCTTAGCCAGTGTTAAATATCTTGCATGGGTTCAGTTGCAGAGTTTTATTATGACATCAGAACTGATCCAAGATCTCAGATTACATGTATCGTGGCGTGCATAAACTTACTAAGGGAGATCACCTTGTCTCCAAAGTCGCAGTCCTTAAAAACCACAATGACTTCACTGCTATCTATGTTGGGTTCTGTCCAGCGTCCGACTTCGCACCCTTTGATGTCATAGCTGGAGGAACAAATTAAATCAAGAGCATCAATCCATGTGGATTCAGTTTGTAGTAAGGATAGGGTTAGGGCATTCCTCAACATCTGGCCAACATTTAGATGGGTTAGGGTCCCGGAATCCTCAGCAATGGCTATGAATTCAGGGGAAATCTGGGAGTTGAAGTCCACCCATCTGTAAGATGTTGAGAATGAGGAACATTGGATGATGGTAAAGAAGTTCTTATCCCAAAGAGATCTACAAGCAAAGCTTAGAAGATCTCTACTAGGAATCCAGTCCTAAAGGAATATGTTTACAGCGCTGAATTTAACGCTGGAGTCTTCGGAGATAAGGCTGGACGAGTGTCCAAGGATACACCCATGGATCTCATCTTCAGCCAAGCTCCAGGCATCTTCCATCTCTAGAGCCAGTCTGGATGACTCACTGTTCAGTAATCTTCTCATGGGGATAGAAGATACTTTGCATGATGATGAAGTATCTCTGTGGGAGAAATAGAAAGGGTGAACAGAGGAGCAGGTTGATGGAAGAGTTGAAGGGTCAAAAGCCAATGTTGGCCCTCAAGAACCGTCAAAAATGATTGGGAGATGGGAGACCCAAGAGGAAGGCCAGCCCTCCAGTGAAAATCTCTCTCTCTCTCTCTCTCTCTCTCTCTCTCTCTCTCTTTCTCTCTCTCTCTCTTTCTCTCTCCTTTCTCCTCTCTCTCTTTTCTGTCTCTTTCTCTTCTCTCTCTTCTCTCCTCTCTCTCTTAAAATGGAAGAAACAAGGAGACAATAGTGTTGAGATTTGGGGAGTGGGCAGGTCACAACTGATTCATATTAAGAGGAGTTCGATAAAATGCTACACATTTCAGTTTGAAGAGTGCCTACCTTCTTCTCTTGGGGGGCAATGATGCTATAAACACCTGTGGGGCAGAGAGCAAGAGAGGAAGAACTTGAAGGGGAGGATTCAGTGCTTCCTCTGAAACCTCTTTTTGTTTCTTTTCCGCTCTCTGCTGAGTGGGCCAGCGGATGGCCCAGCCTTACCCAGGAATTTCACCAGGATGGAGTGTGGATATCTCTCCATGTGGGCCAAGTATTTGGGCAGGTTGGTCAGGAGGAAGCGGATCTCGCGTTTCCGTTGCGTCTTCAGGAAATAACGCTTGTCGAACCTGCCAAGGGGAGAAGAAACGGCTATGGCAAGGTAGATGGCTGGGGGTAGGCAGTTCACCCCTCTTTTCCAGATGGACCACAGCTTTTCTTGAGGTGTTTTTCATGTGTTCTTTGAAAAGAACCACACAACCACACACCTTTCACTGTTGGTTAATGCTGTGTGTGTTGACTAGATAGATAGACAGACAGACAGACAGGCAGGCAGGCAGGCAGACAGACAGACACAACAACAACACAACTCTCACTGTTAGTTAATGCTGTGTATGTTGACTGCGTGTTGACTAGATAGATAGATAGATAGATAGATAGATAGATAGATAGATAGATAGATAGACAGACAGGATGGATGGATGGATGGATGGATGGATGGAGATAGACAGATAGTAGATGATAACTACTACGATAAATAGGTAGATCATAAATAGATAGATAGATAGATAGATAGGTAGATAGATAGATAGATAGATAGATAGATAGATAGATAGACACAACAACACAACTCTCACTGTTAGTTAATGCTGTGTGTGTTAACTGCGTGTTGAATAGATAGATAGATAGATAGATAGATAGATAGATAGATAGATAGATAGATAGATAGATAGATGGATGGAGATAGACAGATAGTAGATGATAGCTACTATGATAGCTAGATAGCTAGATAGCTAGATAGCTAGATAGCTAGATAGCTAGATAGATAGATAGATAGATAGATAGATAGATAGATAGATAGATAGATAGATAGATAGATAGATAGATGGTTGACAGACAAGCCAGATGGATTGGATGGATGGTAGTTTGAGTAGATGGATGGGTGGATGGGCAGAGGTAGGTAAATTGACAGATAGATGATAGATAGATAATAAATAGGTAGATCATATAGATAGATGGTAGACAGATAAACTGGATGGATGGATCGATGCATGGATGATACAAGATGTTTTAAAAGAATTTCTCTGCTTGGGATTCCCCCTTCCGATGCCTTACGTGAGGAAGAAGTCAGCTCTGCTTTTAGAGTTACTGATGAACTGCAGGTAGGAACTTTCACACGTCAAGGACATTTGGAAATCCGTGTCTGTCATGCCAAGACACTGCCGGAAACGGGCGAAGACAGGAGCTGCGTAGGTCCGCATCTCGTAACCCTGCAGAAGAACGGAGCTGGGAGTCACCTCAAGAGGCAGACCGAGAAGGGTAGGAGAAGGTCATCCGAGGAGAACTTGGTCTTCATTTGGTCTCCTTGGGTTGAAGAACTGACTCCCAGCTTGAATCTGGCCGAGCGTCGGACCTGCCTCGACTTGGTCTTCGAAGTAAAAATGATCCTTAACTCAAAAGTGTAGTTTACTAGAAGTTACAGTTTTGGAAAGCCAGAACGAAGGGTTCGCGCACCAAATTCTCCCAAGTTAACTTTCCTTCCTTGGTCCCCACCCCATCGCCGGTCTCTCATTGTCCAATCCATTTTAAAAGAGATGTTTTTGGAAACAATCGCTCTACATGTTGGCGTTCTTCTCCCAGGGAAACAACCTTGAAGATCTCCTGGGTTCTCACCCAAGAACTGTTCTCACCTTTCAGTTTCACTTTCCCCCAAGCCAGGGGGAGCCAACCTTGGCTCTTTTTATGACTTGTGGACGTCAATACCCAGAATCATGCTGACTCAGGAATTCTGGGAGCTGAAGTCCATAAGTCATCAAAGAGCCAAGGTTGCCTACCCCTGGTCTATGGCCCTTACTTTCCTTTCCAGCCCCCTCCCAGGGTTCATGGCAGACTGGCAAGGAGGTGGCAGTTCTGATGCCAGGTCTAGATGGTAGATGCTTGGGGTCAAAGGTAGCTTGCCCGCCGCTTTGGTTGGGGCACGCTTCCTTCTAAGATTCATGGGCTACAAGAATAAAAATATGGCTCTTCTTACCGCATGGAACTGCTTAAGCACCCTGGTAAAATCGGATGGCTTTCGCGAATCCTACAGAAGAGAGAAAATGATGGGAGTTGGTAGAGCTGCCCTTCCTATCTGGTCTTCTCAACAATCATGGAAACCTAACATCTTCAGAGATCTTCTACTATGGCTCCCAGAAAAGTATTATATATATTTATTCAGAATACTGCAGGAAGGGACCTTGGAGATCTTTTAGTCCAACCCCCTGCTCAAGCAGGAGACCCTACACCATTCCAGACAAGTGGCTGTTCAGTCTCTTCTTATAAAACCCCCAGTGATGAAGCACACTCACAACTTCTGAAGGCAAGCTGTACTACTGGTTGATTGTCCTCACTGTTGGAAGTTTCTCCTTAATTCCAGGGTTGCTTCTCTCCTTGATCAGTTTCCCTCCGTTGCTTCTTGTCCTGCCTTCAGGTGCTTTGGGAAACAGGTAGACCCCTCCTTCTTTGGGGCAGCCCCTATCAGACTAGACATATCCAATTCCTGCCACCGTTCTTAAGTCTCTAATCTGGAAGGATTGGAAAGAATACTTTCCCCTAGTCTGCCTGGAACTTACCATGCTCACCGGTTCATCGATGGTTATCTGGATGGAGGCCTTCAGCCCTTGTTTGAGCATACAGGTGAACTCAAAAAATTCGTGCTGCTCGTTGATTTCAAAGAAGCCCAGCATCTTCCATTGCTGGCGGAGTCGCGAGAGCATCCGTTGGATGGCCGACCACCTCCTATGAGGCCTTTGGTACGGGACATGGGACTACAAGACCAAAGGTGGGCAGGTTAGCCAAGCAGAGAAGCAAGGGTTCCAGAGAGAGAGAGAGAGATCCATGTTCCCCTTGTAGAGAGGCAATGGTGCCTGGGAAGAGGACTGGAGAAAAATAAAGATTCCTAGAGATACCTTCAACTGTAGCGTCGAAGCCATGATGCCAAAGAGCCAAGATGAGATCAACCAGATTACTTGATGGTTCTTGTCTCCTTAGAAACCGTGGAACCCAGTGGGACAGCTCAGCGGATGTTTAACCGTCAGTCAACGATCCTGCCAAGATTCCATCCACAAAGAGCAGGAGAGGTTTACGCCTCCAACACAACCTTTGTAGACTTTGGGAGAAGCCCTCCTCTTCTTACAATACTAGACAACAAAGTATCAACAGCAGAGACTGTCAAATTTCTAAGTGGTATCGTAAGGCTTAAAATGGACGCCTAACGTCAAAAAAGGTCCTCAAAAAAGCACAACGAAGAAGGGTTCTTCCTGAGGAGCTCAGATGGCCCATGTAGCTGCTGACACAGTTCTAGAGAGGAATTGTGGAGTCTGTCATCTGCACTTCTTATAACTGTCTGGTTTGGCACAGCAACTGAACAAGACAGGAAAAAAAATTTTTTTTTAAAGTTTTTTATTCATAATACAGTTAAAACAAAGATGGACATAACATGACATTCCAGAGTAAATATTCCTAACAATTTGTTCCTCTTAATACATATAATTCTTGATCTCTATATAAACATATTCTTCTATACAATACAGTTATACATATAGTTACCGTATATTCCGGCGTATAAGGCGACCCGGCGTATAAGACGACTCCCGTCTTCGGCGCCGAGTCACATGCCTAGAAAGTCATCTTATACACCGGAAACTACCGTTATTTCCGGCGTATAAGACAACTCAGCGTATAAGATGACCCCCGACTTCGGCGCCGATTTTAATGCTTACGAAAGTCGTCTTATACGCCGGAAAGTACGGTATATATATATTTCTATCTTAGCACTAACTTAAAACCTGAGCAGTTCTCCTTGATTCACACCAGTAATAAAATTTGTCCCAGATTTCAAAGTAATCTGATTCTGTCATATCCTTCGTTTCCATTGTGAGCCTATCCATTTCCGCACACGATAAAATGTTATATAAAATCTCTTCTTCTGTCGGGATTCCTTTATTCCTCCAGTTTTGAGCATCCGCCAATCTAGCAGCCGTGAGAATGTGTAACATCAAATAAAATACAGACAGGCACAGACTTCAAAGGACAGTTAGGCGTGCAGAAAAGACAATTGCCACCAGCCTGCCTTCCACTGAGGACCTGAGGATCAAAAAGAGGGCTGTGAAAATATCTACAGACCCCTCACATCCTGGACATAATCTATTTCAACTTCTCCCCTCAAGGTGACACTGTAAGCAGAGGTCTCCAACCTTTTGGGCACCAGGGACCGGTTCCGTGGAGAGAGGTTTTTCCCACAGATCGGAGGGTGCGTGGTTTTGTGTGCTACCTGCATTCCACGGATGGGGCTTTGCTTTTTTGTGCGGACTGGTTGCTGGCATGCCGTATCCCGGTACTGGTCCACAGACCAGGGTGTCAGAATCCAATTATATTTCATCTCTAGTTATCGACTATGGAAAACCCCATTTCCGCCCTCTCTGGATTCTGTCATATGATGAAAGGGAAGGGGGGTGAACAAAGGGGTTTTATGGCCCTCACTTCCTTCGGTACAACTTCAAAGGGATTGAATGTGGATAACACCAAAAGGACTAAAGCATAACAATGGGGCCATCAGCTTTCATCTACTCCTCTCTGAAGTCTCCCTTCCACCGGCAGTGAGGAAAAAGGGGGTGGAAATGTAACGCCTGGGATTGTTGCTGGAAAGATGGTGGGGTGGGGTGGGACTGCTGGGGACCCCTTAAAACCTTGAACCGTAGGGTTTGGGCCCCAGGTCCTGTCTAGAACGCCTGCAACCATTTTCTCTTAATAAAGGATGCCTGTTGGAAGAAATATTCCAAGAGTTCTGTCTTCTTAAGATGCAAAGTGGGGTGGGTCCTGCTATAGAGCATTGCACACCAAAACCATCAGACACAAAGACAGTTCCCCCCCCCATGCTATCATTCTGGTAAACAACTAATTCTCACACTATCTATGCCCTGGGATATCAAACCAGGATAGTAGGGCTGTATTACCTATTAGCCATCTCATCTTTTGATTTTTCCTATTACCTATTTCCTTAGCTTCTTGTGACTATAACGTTGTCGTTTGTATCTCAATGATTGACGTTGATTGCCTTTATTTAGTGTTGTGATTTATGTCGATTGCTCGTTTAGTGTCCTACGACCGTCACGGAGGTTGTAACTTATGATTTACGATGATTGTATTTTATGATGATGATCACGATTTATCTCTTGTTGCTTGTGTGTACGCGGAGAGTTTCTGCACCAGAGACAAATTCCTTGTGTGTGTTCCATCACACTTGGCCAATAAAGAGTGTATCGTAAATTTAACATATCAATGAATAATTGAGCATAAATTATGATCGTGATTTATCATTTGTTGCTTGTATGTACGCTGAGAACTTCTGCACCAGAGACAAATTCCTTGTGTGTGTCCAATCACACTTGGCCATGCCTTGCTAGCAAAACGGTAATCTCATTTTTTTATAACCCTTCCAGGCTTTTGCTTCACATTATTTCCTCCTTGCTTTACTTTGAAGATTCTGCTTTTTTAAGCAATAGCACTTGAACTTATATGCTGCTTCATGCTGCATATAAGCCCTCTCTAAGCAATTCACAGAGTCAGCATTTGCCCCCCCCCAACAATCTGGGTCCTCATTTTATCGACCTTGGAAGGACGGAAAGCTGAGTCAACTCTGAGCCGGTGAGGATCAAACTGCTGGCAACTGGCAGAAATAATCTGCAATCCTGCATTCTAACCACTGCACCCCCATGGCTCCTATAAGCATTTAGGAACCACTTTCATCCTTAAATCAGCCAGAGGGCAGAATTCTGCTTGCTTGGTGTTCTCCTTCATAAGGACCAGAAGCTTATTTTGCAAAATGAAAATGGACTATAGGAGGAGGGCTGGAAAAAACTCACAACACACAAAACTCCATAACCCTTTCATTCTGCCGAGAGTCACACGGAAGCAGAACAGGCAGCAAAAACAAATCAGTGCAGGAAAACATTTTATTTGTTAGACCTCTTTGCGTAACGATGCCCAAAAAGGAAAAAACAAAAACAAAAACACAGGTTTTGAGGAATGTATCTATATTGCAGCAAACGAGATCAAGAAATGTATTTGGGGGGGACAGAACATTTGAACGGGGGGGACCCATTTTGTGGCCCCTGAGTGCATGTCTCTATTTCGGAATCTGAATTATTAATGCAAATGCACAAATGTTAATCTACCTTACTTTGATTTTTTTTTTAAAAAAAAAAATGCAATGAAAATGAAGCTTGGAAACTTGGAATGACCCAGTTAAACGGTAATTACAAATATAATCCACGCCTTTCCAGGCAGTGAACTAATTAGAGAGCAGTGCTGTAATGTCTTGATCAGCTTCAGCCAGAAAACAATTAAAATTTTTCTGAGCGGAGATTTATCCAAGACACCAGCAGAGGATGCCTGTGAGTGAAAAAGAAACTTCTGAACAAGTTTTTTTGAAGTGTTTTTTTTTTTTTAAATCATTCTAGGAAAAAGGAGGTGGATCGTATTTTTAATGACCGTTTAACTGGGTCATTAGAAGTTTCCAATCTGCACTTGCATTGTACTTTGAAAAAAATAAAATAAAAATCTGGGCACACATTAACGTGATCTCGATGGTCACTTGGCTGGAGACATAAATAAATAAAAAAAGAAGAATAACAAATCTGAGATAACAAGAGGTTTCTTCCTATGCTGGAAAACCGAAGGGCGATTATGGATGGATCTACCATCCCTCAAGCGACGTGTTACACATTTGAGCGGCTGTAGAAAAATGCAATCTGGAAAAGTCAAAGCGCCACAAAGCCACATGATATTATGCAGGAGAAAAGCAGGAAAAAAAACCCCACAAAAACACAACTACAAATGGGCCGCTAAACTTCAGTCCTAGTCAACTTTCCAGGGCGAAATTTGGACCCTAAGAAAAGAGATCGGGTGAAACCCTTGCTCTGGGATTTCCGATCCGGTCGCATACATTGTGAGATCTCTCCGGATTAAATCTCTTCGGTTCACAGTTTGGAAACTCTGTCCAGATCTGTACGGAGTGGAGATGATGGGAATCAACCCTGGCTCCCAAAATTTCTTTCCAGGCTTTGCTAAAACAGGATCCCTGAGGCGATCTCTCATCTTCCTCCCCTTCTTCCCTCTTCAAGCGGATTTTTTTTCCGATTTCGGATTCTTCCACATCACGATGGTGATAAAAGTTCCTAGAGGAGACACAGAAAGAAAGTCAAAAAATCTTCCACTCCCTGGCCAAAGCAAGGGGGCACAGAAAAATAAAATCCAGGTATGGTCCTCAACTGGCGACAAGTTCATTTAGTGACCGAAGTTACAACAGCATGGGAAAAAAGTGACTTATAACCGTTTTTCACACCTACGACCGTTCCAGCATCTCTGAGGTCACGCGATCAAAATTCGGACGCTTGGCCACTGACTCGTATTTATGACGGTCGCAGTATCACATGATCCCCTTTTGCGACCGTCTGACAAAACCAATGGGGGAAGCCGGATTCCCGTAACAACCGGGTTACTGACTTATCAATTGCAGCGATTCCTGTAACGGCGGCGACAGCAAGGTCACAAAACAGGGCAAAATTCACTTGACCAACGTCTCACTTAGCAACAGGAAATTTGGGGCGCAACTGCGTTCGTAAAGTCGAGCATTACCTGTTTAAAAATGCACCCTAGGTTGACCCATGGTCATTGGAAAGAGAGGGATGCTGAATTAAAACTCAAACAGATAAAAAAAAAGATAGAATCAAAATCATGCGGGGTATTAGTACCGCTTTAAAAAGCCCTAGTAAGGCCACACCTGGAATACTGCAGCCAATTTTGGTCACCCTATCACAAAAAAGATGTTGAGAGTTTGGAAAAAGTTCAGAGAAGAGCAACTAAGAGGATCCAAGGCCTGGAGACTAAAACATATGAAGAACGGCTACGGGACTTGGGTTGGGCTAGTCTAAAGAAAAGGTCCATCCTTAGGTCAGGGGTTCTCAACCTTGTCAACTTTAAGACTTGTGGACTTCAACTCCCAGAATTCCTCAGCCAGCTGGGCGTTGAAGTCCACAAGTCTTAAAGTTGCCAAGGTTGAGAACCCCTGCCTTAGGTTTTGACCTGCTGTTTTGGCCACCCAAGGTTGTGTGCTGCAAGGCGGTGACTAGATAAGCTTTTTAAATAAATAACATAAAATATTAAAAGTTGATGCTCTTGCAGGGCAGATCAGGCGAAGGAGAAAGAAGGAAGCAAGGAAGACTTACTCCTAACCAATCTATGGAGCATTTTCAAAGATGTCTTATCTTCTTTCAAGCCTCCGGTTGGCCAAACTAAGATGAAACTCACCAATAAAAAGCAGCAATACCAGTCCGGCCGCCACAGGGATGATCACTGCATATTCTCGGGGTAGGAAGTACTTGTGAATGAGGTGGTCACTCTCAGTGAAGGGCTGAGGAGGAACAGAAAATGTATCAGCCGGGAGCAAAGGACAACTTTTCCACAGGCCCCTGAAATGTAGTAACTTATTATTATTTATTAAATTTATATGCTAATAAGGCAAAGTGGTGTTAAAGGTAATAGATTGGCACAGTTGTGGCTGCAGGAAAAAGACCAATGTTGGGTTGATTTTCTAGCACTGATGATGTCACCTAGTTGGGTCGTGAAACGTCTGCAAGAAAACAGCCGATCTCAGAGAGCACCAAGGACCCCACAGTCTTCTTCCTCCACCTCCCTGCAAAGCCCACTCCCTTCTAACACTGACAATGTCACCTAGTTGGGTTGTGAAATGCCTGCAAGAAAACAACGGAGCTCAGAGAGCAACCAGGACCTCCTCATAAGCTACATTTTAAAGCTAGGCTTGTGTTCATAGATTTATATGGTTTTATTATGTGGCGGTAAATGATCCAGAGTCACTTAAGTCAGATGGAGAGGGGAGAAATTTAATAAATGAACAAGTTAAATTGTTGGGTCTTCTCATCCCTCAACGTGTGAAGGGGAATCGGATTGTTCATTGCTGTTTAAGACGACAGATCTATCTATCATCTATCTGTCTGTCTGTCTCTGTCTATTATTGTCTATCATCTATCTGTCTGTCTCTGTCTATTATTGTCTATCATCTATCTGTCTGTCTGTCTGTGTCTGTCTGTTCTTGTCTATCATCTATCTCTATTTACCTACCTATCTACCTATCTAATCTATATGTCCGTCGATCTATCCATCTATCCATCCTTTTCTCTCTCTCTCTCTCTCTCTCTCTCCCTCCCTCCACACACACACACACACACACACACACACACACACACACTTGAAGTTGCTTGGAAAGGGCTCTAAGGCAGGGAAAAGTGGAAAGAACTAGAAGATGATGACTGCCACAAGGTGGATGGATGGATCCAGTGGTGATAGAGGCGTTGTTGGGAGACTTGAAAACAGAGGTCAGAGATAGATCATCGCGGAGATCAATCAATTAATCAATTTGTTGTTAGGAGGGGGAAAAAAAACGCCCACAACTTGATGGCACATAATCAATCAAATGCTGGAGAAAACTCAGGACGTACCAAGACTATTATCCAGACGGTGTAGTAGGCGAAGAGGACCAAGCTGAAGGTCACCAAGCCATACCCAACGAATTGGTCACTCACTGTGGCCTGGAAGCAAAACAAAACAAAACGAAGCAGAAGAAATGTTTATTTCACATTTTTTTTATTAATTTTTTTTTTCATCAACGTATGTTAATTAATCTGGAGTTTGCTAAGCTAATATGTGTTCAATTCCTAATCCTTCATTCTTTTCTCTAACCAAGAATAAAATAAGTTCCAAATCTGAGAGTAGTCTGTATCTTCTTTGTCTTTCAGCCTCATAGTTAGTCTGTCCATCTCTGCACATTCCAATATTTTCCTGATTATTTCTTCCTCTGATGGCGATCCTTCATTCTTCCAGTATTGTGCAAAAATTATTCTCGCTGCTGTGGTGGTGTAAAATTAAATATAATTTCTGCTTCTTAGTCTTTTCAGGCATAATGCCTAGTTAAAAAAAGTTAAGGTTTAAAATCCACTTGTTTGCCCAATATTTTTTCTAACCACATATGTATATTTTTCCAATAAGCCTTTGCCTTCCCACATGTCCACCAAATATGATAATAGGTGCCTATGTTATGTTTACATTTCCAACATCCATCTGACATATTTTAAAACATTTTTGCTAATCTTGCTGGTGGAAGGTGCCATCTATAAAACAAAGAAATGTTTATTTTATTCCAAAAACAGAAAAGGGAGCTTGAGAATATACCCAGATCTCGGGGCTCCATTCAATAAGCAGGACACGGGAAGCAAAGAGTGTTATACAAGCTTTCTTCAGATTTATTTACTTCTTGCAAAGCAAATAAACGAAATGCACAAAATAATAATAATAATACAAAATTAACCTGTGCAAGGTTTTTGCAACCTTTGTTGCGCTTTGAAGACAAACACAACCGGAGACAGTGTAGCAGCCCAAGCGAAACAGGCAACTCAATTTAAAAAAAATAAAAATAAAATTAACAATAAACAAACCGCACACTTATCACAAAACGCTGCGCCTTTTTGCAATTGCTTTGCAAAAGGTAGCAACAAAAGAACAATCAAAGAAAATCCCCCCTCCCTTTTGCAAAAAAACAAAAAAAAACCCAAGCCTCACCATTGCAACTTGCCAATCCCACCTCGCCCTTCTGCAACTTTGCTCTGTGATCTGGCCAAGGATGACCTACTTCCGTCCACGCTGGCCAATCAGAAGCTGGAGAGGGCGTGCGAACGTCCCCCAGGGGCAGTAGAGTTCCGCTCAGAGGGAAGTGCTAGAAGGGCAAACCCATGTAGCCACACCGGACTTCCTGAAACGTTGACTTCCTGAAACTACCCGGGCAATCCTAGACTTATTCAATAATGGGAGTTTACAGCTATCCATCAGGGTTGATTCCAGGCTTGTTTTAATTTATGTTTTAATTGAGGGGTGGGGGAAGCTGATCAGTGGAAGCCCTGCCTGGGGAAAAGAAATGCAGTTTTTTTCCCAACTGTCTAGATATTTTAGAGGGTTTGTGTGTCTGTGTGTGTAGTCTACCTTATAGGGTTGTTGTTAATAGGAAAAATAGACGTTTTGCACGGTGGTCTTACAGGAAAGGTGGTGAGAGCCTTCAAAATGGATCAATTGCTGTTTTAATATGGATTCTAAGTTTGCTTTCCCCCCTTTTTGTGTTTCATGCTTTTGGTTGTAGCTTCTCCCAGCGGAGGTTGCGTGGAAATTTGGGGAGCGCATTCAGATGTTCTGGCCTTGCACCGTCGTCTCGTCTTTTGGGTATGGCGTTTTTGGAAATCCAGCCTGCAGAGGTTCAGCGGCTGTCCCCATTTGCACCCATGCTTTCCCACCCTAAATCCTAATTTATTTATTTTTTAAAAAAGCAGTAGACAATTTCATGACCAGTTTTACTCTATCCGGGGCGTTTATACGTGTGCAACTCACTGCATCCTTCTCTGGAAAACAAAATAAATAAATAAATAAAAATAGCACACTTGGGAAGACATGTAACCAATACTTTCCCTTTTTCTGTGATGAACAAACGGCCTTGTACAATAGTCATAAAAGTCTAATTCTTTTTGCCCTGTGCCCCAAATGTCTTAGTTACTCAACTTTGGCAATCCCAGAATTCTTGAATTTCATCCACCCATCTTCGGTTTGCCACAGTTGAGAAACACTTGTAGAAAAACACAGGTTAAAAAAAAAAACATTTCTGTTTTATAGTTCAATGTGTGGTGGATATGTGGCATGTCCCAAATTGGGTTTTTTCATTTTGTAGGGTCTATATTTTAATTTTATGGAAATATTTAAATGAGAACAGGTTTCCCATTTTGACCTGGCAATTCACAATGGGTTAACTGCAGTTTTCCTTTGTTTATCCTTAATTCCGATTCTTTGTTGGGTGACATGCTCGCAATTCTCAGAAGAGGCTACGGCAGCCTTCCCTAACTTAGTATTCCACAGATAAATTCAAATAACTTAATAACCTGCAGATGATTTGAAACTGAAGTTTCCTCCTCTCTACCCATCCCTTTTCCTCTCCTGCTACACCTTTGTAAGGGTAATTGTTGATGTTTGAGTCAATGGACTTCCCAACCATTTTGGCCAAGAAACAGGGTATTATTAAGGTGGATTAGCCAAAATAACGATGCAAAATATATCAAAATATACAGAAGTGGATGTGATCCATTACTGGATGGGATACCACCAGGAAAGGCCAGGTTAGGTAAACAAAACATATTGGAAGACAGCAACAGCAAACCACTTCTAGATTTATTTCTGAAATTTATATGCTGCTCGTTTTGTAGTTCGAGCAGCTACATCAACTTCAAGAATACAAACTTGTTGATTGCATCCATTTGAGAGGTGTGTACGTGTCAAGATTTCAACAACAAGAAACAAAAAGAACAGCACAGACGCTCGTTGTGATGTACCAAAGAAAACCCAACCTTTATTCCCCCCCCCCCAAAAAAAACCATTACGGCATTTGATTTTATAGTGATTTTTCTTCTTTTTATAACTGTGGTTTCTCTACATCAGGAACCAGATAACAAAGAATACAAAACAAGACTGGTTGAATCAAAGACAGCACAGCATCCAACAGAAAAAGGATAAATACTAGAAGAACAAGTTAAAACGGGAATATGCAGATCTATGACTGATTCTTTTCCAGGCCCAACACTTTTCGAAAATATATTTGAAAATGGATCAGCAGGGGTTGGTGGAAGGAAAAAAAAATATTTTCTATAAATGGATTTCAGTTTTAATCTACTTTCGGATTTCAAAGGTCAGAACACATCAAAACTATCTCTCCTGGCAATTCTTTACCTTTAAATTTTGCATAGTCCTGTTTTGGTTTTTAGTTTTTTCTCTTCCAAAAATATCTTTCCTGCTATAGAAATATCTGAATATAAATCGCGGTGTGCCTTTCGAACTCTCTTAAAATTCGCTTTCCAAGAAAATAAAACGCGATCTCCTCTCTCTTTTTCTTTCAACCCCCTGAAAAATATGGGCTTAAAAAAGCAACGGGAATTTTTTAAAGAAAACGTCACGGTGAAGAATTTCGAGTTTATTCTTTTTTTACATTCCAGGTTCACCTTATTTTGGAGACAGAGCGAAAGGATTTTCATCCTTAGAAGCTGGGGAGGCAAGAGGGAAAGTTATGCAGCTTGGAAGTTGGCTATATTTTTTTCGAGGGGGAAAGAACCGGACAGCCACAAAGTTTGGCTTGTCAAAAGAAATTATTGTGCCTCTAAGAGACCAGCTCCGTCCACAGAGCTTAAGAAACAGGGATAGCCAACTTGAAGGGTTCATTACAGGAAAACGGCGTTTTCTTCTCACAGCTCCTGAGATCACGTGAAGGAGAGATCTGCTCTCCGTTGGATTCCCCTCTCCAGGAGAGGACATCCTGATCCGTACCTAGCAAGATGGGAGGAATCACCTTCCAGAGGTTTCACAACCTTGAGTGCAGCTCAGCTGCCTTCATCAAGTTTTTTTTTCCTTTTAAAACTTTTATTTTTTCCAAAGGGGAAGATTTATCTGCAGAAGGAAGCGTAATTAAAAAAAAAAAAGCAAGCAAGCCATTTGGGAGTGGGTCACTGTGGAGGCCCAAACCATTAAAAAAAAAGTGTTAATTAAAAAAAATAGGGAATAAATTTTCTGAAGAGAATAGAGCGGGCGCTTGGGGGGCGCTAAGAAGATGGCTAGTTTGCACCAAAATAGACATTTTTGTGTGCCACTACTTTGTAAAACTTTTCATCGAAAATGAACATTACTCTCACGGTCTCGTCGCTATTCTCTGAGAACTTTTGCTCAAAAGATCCAGAGGTTTTCTGCTGCAGAACCAACAAGCAAGCCCAAAATAAGTCTATGGATTTGGCACCGTGCATGGAAGGAGAACAGAATCCAGCTGTGCTCTCTTCCTAGCTGGGTTCACAGCTTGGGCCTTGGTGCCATTCCGATGTTTCACTGAATCTTGGTTCTTTGATCCCAGTTGGATGGGCGAGTGCTGAACATCCAAAAAGCGGAAGGAAGGAAGGCAGCCAGCAAGAAACTGGAGACGTCAAAGCTCTAGTTGCTTGCCATCCCTCCCTGCTCAAGTTAGACATAATTATAAAACAAAACCCAGTAAGCAGAACCCGACAGATACTATAAGCAATGAAACAATGATTTAAACCCCCCTCCCCCCAAAATTCACAACATACACCAGCCTGCTGGATTGATCAACAACAAAAAATCAATATATTTCAAAATCAAAAGGGGAGAAAGAAGGTTAACCGTGGTGTAAGAAGGTCAAATGAAAACCATTTTCCAAATGGCATCTCTAGGTTAATTGTCCCAGATAGTGCTGGGCTGGCTGAGACCAATGTCTTAAAACAGCAGAATTTGCCCACCAGGGAAAAATCATAACAAGATCTACCACTTCACCCAGTCGTGGTGGGACAGGCCACTGGAGACCAACAGAGGTATCTCAAGAAGCTTCGGCTTCTTCCAATTTACCAGGTCCTTCTTATCAAACACGCACGTGAATCGTGGTGGCCCTGTTAGAAAAGCTCTGGAGGACCTCTTCTGTCATGGTGGTATAAGGATTTTACAAGGCCACCGACTTCCAGATGGAGTTTTCCAGATCTATCCTGGAGATTCTAGACCTTTCCCAAGTTTCTCCTTTTTCTGAAGATCAGGATCGGTCTGGGACAATCAGGGAGAGTTTGAGGCACTCCGATCTGCTCAACACAGTGGCCTTGAGCTGGGTTGGAGTCCTCAACTCATACAATCCTTGGCTAGCTCAGCTGAGATAGGAAAGGAACGTTCTGGTCAGTGGTTGGGTGGAGAACCCAACATTTGGCAGATCCTCGCCCAGTGACTACTACCTTGCTACCACTCAAGGGACTATAGGCCTGCCCTGTGAGGTCCATGTGCCCCTCTCCCCAATTCCTGATCCTGTTCTGAATTCCATTTGCACACTCTTGTTTTAGAACAATTAGTAGTCTAAAGGGCATGTGGGGAAGATGACCGCCCCCAAGCCATTACTAAACCAAGTGAAGTAAGTGTGTGTGTGTGTGTGTGTGTGTGTGTGTGTGTGTGTACTCAATTGATGCCTACACCAAGGCCAAGCTACTTTCTTGAAATGGGAAAAACCTGAGTCTTTCCCCCACCTCCAAAAGCAATAAGTGAAGGGTGGGGGACACCCAATGTGTAGGATGAAACTGCACAGGAACAAAGCTTCGGGTCTTCTAGATGTAACTTGGGGAAGACCAGTTCACAGCTTCACCGCTTCTGTACCAAGCCCTGAAACTCGCTCGTTTCCTACACAAATCTCAACATTTGGGTGGAGAGGGCCATAAAGCATCAATCCGATGGAAAGACAAATCCAGGAATCTCCCCCCATGCTTTCTGAATGTGGTAGAACCCAGTTGAGGACATCCAGTTGAGCAGCGAGTTCTGATGATGCTACCCTCCTCATTTCATTGCTTATGGAGTTTGGACTCCACACGCTCTATGAGAAAGCAAGTGACTGGAGAACATTTTGGTGTCTTGTGATGGAACCTTCTCCACCATGCTTGGACAGGAGGAAATCTTCTCAAGGCTCAATGCCTCTGTTTCAAATCAAAACCCAACCGAGGAGAATCCTAAGCCAACGTGTTTTGCATCGAGAAGGCAATGAGGTTGGGACTGATACGGAATATTTTTCTACTGTTATCACCAAGCGAAAACAGAAACCCAACAGGCTTGGGGCTCTCCTCACCCCTCACTGGCTGCAGTGACTGTGTTACCCAAAAGAACCTTTTTTTAAAAAAAAATGAAAAAGTCAACAGTGGTTCCCATTGAGGAAAACCAAAGCTTTTTCCTGGACACTTCAAGCGTCGCCTTGCATGGTAGCTGGCCAAGATCACCCCCCTTCCTTGTCCTGCAGGAGGAGGAGGACCTCAAACTAGAACATGAACTGCACTCAGCATCTTCAAAGCTTCCCATGGCTCATGGATGCTTGAAAGAGGGTTTCCAAGGCCCAAAACATAGAAGAGTTTCCTATGAAAGACAGAATTTAGGGAGGACTTCCGGATCAGAGCAGTGATGTAGCTGGGCCTTCATTCCTTGGGCATCAGCCCTTGGAGGGATAAATGCGAGAGAGGAGACGTGGATGAACCAACGGTTGAATCTTCGCGACGGTCATGACTAGCAACCTTTCCAATTGGAGCTTCTCTTGGGACAGGAGAGCCACAGGGAAGTGTTCACAGTGGTGTAACTTGGTGGTAGGGACAGGGATGATCAAGCCATCAAACCAAGCCGTGGTGCTCAGCACAAGAGCCGTCCTGAGTTCCTGTCCCTCCAAGGGAGCTGTTGCAAGGGGCAGGACGGTTGATCCCGCCCTTTTGCATATGGTCGACGGTATCTTTCCAGACCCAACGTAAAGTGCCTGTTTGTGGAGTACCTCTGGGCAGGTGAGGGGTGCTTGGATTCAAAAAAATAAAAAATTGAAAAGTCCTGCCCGGAATGTTATGTGCAGAGAAGATTAAAAAGAAATAAAGAGAGGAAAAAACGGTGGGATGGGGAGGGAAGGACAACCTGCCGGGACAGGTTCCCATCTGGGGTACCCATCTAGTTCACATTTAATGGGTTTCAATGACCACGGGCTCGTAGACTCCGGACGAGACTCTGCAGGAGAAAAAGGGAGGAGAGAAACACTGTGATAGAAGCATCTACAGAATGTGTGGTTGAAAAGAACAAAAGGAAGAGGTTTCAACTTAAACTAAGAAATTGGGACTCTAAATTAATTACCAAGTTATGCTTTGAAAGATCTGCATTCCTCCTAGAAATGAGGCTTAAACTCAAAAAAGTATTGAAAAAACATCTGTTCCAGGACCCTACCTGTTTACTAACTGAATCCCACTTAGTGTAGTTGTGCCATCTCGGCTCACAAACAGCCTCAGGTTACTATCTGGAAGACAAAAACGATATCCAGGAGGTCAAATGTTTTAGTCTTGTATGAAAAGATGTCGGGGAAAATGCCAGCGAGGCTGGAAGGAGGGGTCAAGCAGGTGCCTAGCTTGGAATCCTTATGCAGTCACAAGAGGCATAAGCTTGACCTTGTCCAAGATCCATGAAGCCTTATCTGGTCATACTCAAGGGAAGGCAAGCACTCTTGGAAAATTCACGTGCAGTGTTAGTACCGCTTTATAAAACCTTAGTAAAGCCACACCTGGAATGCTGCATCCAGTTTTGGTTACCATGTTACAAAAAAAGATGTTGAGACTTGGGGGGGGGGAAGTGCAAAGAAGAGCAACTAAGATGATCCAAGGCCTGGAGACTAAAACATATGAAGAACAGTTGCAGGATTTGGGGATGGCCAGTCTAGAGAAAAGAAGGACCAGGGGGGACATGATAGCAGCCTTCCAATATTTGAGGGGCTGCCACAAAGAAGGGGGGGGGTCAACTTATTCTCCAAAGCACCAGAAGGCAAGAAAAGAAACAATAAATGGAAACTTATCAAGGAGAGAAGCAACCTGGAATTAAGGATAAACTTCATAACAGTGAGAACAATTAACCAGTGGAACAGCTGGCCTTCAGAAGTTGTGGGTGCTTCATCACTCAAGGATTTTAAGAAGAGATTGGACAATCATTTGTCTGAAATGGAATAGGGTTTCCTGCTTGAGCAGAGGGTTGGACCTCCAAGGTCCCTTCCAGCTCTGATTCTTGTAACTCAGGCAGAAAACAATAAAGTTGCTTTCTTCAGCTATTTACGAGTGGATTCGGTTGCTTGTACCTGACACATAAGCAGGGGTTTGGACTCTGCATCCCAGAATCCCCCGACCAAGGCTTAGGAATTCTGGGAGATGAAGTTCAAGGCAGGCTTCCAGGTGGTGAAGTTGGAAGGCTGCACAAGGAGTGAAGGAAAAGGGGGCAAACGTTTCCTTGGGAGGCGCGGCGTTCTCACCTTCAGTGTTGCTGACGTTGGTGAAATCCTGACTCTGCATGATCTTCTCCACAATGTCACCTGCGTCGATCCGAGTGTCGTCCACCCAGGTGGGATGGCTTTCTACAGAATCCTTTTTCCTCCTGCAGGGAAAGAGGTGAACAAAGGAAGGATTAAAAACAAGCAAACAAACGGGGGGGGGGGGGAAATAGGCGACGAATCCCCAACGCTTGCAACGAAAGGATGGAAGAGATGTTCTCCTCCGTGAGTCCAGCTTAAGGGTACCTACCGAGAAGATCTATCCGACAAAAGGTTGGGTCTGGGGGGTCTCGGGGGCTTCTCCAACCTGTGTTCCCGTTCGCCCTCCGGGCATTCGACCGTCATGCTGAGACCTCCCGAGGCGCTGCTGCTGGTGGACGTGTTCCGGCGGTGGGTCAGGTCCGATAGGCTGGATGATCTGGAGTGCTCGGTGCTATATCCTACAAATGAGAACATCAGGACAATCTTGGCTGGTCAAGCCAGGAACCATCCAAATCCAGCATTTTTGTTCCTGACATGGCCCACCAGAAGAACGTCTAAAGCATCCGACCAGGAGATGGGAGACATACTTCTTCTACCTCTTCTGATATCCCAAAGGTGCTTTTTCAAGAGGCAACTGGACTTCCTTGTTTTTCTTTGAAGACATTTCGCTTCTCGTCCAAGAAGCTCTTTCAGCTCTGACCGGATGGTGGGGAATGGAAGGATTTATACTCCTCGCAGACAGCTGGTCATTTGCCTTCTTTGAGAGAGTCGTTGAGGCCACTTGGAGGTTTATTTGTGTCCTATTGTGTCACAGAAAACATCCTGCAGCCAAAAAAGGCTCTACACTTGCACCATTCAGGTGACCTTGAGGACACAGGTAAACCTCCAAGTGGCCTTAAAGACTCAAAAAGAAGGCAAATGACCAACTGTCTAAAAGGAGTATAAATCCTTCCATTCCCCACCATCCAGTCAGAGCTGAAGAAGCTTCTCGGATGAGAAGTGAAATGTCTTCAGAGAAAAATAAGAATGTCCAGTTGCCTTTTGAAAAAGCATCCTTGGGACAACCATGACCTGGATGACTGAGAATCTCCATATACATCTTCTGATGTTACCTGAGATTTGAAAACAAGCTATCTTCCCTGTAGAGGAAGTCTTTAGTCTTCAGGACTAACAAGACAAACCTATTATCATGTAGAATAAACGAATCCTACATGAATTTAGCCGCCCCCCCCCCATTTAACAGCAACTCCATCACAATGCCTTGATGGGCTGTGAATATCCCAAATTTACAGCAATAGTAGGCATTTAGCTATCAAACACCCAAGTTTTAAAAAGAAACTGACAATTCTTCCTGGCTTAGCTAGATTAAAGAAATTATTGTTTTTTTAAAAATATTTAATTTGTATGCCAAACCCGATCCTCAACGACCCCCAAGTAAAAACAAAAAAAATATACAATCCAAAACAAAACTAGGAATAAAAATTAGTTTTTCAAATATGCATGATAGAAAGATACACACACACACACAGAAAAAATTTGGAAGGATTCATTATCCTATATGGATGCTATAAATGAATGCTCTTAAGTCAAGGACTTACGTGTATTTATTAAATATTGCTACCCCGATAAAAAGAAAATATACACCCTCTTGCTGGTTTAGGTAGGTTTAAAAAAAATAACTTTTTTAAAAAAATGATTATTACGTTGGTCTCGTTTTATTGTTTTGTTTTAGGTTTGGTTCTGCCTGGAAAAAAGGCCACAAGACCCTTAGAAATGGGAGCATCGCTTAGATTGGCTCATGAAAACCCAGGTCTTGGTGGAATGGACACTGACCAGAGATTTTGGATTGCTGGCTGGCATAGCTTGAATTTCGCGAGTGTCCAGAATGAAACACTTCTTCTGGACTTGATAAGTTCTGGTCCGGTTCTTCCAAAACCCCTGGAAAAGGAAAAAAAAAAATCAGAAAGATGAACTGCCGAGCTGTCCATCTTTCGCCATCAAGTGAAATCAGGGAACCGAATGCTCTAAACCAGTGCTATTAGTCAGGGTGGCGCAGTGGTTAGAATGCAGTATTGCAGGCGAATTCTGCTGACTGCCGACTGCCAGCAGTTCAATCCTGACCGGCTCATGATTGACTCAGCCTTCCATCTTTCTGAGGCTGGTAAAATGAGGACCCAGATTGTTGGGGGGGGGGGCAACAGGCCGACTTTGTAAGCCTCTTAGAAAGGGCTGTAAAGCGGCATATAAGTCTAAGTGCTAAGTGCTATTGCTATTAAATATTTCGATCTCATTTTTTTTGCTTTTTGGGGGGAGCAATGGAAGTGCCTTAATCCCTTTCATTGCTGAACGTTTCTCCCCCAAATTGGGCAGCAGGGCAGGAAAAATGCTTTGCTTATACCTGACCCCAGGATGGTGGCCCTGGGCTTGTTCTGACGGACAGAACCGATCGAAGATGCTGTGTTGGTGCTGGGGGTCACAGTCCGGCTGTTTCCCTCCCCTTTGCAGTTGAGCTGCAGGCTCGAGTCTTGTGCTGGGATGACCACGGATTTGGCGGTGGAGGGTGGGCTGCAAAAAGGCAGAACGTATTTTTATTGGAAAGAACAAGGCTGGGGTGGCCATCTTGCACAGCTGTGTTGACCTAGTGGCTAAGGAACCAGGCTAAAGAATGGGAGACTGTGAGTTGTAGTTTTGATTTAGGCATGAAAGCCAGCTGAGTGACTTTGGGCCAATCACCAGGAGATGGTGAGTTCTAGTCCCGCCTTAGCCATGAAAGCCAGCTGGGTGACTTTGGGCCAATCACCAGGTGACGGTGAGTAATAAAGAGGGGGATACAAATAAATAAAATAATTAAAGAACCAGCCAGGTCAAAGTTGGGTAGATAACAGAAGATGGAACAAGAGGGACATTTAAGGAAGCCCCCCCAATTTAAGCAAAGTTCTCGAGGAAGGCAGAATAAAAACAAAACCAAACAGTGGGGATATAATCAAACCACCCAACGCAAGAGCAGAAATCTTGGAATGAGATGGGAAATAAAAGTACCAGCTGGCACTGGAAACCGAACGGATTTGGCAATCTGGAAATAGGCTGAAATTTCCTCTTTTATCCCCCCCCTTTGGGAAAAAAAGGGGAGGGGGGCTTGTGAAAAAGTTCCCTAGCCAGTCAGGGCTCCCAGCAAAGTGTTTTGTTGACAGCTTCACACTCCAGTTTGACGTTGGAGGACCTCAACCGTGCCGGTGACAAGGTCAGCCTTGCAAAAACCGCCTACGCAACAGGTTGTTTCCTCTCCTGCTGCCTTGGTTACTGGTATGGAACTGCCAACACCCTTTGCCCACAGCATGCCACACCCCTGCCAGGTATGTTTGAGCTCTGCTGGCAGCTAATCAGCAGCCACCTCTTTGCACAGTCAACAATCACACACCTGTTCCTTTTTTCGACGATTAAAAATATATATATATCTATTTTTCACAAATTCAGGCGAATAAACCTGTCCGAGGATAATGTCGCAGGATCCAGACAGGGTCAGTCACTTCCGAAAGCTCGGAAGACAAAACTTTTGTTCCTGGTGACCAAGCCAGATTAGATCCTCTTTACGGGTCTCCTTTCCAATCTCCCCCATCCAAGGCTAGTGGTTGCCACCAGCGGGAGGATTTTGGAGGTTTTTTTTAGGATAGGACAGGGGTAGGCAACCTTGGCTCTTTTATGACTCATGGACTTCAACTCCCAGTTCTGCGAGTTCTTCAACTCCCAGTTCTCCCAGTTCTTCAACTCCCAGTTCTCCCAGTTCTTCAACTCCCAGTTCTGGGAGTTCTTCAACTCCCAGTTCTCCCAGTTCTGGGAGTTCTTCAACTCCCAGTTCTCCCAGTTCTTCAACTCCCAGTTCTGGGAGTTCTTCAACTCCCAGTTCTGGGAGTTCTTCAACTCCCAGTTCTCCCAGTTCTTCAATTCTGGGAGTTGAAGTCCATGAGTCATAAAAGAGCTGAGGTTGCCTACCCCTGGGATGGGACATCAAGAGCTACAGAGATAGCTCGGCCTTTGAAACCCCCTTCCCCAAAGACTCACGTTTTGAAACAAGGGTCTCCGGATAAGAGGCTCATGCCAATCGTGACCTGCCAAAGAACGAAGACGAGAGAGGGAGAAGGAAAAGTCATGAAAAACAACCTGCAAGGAAAAATATAGCCAGCCAAAGACATAAATTCAAACACAGGGGCTTCTCAAGGAGGACCCGAAGGCAGGGCAAGAAGCAACGGATGGAAACGAATCAAGGAGAGAAGCAACCTGGAACTAAGGAGGAATATCTTTGAATTGTGAGAACAATTAATCAACGGGACGGCTTGCCTCCAGAGGTTGTGGGTGCTCCAACACTGGAGGCTTTTAAGAAGGACCCTGTATTCGTTTGTTAAATTTATTTGCCCGGTGGGGCTACTACTTTTGAGTGAAGACATCTCCAGCACGTCTCTCGCGGCTGGTCAGCCCCATCCTACGGTCCTCCAGAGTTACCTTCAAGATGGAATTGTCCTGCCTGGTGTTCTTGGTGTCGTATCCTTCCAACAGGCAACAGCGGGCGGTGAGGCCAGAGCCTGCGAATTCAGCCAAGTTCAGGTCGGTGAAGCCGAGCTGCAAAAAAAACAACAGATTGGAGACCAGGATGATGAAAAGCTGCACGTTCCAGGTGAATCAAAGTTTACAATCTCTTGTCCCTTCCGGGAAGAACCATCTCCACCCTCCTAATCTTGACTTTTTGTTTCTGTTTTCCATAAAAACCAGGATCATCCTGAGAAAGAATCAGGATTATTGATTTGGCAAGGAAATGTCTATGGAATTCTCAGTTGTTGTCGTCCCGAAAGTGCTTTTTTTTTTTTTCCCCCAACAGGCAACTTGGACTTTCTACCTTTTGCTTTTGAAGACACGTCTACTCCCAAGAAGCTTTTTCAGACTGGATGGTGGGGAATGGAAGGATTTGTATCCCTTGCAGACAGCTCCAGACCCATTTGCACTGCTCAGGTGATCCTGAGGACACAGGTAAAACCTCCAAGTGGCCTCAACGACTCTCTAAAAGAGGGCAAATGACCAGCTGTCTGCAAGGAGTATAAATCCTTCCATCCTCCAGAGCTGAAGAAGCTTCTGGGATGAGAAGCGAAACGTCTTCAAAGAAAAACAAGAAAGTCCTGGGAAAAAAAGCACTTTTGACACCATGACCTGGATGACTTGAGATTCTCCAGAGACATTTAGCCATGCACCTTGGGATGAACACCCTTCGAACGGGGCGGGAGTATGAACAGATTCCCAGAAAACATGGCAGACTACAGGAACCGTTTGTGCTTCAGTTTGAGATGCAGACAACCCAGACTCATCCCCAACAGCCTGCGCCCGTCTCCAACAAGGAAGGGACCCAGGGCAGAAGACATCCTGCAGCCAAGAAGGCTCCACACCCATTTGCACCGCTCAGGTGATCCTGAGGACACAAGTAAAACCTCCAAGTGGCCTAACCGCTCTCTAAAAGAAGGCAAACGACCAGCAGTCTGCAAGGAGTATAAATTCTTCCATTCTTCACCATCCAGTCAGAGCTGAAGAAGCTCCTTGGATGAGAAGTGAAACATCTTCAAAAAAAACCCCAGAAGGTCCAGTTGCCTCCTGAAAAAAAGCACCTTTGGGACACCTGGCAAGCAAAGTGTTAAGTTGCCTGGAGAGGTTGCATAACCAAGGACAGCCGAACAGGCCAGGTCAGTGATGTGGAAAATGTTCACTCCCATGTATGTGTACACAAATATAATAAGGCACTGTTTGTCCTAAGCTCATCCCGGAATACAGGGAGGGAGAAAGAGAGAGAGAGAAAGAGAGAGAGAGACGGAGAGAGGGAGAAAGAGCAAAAGTGAAAGGAGACACACACAGAGGGGGGGGGCAAGGTTGAAAGGGAAGCATCTTCAGGCATGTTTAAAAAAAACACACACACACAGAGTAGTCCTTTACTGTTCATTTAGTGACCGTTCACAGTTACAACAGCTTGGGAAAAAATGACTTATGAACGTTTTTCACACTTAGGCATCCCTGGGATCAAAATTCGGACACTTGGCAAGGGGTTCATATTTATGACAGTTGCAATGTCTTGGGTGTGTGTGTCATGTGACCCCCTTTTGCAACTGGGAAAACCAGATGCACTTAACAATTGTGTTACTAATTTAACAATGGCACTGATTGACTTAACTGGGGCAAAAAGGGTGGTAGAATGGGGAAAAATTTCTATTCTATTCTATTCTATTCTATTCTATTCTGTTCTAATTACTTCATTCTCTATTCTATTCTATTCTATTCTATTCTATTCTATTCTAATTCCATTCCATTCTCTATTCTATTCTATTCTATTCTTATTCCATTCTATATTCTATTCTATTCTATTCTATTCTATTCTATTCTATTCTATTCTTGTTCCATTCCATATTCTATTCTATTCTATTCTTCTGCATTCTATTCTATTCTATTCTATTCTATTCTTGTTCCATTCCATATTCTATTCTATTTTCCATTCTATTCTTGTTCCATTCCATATTCTATTCTATTCTATTCTATTCTATTCTATTCTATTCTAATTCCCCTTGCTTACCTTTGCCATAGTCGTTCTACTTCTATTATTCTATATTATTCTATATTATTATTATTATCATCATCATTATTATTAAGATGATTTTTTTCGGCAGATGAAGTAGAGCTGAGACGTTGTCTTGCAGGAAACCCACAAAAATAGGCCGGAGGGGAGTGTGGGGGCGGGGGCTGATGGTGGTAAAATCTCCTGCAGTTTCTCCCCCACTCTTCCCACAGCTCCGAAAACCCCCAGACAGCTAACCCGAAACTTCAGACCGCCCTCCGAAGCGCATTAGCAATTTGGCAACCGCAGGCCAGAATTGCACGCAAAAAGTCTTGCACGGAACCCACTTCCTGTTTCTCAGAGCCGACGTGCCAAATTATATGTGGAGATGTTTTGCAGCTAAAAAAAAAAAAGCAAGCAAGCAAGAAGAAAAAAAAGGCAAGCCCAATCTGCTCTTCCTCTTCAGCCTCCATCTATGGGTCAACCACCTCGTTTCGGCTTTGCTTGGCTCAAAAAATGAGGGAGGTTTAGACGACACAAACACAAAAGTGACCAACAACAACACCAACAACCCCGTACAGGGCAGAGATTTGCAAAATCTCCCTTGTCACGTCTTCCGGAAAAGGTTGCCATTAACGGGTGTGGACAACTACACAACAGATCTGGGACTCTTGAATCCTCAGCGCTGGCAGGTACAAATTCGGACGGTCCGGTTCGTTTAGTGACGGTTCAGTCGCAAAAAAGCGACTGCAGGGCCGTTTTTCACATGACGGTTGCAGCGTCCCCAGGGTCACGTGACCCAAATTCGCAGGCTTGCCAACTGAGTCCTATTTATGACGGTCGCAGTGGATCCCGTGATCCCCTTTGGCGAGCGTCTGACAAGCAAAGCCAACGTTGGAAGCCGCCTAACAACAGGGTTCACTGGCTTAACGATTGCAGCGATTCGTTTAACAACTGCGGCCAGAAAGGTCATCAAAGGGGGCAAAACGCGCGTTAACAAACGTCTCGCTTAGCGACGTGAATGTGCTCAATTGCGGTCGTAAGTCGAGGATTGCCTGTACCGATATGTTCCAACTGGATGGACAACAGCTAGTTAACAGCAGACAGGGAAATGTGTCTGATGTTTGAGCTCGCTCTCTCTCTTTCCCTCTGTCCCCCTCTCCTCTTTCCCTCCCTCCCTCCTCCCACCCTTTGGCCTTCCCTCTCCTTCCCTCCCCTCTCTCCCCTTTCCCTCTCTCTCCCGCTCCTTCCCTCCCCTCTTTCTCTCTCTCCCCTTTCCCTCTCTCTCCCTCTCCTTCCCTCCCCTCTTTCTCTCTCTCCCCTTTCCCTCTCTCCCCTCTCCTTCCCTCCCCTCTCTCTCTCCCCTTTCCCTCTCTCTCCCTCTCCTTCCCTCCCCTCTTTCTCTCTCTCCCCTTTCCCTCTCTCTCCCTCTCCTTCCCTCCCCTCTTTCTCTCTCTCCCTCTTTCCCTCTCTCTCCTCCCTCCTTCCCTCCTTCCTCTTTCTCTCCCCTTTCCCTCTCTCTCTCTCCTTCCCCTCCCCTCTCTCTCTCTCTCTCCCCTTTCCCTCTCTCCCTCTCCTTCCCTCCTCTCTCCCCTTTCTCTCTCTCCTTCCCTCCCCTTTCTCTCTCTCCCCTTTCCCTCTCTCTCCCTCTCCTTCCCTCCCTCTTTCTCTCTCTCCCCTTTCCCTCTCTCCCTCTCCTTCCCTCCCTCTTTCTCTCTCTCTTCCCCTCTCTCTCCCTCCCCTCCCCTCTTTCTCTCTCTCCCTTTCCCTCTCTCTCCCTCTCCTTCCCTCCCCTCTTTCTCTCTCTCCCCTTTCCCTCTCTCTCCCTCTCCTTCCCTCCCCTCTTTCTCTCTCTCCCCTTTCCCTCCCTCTCCCTTGGTCTCCCTCTCCTTCCCTCCCCTCTCTCTCCCTTCCCTTGGCCTCCCCTCCCTCTCCTTCCCTCCCCTCTCCCTCTCTCCCCCTTTTCCTCCCTCTCCTTCTCTTCCCTTCCCTCCCCCTCCTTCTCCCTTCCCCCTCTCTCCTCCCTCCCTCCCCTCTGCCTCTCTCTCTCTCTCCATATATATATATCTTTCTATCTATAGATATTCAGTATTTTACAACTGGCAGAATTACTGGTGTGCAACGTTAAAACAATCTAAACGCTTCACCGTTTACCGAGGTCAGGCCGTCCTTACATGACAAACCACCGGGCTTCTTGGCCAGGCTGAGCCCGCCCTCTAGGCACGTTTGCTGGGATTGAAACCCCAGGCCTCCAGCAATCTCAGCTTTTACGTTTTGTCTTATTTTTAGGGGAACTCGCCTCGGGCAAAAGAGCCAGGCCAGGTTTAACTGACCCGCGAAGACCCAGTTTGGGCTCTGTTTCGGGCCCCACCCCTATTTTAGACTTGTTAAGAGTCCTCTATTATTGCTGTGGTCCAGAAGGGATGGATTTAATCAAGCCAGGACCGGGCGTGATATCCATGAGCATCTTTCCCCCCCCAACGATTTCGCGGGATGTCTGAATTGTGGTTAAAAAAGACATTTCTGAACAACCTTTTGGGGGTGGTGGGATCAGCCCTGGGCAGGAAGGAACCAGCTCAGAAACCGTGGCTATTTTCCCCTTAGCTATTTTTTTCCATCTCTAGAGTTGTTTTAAACACCAGACACCAAGATTACTTTAAGAGTTACGGTACAATGCACAGGTGTCATCCCTCCCAGCCTCTGGTTTTTGATAAGGGTGGTCAAAAGGAGCCCGGGAGAGTTTTTGGGAAAGCTCTGCAGTCTTACAGCCAGCTTCTTCTAAACCCTCTTGGATTTAGGAAGAGGAACCCAGACCTCTCCCAAGTTTCAGAGAGGGCGGAGAGAACGTGGTTATGACATGCTCATCATCTACCGCAACTTTGCTCTGGATGGCTTGGCCTCCTCTTACCTTGGAATAGGCTTTCCCACCCTTCAGTTCCTGCCACAAGGAAAGAGAAGAGAAAAGACAATTTAGACAAGGAAGGATTTTTCCCAATTAGTCTCCCAATCCTAGGTGGATGCTATTTGATGCTGGTTTGGTTTGGTTTTGTTTTGTTTTACGCTTGGATGGAAATGGTTAGGGATTTCTTGAAAGTTTGGACAGGAGGATCAATCTTTCCAGGAAAAGAACAAGATCTGGCTGACCCCCCCCCACACCCCCACTAGCCAAAGGGGAGAGCAAGTACGTGGTCCAGAATTGGCAGTTATTCTGATGAGTCTTTTCCTTCCTTCCTTCCTTCCTTCCTTCCTTCCTTCCTTCCTTCCTTCCTTCCTTCCTTCCTTCTCTCCCTAATCTTCCTTCCTTTTCATTTCCTTCCTGCCTTTCTTCTCATTTCCTTCCTTCCTTCCTTTTCATTTCCTTCCTTCCTTCCTTCTCTCCCTAATCTTCCTTCCTTTTCATTTTCTTCCTTCCTTCCTTCCTTTTCATTTCCTTCCTTCCTTCTCTCCCTAATCTTCCTTCCTTCCTTCCTTTTCGTTTCCTTCCTTTTCATTTTCTTCCTTCCTTCCTTCTCATTTCCTCCCTTCCTTTTTGTTTTCTTCCTTTCCTTCCTTCTCTCCTTTCCTTTTCATTTCCTTCCTTCCTTTTCATTTTCTTCCTGTCTTCTCATTTCCTTCCTTCGTTTTCATTTCCTTCTTTACTTCTCATTTCCTTCCTGCCTTCCTTCTCATTTCCTTCCTTTTCGTTTCCTTCCTTCCTTCCTTCCTTCCTTTTTTTTGTTTTCTTCCTTCCTTCCCTCCCTCCTTCCTACACGAAAACATCACAGCCACAAATGTGGGCTGGTGGCCAAGCGCCCAATTACAGGAGGTCCCTGGCCACAAGAGCTTCCATCTGGCTGGTTGGAAAAAGTCTCTCTCTAAAGGATGTGGAGAGAGAGAGACGCCTAATCCAGATGGGCCAGAAGGAGACACTCCCCCCCCCACCCCCCCAAAATAATTCCTTGATTCAGGATTAGGACTTAGGAACCTCTCTGACCTAAGAGGGCAGTTTTTACATCAGCTGTTGTGGGGGGCCCAGAGGTTTTGCCAATGAGGGTTTTCCATCACCACCCCCCAGCCCCAACCAAAGGACTCACTTTCCGGACTGACACTCGGCAAATGCAGGGGTCCAGGAGCCCCGTGGTGGGATTAGCGCTCATCTTGCAGATGAAGGTGAATTTCTTCTTCCAACGCACGCAGTTCTCTTGAACCTCTTCCCTGGAGGGGTTGGGGGGGGGAGAAAAAAAAACCCAACATATGCAACCTGGCTCCAGATTCTTCAAAAGGTTTGACGCTTGGGAAGGACTGCAAGGATCCCTCAGAAGGAAGGAAAACCAGTTCTGGACAGGCAGTCCTCGACTTGAGACCAAGATTTTTCTGTCGCTTGTGCGAGGCGGTTATTACATGAGCTTCGCCCCGTTTTACGACTTTTCCGGTTGTTAAGTGGATCGTTGGTTAAGTTTGCAAGACCGTTAGTTAAGTGAATCTGGCTTCCCTCGCCGACTCTGCCAGTCGCCAAAGGGGAATCACGTGAGCCCTGGGATGCTGCAACCGTCGTAAGTACGAGTCAGTTGCTGGGCGTCTGAATTTTGACCACAGGGACGCTGCAACGGCTGTTCAGCATGAAAAATGGACTTGTCGCTTTTTTTTCCAGCGCTGTCGTAATTTGGAATGGTTCCTAAATGAATTGTTAAGTCGAGGACTACCTGCATAGTAATTCTTGTCATTCTACTGCTCTCAAGTCAGAGCACGTACTTCAAAATAAAGGCCATTTTCCACCACCACCACCCTCCTGAAAACTCAACTCCCGATCCGTGTTCTGGGAGAACTCATTTCGCACCATTGTTTCCTTGAGTGTTTTGCTGAAAAAGCGAAGTGGAAAAAAACAACAACACAAAAACCCGCAACTGCCCACATCAAGGAAAAGATGCAGCTGGCTCAGGAAAAAAAGAAAAATGGTCAGCTTGAAGACGAGGAGACTTGCAGAAGCTTTACATGGGTTGGACCAGAAGAGAAAGAAAGAAAGAAAGAAAGAAAGAAAGAAAGGAAGGAAGGAAGGAAGGAAGGAAGGAAGGAAGGAAGGAAGGAAGAAAGAGAAAAGGAAGGAAGGAAAGGAAGGAAAAGGATGGATGGAAGAAGGGAGAGAGGGAGGGAAGGAAAGGGATGGATGGGTGAATGGATGGAAGAAGGGAGGGAGGGAAGGAAAAGATGAGAAGGAAGGAAGGAAGGAAGAATGAATAGCAGAATAACAGAGTTGGAAGGGACCTTGGAGGTCTCCTAGTCTAACCCCCTGCTCAGGCAGGTGACCCTAGAACATTTCAGAGAAATGGCTGTCCAGCCTCTTCTTAAAAACCTCGAGGGAAGGAGGGAGGGAAAGGAAGGAAGGAAGGAAAGAAGGGAGGGAAGGAGGAAGGGAGAGGAAGAAAGAAAAAGAGGAAGGAAGGAAGAGAGAGCGAGAGCAAGCCAATTCAAGTTGCATTGAAGACAACAGTCACTTTCCCCCACTGCTCTAAATCACCACGGGGTTTGTGACGATGCAAAACTAAACAATATGTGAACGTGAACCCTAGTGCTAGTACGCCAGGATTCAACCCATCAACCAGCCCATGAGGTTTAGGCCTTTGCAACGCCCTAAGAGATCAACAACGGCTCTCGCTTAACGTGGTCCTACTTGATTTAACTTTGTGATGCCCCGCTGGAAGCGTCGCACCATCGGAAATCAAAGAGAAAAGGACAGCCCTGAAGCTACAAGGCTGTGCTTCAACCACAGCCGTCGGCGGAAAGTTTGACCCGTTTCAGAAGAATCCGGATGCAAAGGAAGGAAACAGAGGGAGGGAGGAGCGGAAAAGATAACCCACAAGCAGAGGTGATCAACACAACAAGAAACTCAGCAGTTGGGCCTGGTTTCTCACTTGCTCCATCACACCCTGGCCAGATGCACATCTGGGATCCGTTTCTCCCACATGGAAAGGTTGGAGATGAGAGATAAGGTTTCAGACGCCCCAGGTAACCTTCGGGGTTTTTGGGGGGTACTATCCTACAGCAAAGCTGAAACTCAACCTCAAACATCTCAAACGGAGAAGACTCTGGTTCTGGAACCATACACCTTGTCCCTGAAGGCTACAAAGACCTCACATCCTGTTCCAAAAGCTACAAAGACCTCACATCCTGTTCCAAAATCGGTGTCACCTCCTCAAAAGCTGGGACAGATGGACTCCTTCCTTGAAACCCCAAGAGCTGAAACGCCAAGGAGGACCAATGAGAAGGTGCTTTGCAGTTGATCTACTCCTACTTTCCCAACCAGTTGGTCAGGATGGTAAGACGTGTATGCTGACTAAGAGACACATCACTGAGAAGCAATTCCAGAAGAGGAATCCAAGAGGTTTAGAAGTGGATGAAGCTTGCAGACCTTCATAAACAACCTAATGTTTCTTCTACATGATCCTGGAAAGATAAGACAATTAGACAGGAGGGGACAGAGAGCCCATGCCTCCTTCACACCTCTTGGCACAACTTGTTGGTGTCTCCCAAAGGTGCTTTTTCAGGAGGCAACTGAGCTTTCTTGTTTTTCTTTGAAGACCTTTCGCTTCTCATCCAAGAAGCTTCCTTCAGCTCTGACTGGAGGGTGGAGGATGGAAGGATTTATACTCCTTGCAGAGAGCTGATCATTTGCAGTCTTTTAGAGAGTCCTTGAGGCCACCTGGAGGTTTGTCTGTGTCCTCAGGGTCACCTGAGTGGTGCAAATGGGTGTGGGGCCTCCTTGGCACTGCTGAAAGGGCTGCGTTGTGGAGCTGTGTTTTCTGCAGGATGTTTTCTGCCCTGTGTCTGCAAGGCGTATAAATCCTTCCCTTCTCCACCATCCAGTCCGAGCTGAAGAAGCTTCTTGGATGAGAAGCGAAAGGCCAACAAAGATGATTAGAGGTCTGGAGGCTAAAACATATAAGGAACAGTTACTGGAATTGGGTGTGTCTAGTTTAATGAAGAGAAGGACAAGGGGGGACACGATAGCCGTCTTCCAGTATCTCAGGGGCTGCCCCAAAAAAGAGGCAGTCAAGCTATTCTCCAAAGCACCTGGAAGCAGGACAAGAAGCAACGGATGGAAACTAACCAAGGAGAGAAGCAACCTAGAACTACGGAGAAACTTCCTGACAGTGAGAACAATTAACCTGTGGAACAACCTGCCTCCAGAAGCGGTGAATGCTCCAACGCTGGAAGTTTTTAAGAAGAGACTGGACAGCCACAACCATGGACTGGAGACACCAACAATCTCCATTGTTGGTGTCTCTCTAACTCACAAACATACTTTCTCCAGATCATGTTACTGACATTTAATCCTGTTAAAGATGTACTTCTTTAAGGAAGAGCTCCGAAAAACACAAGATACAATGCTTGTCCCCTTTTTTTTTTTCTGATGTTGGATCCTGCCCCTTGTTCAGACCCCAGCCGTTTACTGGCTGATGTCTGTGGAGGGATGCTCACCTTGGCTGCCAACTCAACAACTGCGGCATCACCGTTCTGGAATGTCGTTTCCCCTCTAAACTACACAACAAAAAATGGCTTAAAAGAAGACCAACCAGCTGCTTTTCATTTTGTTGTTTTAGTTTCAGAGAGAGAGAGAGAGAGGTCACTCTCTTAGCCAACTGTTAATTCCAGAAGAACTGTGTCAGAGAGAGAGAGAAAAACATTTCAGAACATCCATTTTTAATGGCCAGTCCTTGCCATGCCAAAAAGCATTTTTAATTCCGATTCCCCCCCCCCACACACACACCTCTGGCTGTAAGATCTGCAAAGGCGTGGTGGGTCCGTGTAGGAAAATGCTTTTAAAAGCTGGTGGTGAACACCCCAAATTTGCAACATTGTGCAGGATTTTGCTCTTTATATACGAGCAATCAATCTGCTAAGGAAATCTGGTATCAGATGCTAGAGATCAGAAGTTTTAAACCACCGTGGGTGAGATAAAAGCATCAGTTGACGGGAACAGATGAAATCCTGTCTGCAAGCATTCTCAGGGCGCAAATTAAAGGAAAAAACAATGGTTTGAACGGGCTGTAGTATCCTACGTATTTCAACAGGGTTCTCTTGTTTTACAGCTGCTAAATCCATGTTCCTGGGATGAAGTGACGTAGCTTGTTCCACCCCCCCCCCTTCCAGATCCCAAATTCAAGAGATCTTAAAGTAGTGGGCACAGACCCTTATGAGTCAAGGAATCCCGCAACCTCATAGTTAGATCAAAAGTAGCTTGTCTTCCCATCAGCTGTCCTGACAACGCAACCAGTCAGGGCGAAAAGTCACCCCTTCGTGACTTGGCGCACATCATGCGAGACACAACTGAGCCAAAGTTGATGAATGTCCAGCTGTTTTGTTCTCCGAGGCTTGTTTCTTTCACAAAGCAGGGCAGTAAATTCACCAAGACAAGTCATCGCTAACAAGGGGATGATGTAAACTTCATTACCAGTTGAGCCAAACGGAGTGATGTATCTCAGTTTGTTTTCTCTGAAGGTCATGGAAGATGACCGTCTTCCTTCTTCTACCCACAAAACTACACTCATCCTTTCCCCAAACCACACAGGGTTTGAGTGCCGTCTGCCCCCCTCTCCCCCCAGTTTCCAACATGCTTTTGACAACCCAGTTCTACCTCTACTTCCAGTTTGTCCCAAAGCCAGCATTCAGACCCAGGGCTAAATTTGAACGCCAACCCTGCCACGTGCCACACCAGTTTATAAGCCCAATTTTATTTGCAAGGTAAACACAATACGGATCTCCGGGCTGAGAAAAACAACATGGTTAGCTAGAGAGACCCGCCACGTACACGGCGTAGGTAAGGGAACGGCTATGGTTTATGTCTGAAACGTGGTGAAATCTCCTTCTGCTATGAAGCAGCCCTGAATTTTAAGGCATGGGTGACTCTTTGGCAGGTCACACAGATAAAACACAAGGGGAAGTGGTCCTCTCAAGGATTTAAAGATTGTCTTGGCAGGAAGATGGTCTGCTCATGAAGTCCAAGTCCCCGCCATATATAAAGTTTATGGCTCCAGCTTTCCCGTTGTTACTGGAAGAGAACTTAATGCCACTGAAGAACCCAGCCAAAGGAGGGGGAAAGGCAGAGAAGATTGTAAGGGCTGAGGTGAGACTGCAGCAATGTTACATCATGAGTCTGAATAACGTCTGCGCAGAGAACGCGACAGGGCAGTTCAACCTCAGCTCTGATGGCCACGTGT